CAGGAGGGAATATTTAGACATAGCTGTCAAACATTTCTAGTGGCTTAACATTGTCCGTGGAGAGTAACAGTGAAAGAAGGCCATCTTTGGGCCACGGGTGTCAGGGCTCTGGCATAGGCGGCAAGGACGCCCCAGGTGCACTGCCTGGTCCGAATTCCCACAGAGACTGAGGAAGAGTGGTCAGACCAGACAGCTGGCCTCTGCCGGCTGCATTACTGCCTCATAAGAACTTTAACCATTTGGAATATTGCCCTCGTATCTGCAATAGAAGGCAATTAAGTAAAAATGTTCCAATGGCTTCTACATTGTACTTATAACAAAAGCTGACCCCCTCCAATAGCCCACAGTCCTACATACCTCTCAGCAGGTATCATCTGTCCCAATGCACTAGAATTCCCCTGACCTCCTGTGTCTTCCTCAAACATGGTAAGCTTATTCCCAAGATCTGTGAGCATCTACTCACTGTTTTAGGTAAGATCTTCCCCCAGATTGGTAAGGCTGTCTTGTAATTAAGGCTTCTGTTCAAATACCACTTAATATTTAAGTCCTCCCTGACCACCCACTCTAAATGACCAACCTCCTAGGACAGCCCTTGTTTTAGACTTTCATCCCTGTATTTTTCACTGTCTACACTACTTTATTTATGTGTTCATTTGCTGTCTTTCCCATTCTCTTGAGAATCAAAATGTCATGAACACTGAGTGAATGACGCAGTGATGGCACAGAGTCAGAGCTGCTGGGGCACCTGTTGACATCTGAGACCTCATCAGTCAGTGACACAGAATTTGTTTTAGTGTATAATGTTCACTCCACACACTGAGACGGCCTGGTGTAGCCTTTAAAGAGGAAAAAAAGGCCTTTGATTTAAATCCAGTTCTCACTACTTATTATCCAGGTAAACTTGTATGTTTCCCTTACAGTGGAAATTATAATATGGAATTTACTGTCTAATCAATCCACATAACTCACCTAGCATCAGTGGCCTTTAACATGTTCTTAAAAGTTGGCAGGTATTGTGGCTATCACTATCTTTTCTTTTAAGTAGCAAACTATTCCCACCTATTATTATGCTGTTCTGGAAAAATCTCTATAACTGGAGTGAATCCAATGCTTATGCTTGTCCAGCCTCCTTACTCTGCACTTTTTGTGACAGTCCACTGGTCTCTGTAGTGTTGAACTCATCAACAGTGGGCACGTGACGTGGGTCTGGCTAATGACTGACTCCTCAGGACTATGCTGGAGCTCTCAGTGGGAGAAGTGGGGACCATGAGGGCCACCTTCTCTTCTTTGAATGTAACACTGGTCTGTAGTGACCATCATTACCCAAATGTGAGACAACCCTGCCTGAGAATGAAGCCCACAGAGAGCAAAGGAGTACATAGAGGCAGAAGGGGAGAGAGTTTCTTAAAGACTCATATCCCTGGATACAGCTGTGCCTGAAGCAGCCCTGTTCCCTGGATATACCTGTTATCTAAGCCAACACAGTATTTTATTTATACCAGTTTGAGTTTGGTTTCTGAAATATGTTGTCTGGAGAATGTTTTCTAATAAAATAATAGTTTATTTACTTATTTGTGTTTGCTTGTTGTAAGGCTACGGAAATAAAAGCCTTTCCTGAGGTCAACTTAATAAACAAATTTTAACATCCAGAATGAAATGATTTTCAGTGATAGTGTTAAAAAGGCTGTAGGACTATGAGGAACTAGCAATCCCTCTGGGCTATTTTTTAAACAGGGACAGTAAGGGGCTTTAAAGAAATGATCAGCGTTGGCCTCTGGCTCCAAAAACCGAGAACAGATTGCCAAAGAGCAATTTCGGAGTGTTTGTGGTTATGCAGAAAAGGAAAATTAAGGAAGAAATTAACACCCTTATTCAAGAAATAACAGGAAGAGAAGGCATTATTGGAAGTAAAGAGGAAGATAAGTGTCCTCCTGTGCAAGAGAAATCTAATATGCAACGAACGGATGTGCTGCAGGTGATTGCTGACAAGGGCGCATCATCTATACTGAGGAGTTTGTACTTCAGAAATGCTTTTTCCAGGAAAGATACATTAAAGTGTTTTCTTAGCAGCTAGCATGCAATTAATACACATGCTGTTTATCTTTTTTTTAATATTTTATTTATTTATTTTTTAGAGAAGGAAGGGAGGGAGATAGAGAGAGAGAGAGAAAAACATCAATGTGCGGTTGCTGGGGGTTATGGCCTGCAACCCAGGAATGTACCCTGGCTGGGAACATGCTGTTTATCTTAATAAAATATTTAAACATCTTGTCATGTATGTTATATACAAATATACATTATTTTTGCTTTTTTTAAAGAACAAAATTTACATGGGTGAGGTGTGAATGCTATTCTACAGTCCCTTCTTTTACTAGTTATACCTAAATGATCTAATGCAATTAAAGGTTTATAGAGAGCTTCTTATGCAAAGTACTTTGATAAACACAATGGAAACACCAAGATAAGCATATTCCTCATCTCAAAAAGGTTATAAAAGAATACATTTCACTTATATGTGGAATCTAAAGAAAAATATAAGTGAACAAACAAAACAGAAACAGACTCATAGATACGAAGAACAGACTGATGGTTGCTGGTGGGTAGGAGGGCTGGGATACTGGGTAAGAAAGGTGGAGGGATTGAGAAGTAGTTAGAAAATAGTCATGGAGATATAAAGCACAGCATAGGAAATGCAGTCAATAATATTGTAATAACTATGTGAGGTGCCAATTGGGTACTGGAAAATCAGGGGGTCCACTTTGTAAAGTATATGATTGTCTAATCACTATGCTTTACACCTGAAACTGATACAAAATAATGCTGAATGTAAACTGTAAGTGAAAAATTTAAAACATACACATGCACACACACACATATACACACACATTATAAAAATGATTAAAGAAGATGAGAGATCTGTACACATAATGTATCTTTGGGGAGAAATACTGAACTCTGTAATAGCCATAAATAAAGTAACATGAAGGACTGCAAGAGTGACCTGACAACCCTGTAGTTCAAGGCCTCGTTTACAGTACGGACTGCAGTGCCATCCATGAGATTTTTAACAAGTTTTCAAGTGCTGCTGGTGCTGCTGATCTGGGGATCATCCTTCGGGAGCACCCGGAACTAGGGAATTGGTTTTCAATTCTAGCTGCATGTTAGACTCTCCTAGGGGACTTCTAAAAAAATCTAATGCCCATGCCTCACCCCAGCCCAGTAATAAAAGAAAACTATTTTATGAAGGAGACTGGCTATACTAGAGCTGGACATGGAAACATATGAATAGCAGTTTTATAAACAGAGACAGAGGAAGCAGATGCTAAGTGAAGGGTGAGAAGTTGAGGAAGAAGGAAAGGACAGGGAGTGATTAGAAACAAAGAGAATTGAACATGGCTGATGCATGGGCAGAGCAACCAAATCCTGGGTCAAGTCATAACAGACCCGAACTACACACCAAGGAGCTCGTGGCTCCTTTGGAGCAATAAGAAATCACCGAATGCTCTGAGCAAGATACTGACATGGTTCGAGGTGGTTTAAAGTTATTATCTGGAAGCAAAATCCTGAGCAGATAAAACCACCCCAGTTTTTGGAGAAAGATCAATTAGGTGCCACAGCGATGACCTAGTACTATTTTCTCAAACTGGACTCCAGGGATGTATTCTCAGGGCCCATGTGTTCTACACAAATGCTTTAATTTTGTGTCCTTATTTGAAAGATAAGAATCTATTTAGTCACACAGGCAAAATTTCTCTTTTCTGAAGAGAGTATGCAGTGGAGAGATTTTCACAAGATTGAACTTAGGCTTCTTGAGTTAGTATTCCTTAGTCAGTAGACATACTGTTTAAGATTTCAAGATCAACTTTATTTTTTCCTGTGGAAGGAGTCGGTATATCTCATGTATGTGAGACAGACTGATCTAGACAAGGGAGTAAAATTGGGGCAGCCTCAGAGACACGTGGGTCAGAACCATCAGGACCTCCAACTACAATTTGGGCGGAGGAGAAAATGAGAAATAAAAAATATGTGGGGGGCTTTAAGACTAGAGCTTCAGAGGATAATAAAATGCTGGGAAAAGTAAAAAAAGCATAAAATTAGGAGAAGAGAGAGGTTTGTGTGAGGCAGAAGTAGAGGAACAAAGCAGTTTTAGTGAAAGGAAGCCTATCCATTGGTCATAACCACATGAACCAATACCTGCTCCATGTCAGGGACTTTGGACATTATTTTCACAGTTTAACCATATTGCAGACAAAACCAAAATAATGTCACAATAGTATTTTTGAGTTATTAGGGCTTAAGGTAGAACAAAAATATTTTCTTTAAAAAATAAGAGCTGTAATCTGCTAGTAATTTTAAGAGGCAATCTGTTAGCAGAGTAATATTAAAGGAGGGAAATATATGTGTAGAAAATTCAAGCTGCTGAATTGTAACACTTATTGGGGTTAATTTTCTCTGCCATTGATCACTGTTAACATTATGTTTAGAGGGGGAAAACAGTAAAATGCAAACATTAACATCACATGTATTTGAAAGTAGGTATATATTTTTCCGATACCATGTACAAGTTTCATCCATGTTAAACATCCATTACCCATCATCAATTCCCTTCCGTGTTACACATCTTCTTTCTGTATGAGGGGTCAGTCATTCAATGGCACATAAAAAAAAAATTTTACCCTTAATCCACTGAACATTTTGGAGGACACCACTGTAAAACATCAGTGCTTTTTCCCCTGGAAACAGTCAATGAAATCTTTAACCCCTTGCTCGTCAACAGAAATTAAAACAATAGCATGAAAACTTACATTTTTTTTATTTAGAAAAAGAGTACCCATTAGAATATTTGAAACAGTAAACCCTAAACAGAATTTTATATAAACTGTTTTATATCAAAAAAATATTATGATTCTTCTAATATAATGAATAATGTCAAAATCTCTAATTATCTGTGCCTGTCAACATATATAGAAACTTTTTAAAAAAGATTAATGACCACATACCTGAGCTTCTGGTTGTATTGTTTGACCTTTTCCAATGAGGCTGCATTTATTTGAGCTTGAAATTCTTCCACTGAAACATTGTCTTTATAATAATATCCTTCCATGCTCTCCAGTGCTATGTAAACAAGTAAATGTACTTTTCAATTTCTCCACATTTAGTGTGATTTTATTAATTATTAGTAAATGTATTAAATAGTACCAACATATGCAAGAAACTATCTTTCACCAAACCAAGAGTGAATAAAACTCATTTTCTGCTCCCATAATAAATAACAAGCATTTGATGATTCTCTGTTAAGTAGGGAAAGGTAATTTCTAATTTAAACTGTCTTCTGTTTTTAAAACATTTTGTATATGATTTTTGCAATGCTAAACTCAAATTCGTATATTATTAACATGTAAACACAAAGACATACACATACATATATATGTATGTATGAGAGGCAGAACTGTACATTAACATACAGAAGAGTAAAAATTGATATTGTCATTATGTATATTCACATTCTTTTATAGCTGTGATTAAATTATGAAATATTAGTGCAATAAATAAGCAATATAGATAAAGTGAAATCTTAGAAAATTGCTTCTACCCCAATGGCTAGTAAATTTAATTAAAAATAAATAAGCATAAACATATACATAAAATATTTATATATATATAAATTCCATCGATTTTAAAAGTCTTTTGATTAATATAGATTTCCTTCTTAACTAACATTTTTGGCTAAGTAGTTCATTTTCCTTTAAACTTTATTCAGTGATATTTTTAACCTTTTAGAAAGGAAATGAATCACATGGACTTGCCCAGAAGTACAAGATTTCCTACAGAGAGGTTGCCAGCAACAGAAATGGCAATGGAATCAATCTGATCCAATGTAAATTATTTCCCCTTGAAATTATTATTACTAAAGAGCCTCACTTATCAGCAGACTATTTCAAAATTGATTAAAAATTAATCTTATTTTAAAACTTATAAATGCAGTAGTTTCTGAACTAAATAATAAGGTTTTCTTCAACTGACAGAAAGGTATCACCATTTGGAGGGCAAAAATAAGAAAGCCACTGCTAATTTTAGTTGTGCAATATTTTCTAAACTAGTCAGATTTCCAGAGCATTGAAGAAACAACACAACTTTCAGAGTATTGCCAATTTTGAGATTTTTAAAATAGAATTATTGGCCTGCAATTGAGAAAAGCAGTTGTGCAAAATTAGAGAGAAAGCCTACTATATTTACGTCAGTACAGGAAATAAAATCTGTGAGCTTGTTTCAAGGATTGTTTGTTTATTACTTAAGATTTCTGCATTAATTAAAATATGTGCATTGGTTCACCCAGCTTCTGGTCATGAATACACACAAGAAACTTTTAAAAAAGCCTTCCTAAAAAATCACTCTTCAAATACATGCCACATTCACTTCCATTTACAATATATTTGTGAAAAGCAAATATTCCAGAAGTATTCAGTCTATCAATGGTCAGACTTCAACATGCATTCCTCTTACTAGGGGTGAGGGTAATTATGAAGGCTCTTGCATTGGAGTGAAACCACCACTTCCATTCCTTGGTACCTATATGACCTTGGGCATGTTAATTAATATCTGAGAGTCTAAGATTCCTCACTTGTAAAATGGAAAATAAGAGTATTGACTAATTACGGTTCTTGGAAAAGAATTGAGTTAAATAATAGGAGTAAGAGAGCCTATGACTACCCTTACCATTCATTACCCTTGTGTTTCATGTATGAGGCAATGGGCCTAGTGCCCTGCAGGCATTATCGAATTTTCAGGACCTACAGATGATAAGTGAGTGTGCTTAAGGAACGGAGAAGTTGTGGGAACTGAGAGGAGGGTCTATATAATGACACTTCAACATGTGACTTGAGACTGGGAAGACTGGAAAAACAGTAGGAAGGAGCTAGAGGGGAGCAGGGTGGGCGGGTGGGCATGGGGGGCGGTAAGAAGAGAACACCTGGCATCTAATTTTTATAAAAATCTGGATGGCTCAATTTTAACCAGAATGTCCAGTCCTGCTCTAAAACTTTGTCATAATATAAAAGCAAACTGACATTTTCATTAAGTTTCTTGACAATATTTCCAAGTTAACAATAGTTAATATAATGTAAAAAACTTTTTTTAAAGAGAAGAGAGTCTCATAATTTGCCAAGAGCCTCAGCAAAATTTTATGGTATCTGCATGGTGCTGTGGGGAAATGAACAAAAAAAAAGATGAGTTCTACATTTTAAAAGTAAACTTTGTATGGCAAAGTAGAGAAAGAAGAACATTTCTCCTTTACGTCCATAGCTTGGTTATTTATTGTTCAGAAAAAAATAAAATAAAATTACATTTTACCAAATTAATTTTCTTCTATTCTCAGAAAAGTAGGTTAAATATATAATGTCCAAACTTCAAAATTTGATCTCTCCTTCGCATTTTCCTGTCCAGTTACCTTCATTCTCATCCTGTGGACATCTTGATTTCAGACTTCTAGCTTCAAGAACTCAGAGAATTCGTTTCTGCTGCTTTAAGCCACCCAGCTGGTGGTCACTTGGCAGCCCTGGGAAACTAACACAAATGCAGTTCTGAAGCCTCACTTGGGGAATGTGTGCTTTCCATCCCTGAACTCTGGCTCTGTGGGTTTAAAGGTGCTGATACCCAAAGGGACACACTTTCCTTAGGAGACAAAGCAGGGATCCCACTGAACCATAAGCTGTGCTTGCCTCCTGGTCATTGGATGCTCCTTGTGCCAAGGTACTAGCAGTCAAGAAGAGTAAATACTACCATGGTGAGTTTAATAGACCCTGATCATCATAAGGATACTTCCTTATGGGCTATTGTGATATAATGAGAAATATGTTTGGACTATTGTTATGTAATGAGAAATATGTCTGGGTCCAGGTAATCCACTCAGGTACCTCTTGATACTCCCTTGCCCACTTTTGATGGTGACTGGACAACTGCAAGGACCTTGGCCTGACAAGGACATAGTGACCAGGGAACTGGCCCCTCTGGGATAAACATCTTAATCATACCACAGACACCAGTGGGGGTTCAGACTAAGAATGAGGCTAATTTACAATGAATAGCAGAAGAAGAAAAATGAAATTCTATTGCAGCTCCAGACCAGCTGTAACAACAAGGCTATAGCTGTCCATTTACATGTTTCTTCTAAATTATCCTCCCAGAAAGGGAGGTCCATCAGTCCTGAAGGACACGCTCCCAATCCTTACAAAAACAAATGGATCTGAGAGTGCCAGATGAGCACTGTGGCAGATGCTCTGAGAGTCACCCACTCAGATTCTCCTTCAAAAATAAAGTGCTTGTTGCCTGGTTGCTATGGCAGCCAGAAGACATCCTCAACTGTCAGCTCTCTAAGGCATCTGCAGCCTTTGCTACAGAACTGTCCCACCTAGTCCCATCTTTTTCAGGGGCAACCTGCATTCTAATGATCTAACAGGGCAGAAGCAAAAAGGCCCAGCCCCATTTCCCAACTCCCTAGAATCCAGAAGCATCAAACATCTGTGAAATGGATTATTCTAGTTAAGCAAACATCTGGAAAATTGCACTGCATTTCATAATCCACATAGACCTGTGTTTTCTCACTCCCAGTGGACATTTAGAATCACTTGGAAAGTTCTACAGTAGACTGGTGTTTGGGCTCCACCTCCCAGAGATTCTGATGTACTTGTTTGGTATGGGACCAAGCATGGGTATTTTCTAAACCTTCCCAAGGTGACTAATATGCAGGCAGTACTGGGAGCCACTGAGTGACAGAATGAAAACAAGCCAGGGGGAAGTGGGTAGAGGAAGTGACCCTGACATCTTCCTTCACTCTCACTTTTTACTTCCTTTATCTCACCAAGGGCTGGGGGATCCCAACAGAATTAATTCCCTGACCTGTAGGAAGTACTTAATGGAAGGTTGCTTTAGTGTGATCTTCACATTCTAGCTTTTGGTTATGCTCTGTGCTGACTTTCCTGACTGTGTTTGAGCTCCTTCCCTTAGAAATCAATGTTTGTGCCCTCCTCTGCCCAAGGATCTGTCCTGGCAAGAAAACTGGGAAGAAGGCAGTGCATTTGCTTCCTGTTCTAAGTATATGATACCACAGATGACTTTTGGAGGGTTGACTTTAATAAATATCCCAGGAAATTTTCAGATTCATCTAATATTTCTTATTGTTTTATTTGCCAGGAAAGAGCCATGTATACCTGTACACACAAAACTAAATCCACCCCCCATGTAAACTTTCACCCCAGAATAGACTCCATTTGGACTCTCTTCCATTTACCACTACTTTCAGTTTCCAGATGGTAATCTCCACTCGAACTAGAGCTGTATTTACTGTGCTTCCTTCAATCTGATAAATACTGAGAGCTACTAATGGTTCCTCATGGAAGCTTTATCAATGCAGAGGAACTTCTGCAAGCCCTTTCAATAAACTGCCTTATCAAAGAGAGATTCCTAATGAATCTCCCTAATGAGACCAACAGTTTTCCAGTCTTTACCTGTCTGTGACCTCAGCTGCAGAAGTATGTCTACTGGTTCTTATTCAATTCATTTTTTAATATTTTACTGCTGTGTAAATATTTGCTGTAGCTGCTCTTTCAATTACATTTTTAAAGTGATATTGTACTTGCTGAAATAATAGATACTCAGGGATTTGTTTTAAATTTGTTTTAGCCACTATTATAAAATAGAGGTTACTTGCAAAGTAATATTTTTCCTGTGCACATTTGCTACTGGGTGTGAATATTCAGCTATTTATGGCTGATATGTCACACAGGTAATAATTTTTTTTTAGAAAAAATGTCTAATGCCATCTGTTATCTCAGTAACGATTGAAAAGGCAGGATTTTAAAAAAGAGACAAAGGAAAAGGAGGGAAGGGGCTTTAATGACTGACTGTGAGCTCTAGTAGAGCTCTGTGAAAGTTAACATCCCAGACCAGCATCCTCCCCTCTTCTAAAGCTGTGTCTCTACGATGGCTTTTCACATACTCTAGGCTTACCAGTTCTCTTAACATAGCTCCAAAGGTCTATTTCTGCTCAATTTTTTCTTTTTTACTCCTTTTATTATAGAATCTTGCAACACCTTTATGAACCCTACTATAGTCCTAAAAAGAAAAAAAAAAGGAAGGGAGGGAGGGAAGGAGGACTGGAAGGAAGGGAGAAAGAAAATGCCTTCTCTTAACTCCTAAGATCTTCCCTTCACTGAAATTTTCCTCTGCTTAAATGTATTCTTGCCTAGAATCCGTTCACAATGGTCATTGTTTTCAGAATTAATCTGCATGTGGTACAAGCAGAATTTTCACTTGGTAGTGAACTTAGATTGTATATGCCTGCCTGTTCTTCAGTTACAGAGGTTGATTTTATTCCTCTACTCTTCTCATTTTTTATTAGAATATAAAAATTCCACAGCAAAACCAATGCAGGTCTTGAAAACTCAAAAGAAGAAAAATGAAATGTTCTATGGTACCACTCAGAAAATTGATATAATCTGTGACCACAGCATGAATTAAAAAAAAAAGACATAGACTAGAAGGATCTACACAATAATCTTGACTTCTGATCTTTTCTAGGCAGCAATTATGCCTCCAGAAATAAAAAAGACCTGGGACTTTTCATTAGAAAGCAGTTTACTGCAAGAAGCTTCTCATTCATGTTAATCTTAATTTTGTCTACTGCAGTTGAAACTCATTGCTCATTGTCAAAGACAATCTATTTACAAAAGAAATAGATTTCATTGACAAAACTGACAGAAAAACTCAAAGAATAAGAAAAATCATTATTCACCCAATTATACTAAAAGCATTTTACATACACATAAGTAAATACATGCATGTATGACATAATTGAGACTATAATTTAAATTCTTTTTTACAATCTGCATGTGTATATTGTTAACCTTTTTCTCTCATAAAATATCTTAATCATATGACTTTATTGGTTCTACCACCATTTATGCCAAATTAATTTATCTTTATTTCAACCACTCATGTCTTGTTTCTCCCTTACAAATAATGCTGCAATCTTATTTTATAAATATTTAAACCATACATGATTCTTTCCTTAATAAACTTTCCCTAAAGTAAATATATTACTTAGACACTATGCAGGAATTCTTCGAGTTCATGAAAAAAATCATGATGATGATTACAATAAAATTTATTTTCTAAAATTGATCAAAATAAAATAATTTGTCACATGAAGCATAAACAAGGACGTAGCTTACCTTGAGCAAAAAGCACAGGGTGAATTTTGAACCCTCCTCCATTCTTCAGCCGTTGTGGCAGTTGTTCAAAATGGTAAGCATCGATGTAGAAGTAAACCTTCAGAGCTTGCCGGCTTCCTTCCACTTGATATGTAAGAGGGACGTCTAAAGTGACATTTAATGTTATATTATTTCTTAAAGTCAGGATATGCTACATAGTACATTTGTTAACCTCTAAAAAGAATCCTGAAAATTACTAGAAACTAAATATCTTAAAAGTACCCCTGTTTATCAAGTTCAGAGTTATTTAGGGAAAGACCATAAATCAGTTTCTCATTAGCTAAAGCAACAGATCTAACATGGTACTGTACATAAAATCCTGTAAGAGGAAACTTCGTTACACTTTGACACACCAGATGTCTCACTTAACTAAATGAGAAGTTAAGCTAAACATGGTTTAGAATCACAATCTATAATGGCCACTGCCTCACTCACATTTCAGTGGAAACGAGCCCATGGGGTACGCTTCTTAAGTAGTGTGCAAGAAATTGAGTGCATAACAACTGTTATCAAAATCTGCATGGGCTTTGCAAGCACCATTCCTTGAGCCCGAGATCAAAACTGGATCATCTCTATTGATGCCCAACAGTCATTAGAGATTATCTGTCTAAATTCTTTTAGCTTTTTTTAATATCTTAAATTTACTTACTCAAAAAAAAAAAAAACCCAGCTAATTTGAGAAGCTAAAATGCTGCAGGAGTATTTCACAGGGCTATCATAAAACCTTTTCATTTTATGATAATTTGCCATGATAAATAATTTCCACATATTAAAAAAGTAATGTAAAATCTCTCTTAAAAGCTAGAATAGTCACATTAACCAGTTAAAAAATAAGGCCAAGATTTAGTGGACATTTAATATATGTTTTTGTCTCAATATTTATTTCTAATAATATTGAAATAAAACTGTATAAAAGTAGAGTTCAAGGTTAAATACCCTTAATAACAGATTCCAAACTTCTTATTAAATGTATATAATTCTGCATATCAATAGAAGCATTGTAATAACATCTACAAGTCTCTTTTATTCACATCTAATACTGCTTATTTTGCTTTGCTTCTTTTTTCAAGGGAGATGAAGGATTTTGGTTTAGAAAAAGGAATAAATAAATTTCTCAGGTAAAGATTTGGAAATTAACTACATTTTAATCATTGGGAAAATCCATTTTTTGTTTTCCTGATTCTAAAATGAAGAAAAAAGATACATGGACACCAAAGAAAATAAAGATTTACGTTGCATATTTTAAATATTGGTATCTTCTAGCTCCCCTTTTAATACAATGTCTTTCATGCACATTTTAATTCCATTTCCTTACTCTTTGGCATCCACGCAGCCAATTTCTGCATGAGCAAATGAATAATGTTATTGAAAGGAAAATAATAATGCAGTAGTGAGTTCCATACTATAGGACTAACAAGATCAAATAAAGATGATTTACCAGAAATTAAGAAACTGAAATGAAAATAACGATGTTATTGAATTTAAAATGAGGTAAAAAACTAAGAGTACTGTGTAAAAGAATGGAAACCCATTTCTCTCAAAGTATTAAGTGCACCTGAAAAGTGTATAATAATGTGGAGTTGAAAATCACTGCCTTTTAGTTATAATTTATCTTATTTAGTTATAATTTATATTATTTAGTTATAATTTAGCTGTGGAAAACAAACTTGATGATTAGGACTACATAATGATTGAAAGCTTCAGAAACATTATTGCATAAGGAAAAGGTCTCTGGTTCCATCCTCTAGAGATGCATCCTTGAGAGAAGTTTCAATGGCGGGGCCCCATCCCTGGAAACAGGGGCCCCCATCATGGAATGGGCCAGTGAGTTTGAAAATAAGTCTTGGACTAGGAAGTTGTTAGTTCTGTTTGCCTGAACTGCATTTCCTTTTCCCTGGACAGGGTTGGGTCTTTCTTATCCTTGAGATTTCAGCTTAAAAGCTACTTCTGCTGAGTGCCCTTCACTGGTGACTTCTGAAAGGGCCACCTCACCCTTGTTCTTCACGCCTTACTTATTCCCTGTGCAGGATTTATCACAATTTGTCCCTAGTTGTCTTTGTTGTTGATTCCTCACTTGTGGTCTTCAAACTAGACTATGAGCTCTGTGCAGACAGGGACATGTCTATCAGGTTCACCAAGGCACCCACAGCTCCAGGCACGTATGGATGGAGTGCAGGCTCAAAAAGATTCATTCCCCTAAGAGTTCCTATCAAATTACCTTTATCACAGTTGGAAAGGGGAAGGTGTGCTGTCATTATACTATTCTCCAAAAACATAAAGATTTTCTTTAAAATTTAATTATATACAACCTAATCATTTAGTTCCTTTATTCTTCCTTCACCAATTACATAGGAGGTGGGAAGTACCTTGGACTTTTCCTGTACTGAAGTAGGTCAAATTGTCCATTCATTCCTTTGTACTTCTCCCTGGGCTCTAAGCTTTACGCCAACAGGGACTTTGTTTCATGTAGTCATCATTATATCCCCAGAACTGAGTTTAACACTCAGCATGTTGTATATATGTAACAATTATTTCTTTGAAGAAAATGAACTGTCTTCAGTCCAGACATTTGAATTCTACTTGCTCGGTATATGATATTTCTTCAGAATCTCAGTATTCTTTAATATAAAAACAATACTATGAGTAATGTTAAATATAGCTTTTTAAAAAGAATACGAAGTAGTAAATCAAGGAGAATGGATTGGAATATTTACTGACTACTACGGTGAGCCTTATTTAATACTAGAGACTTTCAAATAAATATATTACTTTATTTAAACCTCACGAGCCTTTGAGTCAGGGAAAGACAATATTCTCATGTTTGTGAATAAGAACAGAGCCAGGATCTGAACTAAGCTTTCTTGATTTCAAGGTCGATATTCCCTTGTTCTCTTTATATCTTCCTGCCTCTACCCCTCTGCACTCAGTCCCTCTCTCAGAGGCATGCAGCCAACTTGCTTTTGTCACAGTGACACCAATTAATTAATCAATCTTGTTTCTCTGCTTCTGTAGATATTAAATCACATGCAATTAATGACAAAGCTATAGTTTTCTTACCCACATAACTAAGATGCAATGACCCTTGAATACAGAATCATCCTCTTCTTTCCTGATTATGTCATTCTAATTAACTCTGAATGATAACTATAGTCCTATTATCGCTATTTTTAATCTAGTAATGTAGCAGTGGAACTACTAACTTTTCACTAGGTGAGGTTATGCTTCAGGGAAATACATAAAAGTGGACTGTCACATGCATCTCACAATTTTTGTGTTTGTCACAGGTTCATCATTATTTACATACTAATGTTACTTAATGGTCTTAATCATTTTCAATATGCCACAGTTAAATCTCACAGTAGATATGCAATAAGAAAATATTTTTATCAAGCTTATGATACTAGTTCCTCTTTGGCTTGTTCGACAAACCAGTCACCAGGAATGTCATATTTAAACCATGGAAAACAGTACTATTGTGAGCTTATAGTTCCTTAGGCAAAATATGGGGAAATAAATACATTAAGTTATATTGTAAAAACAAAGTTTCTTTAACTTTAGTGAAGTTATGCCTACATTTCATTAAGTAAATGAAAATGTATTCTATTTTATACATGCCCACAGAAGACTATACAATTTGTTCAAATAATATTATCCTTATCAAATAATCCCCTTTATCAGACAAATTCTCCCTTGAATATAACTTCTATTCCTAACTGTTTAATTCATGTTCTTGTTCTCTCATTTATCAGGGAAGGTGAAACTTGAATAAAATTCTGTTCTCTTCCTTCATAATTTAATACCTACAGAATAAACTAATTTTACCACAGCCACCCTCAAGGTCAAGTCACCACCATCTTTCACCTGGGTCACTGCAGTAGCTTCCTAGCTGCTCTGCTCTGGCGCCTGGTAATTGTATGTTCAACACAGCGGTCTGAGGCAGCCTTTAACAGGTAAGGCAGACCATGTCATTCCTCTGCTCAACGGCTTAATTAGAAAGGCAAAGTTCTCTCACTGGTCTGGCCTCCTCTTCCTTCTTACCTCTTACTCTTTTTCCTTCCGTCCCTCCACACCAGCCATACAGGCCTCCCTGCTATTTTGAGAGCACCGCTGCACCGTTCCAATGAGTCTGGGACACCTCCTTCAAATGTTTGTGTGACTCACTCCCTTAAGGCCTTCAGCTCTTTGCTCTCCTCCTATAAGGCTTCCCCCCACCCCACCAGCTTGTTAAACGTTTGTACCCTTTCATCAGCTCCTTCATTTTCATCCTTTGTTTTCTCTCATTTACATTATACATTCATAGTATTATCTTCTAACGTATTACCAAGTTACCTCATTTGTCTTGCTTCTTACTCATATCTCCCTACCTAAATATCAGCTCTGTGAGAATTATCCATCTGTTTATTCTCTACTTTATCCAACACCTAGATTAGTGCTTGATTAGAGTGGGTGTTCAAGGAAGTTTTGATGAATGAATGAATGAATGAATGAATGATAATCATTCATAAATCAGATCACGGATTAAATGAATATTTATTGGGTCCCTATTTATTATGCTAGACATTAGAAATTTGAAAATAAGTAAGAACCTTTCCCACCCCTGGAGAAGTTAACATCTACCATAATATATAAGATCCCCACACTCATGCATAAACAAGAGAGAAAAATAACAAATTGCTAAATATTTCTTGGACTCATATATAAATTTTAAACCTACTTACAACAATGTTGAAATAGTAAATCAATGATAATGCGGAAACTAAAAGATATAGAGATTAAACCCTACTTATTGCTATTTCTCCAAATGTATACTTCTAAATTGCAGGTATAATGATGGCAAATTGTTAAATCAAAGGAATGCTTTTCAATCCTTCAATTTATTAAGTAACTTCTTTGCAACATTACATACAACTATGTTCTGTTGAAGTTATCTTCTTCTTTCTTCACACTGTTAGTTTTCCCTTCCACTGTCATAATCATAGAGCCCTTCTGCCTGTGCAGTGCATATACTTCACTGATACTTATTCATTCATTTCCTTGGGAAAAAAATGTTGCCTTTTCTGTTCCAGGTACTCTCTTGGGTGCTAGAGACACAACAATGAATAAGATAGGAAAAGGTTTTGCCGTCTTGGATACTGTAGGAGTTAACTAAATGAATTAGGATAGTTATCGTGATTATATTTATACCCATTAAAATGATTGACACTCAGATGAAGTGATTTTCAATTTTCATTTTTAAACTAGCAAAAATACAGAATATGTGTCTACTTCAAATTCAAATATAACTTTTATCAATTATTGTCAGATCAAATAATTATAATGTCTTTCTGAACTGGTTTAGATCTAAATTGTATACATTGTGAGCATAACATAGGGCTCTTCTGTTTCTTACTGGCCCTAAATACCTGTTTTCACTGCCTGCTAACACATTCTCTAAGGAACAACAGAGATAATGAGTGTGCACTCAATTCAGGCAATTTTGCTACATACTTAAGAAAAAGTTTGGGAATCTACAGGGTTTAACCACACAGCCAGATATATTAGGGCAGTTCTTTTATTTTTTAAAAATATTTTGATATAAAAGCAGTACAAAGAACAATTATCCTATGGTCCTATTCGTATGAGACACAGCACAGGCAAATTAATAGAGACAGAAAGTTGAACAGAGGTTACCAGGGACCAGAGGAGAGGGTAATGGGAACTTAGAGCTTAATGAGTATGGAGTCTCTGTTTGGGAGAGTGAAAAAAATCGTTGGAAATGGTTGCACAACATCACGAATGTACTTAATACCACTGAACTCAACACTGAAAATTGGTTAAATGGTAAATTTTATGGTATGTATGTTTTACTGCAATAACAAAAACAAAAAAAGAAGGGAAGAAAATCTTGCTAGCACAAAATTTGATGTACGTGCTCAGAAAGTTCTGGAGGCCAAACTAATAGGTAAAACTAAATGTTAAGAATTATCTGTAGACTTAAGTTATATATTCCTCACCTCCAAATTGCTCTTATTATTTTCCCTACACATGATATTTTATATAAAACAATTTAAACTTCATATTAAATATATTCATATAAAAGTATTACCATATGTTGTTTTATGACAAAGAAATTCTATAAAACATTTAACTACGTACTTGCAACCAGTGGTTCTTCTTTTGATGGTTTAAAATAAAAAGAGACCTTTTCCAAATCAAATAGTGCAACCAGTGTATCTTCTAGCATGGCCTGTTCATCTGTCTAGAAAGAAAGAAAAAAAACAGTACATGATATTATAGGATTGTGTCAACCATAGCATAGCCTACCCAGCCTAGCCTAGCCTGGCAGAGAGTACCATGACATTACCAGATCCAGACTAGCTGCACTTGTGTTTCATTCATATACAAACCAAATTATCAATGCTTAACTAAGTTTGCTGCCTTAAATAAAATGAATAAATCTCTCAAAGTTATACATTTTGCTTATAGTTTCCATTTTCTCAATTGTCTAAATGGTTCTACACAACTCTCCAGTCTGTTTTGTAGGTAGAGTCTAATCATATTTATTTTGTTTATACTTACAAACATATCTGTACAAAAAAACAATGCTGTTTGCTCTAAATTTCTATAATCTTATTACAGCTGAAAGGTGAAAATGTTGTTTTATTAAAAAGCCAAAGTACATAATGGTCATCCTATTTTATAATAATATAACCTATGCATTATTCATTTTGCAATTTATTAAAACTGTGATAAAGGCAATTTACATGTGTGTGATGATTTTTCTTTCAAAGGGCTTAGTGATAAAACCATTCTTACCTCACTTGCCTTTTTTGGGGCCTTATCCTACAACCTTGTGAATGTGAATCTGATTTGTTTTACAGCATGTTATTTTCCAGCTTAGGCAGGTAAGTCTAGACGTGCCAACAAGTTTAGTGCATGTCTTGGCTATATCACTCTCCTAATAATAGATTCTGGCCTTCCTGTGAGCAGCTTAGTGTATTATCTGGAGTCTTTTACTGATTTCCTCATGAAAGAATAGTGAGCCTTATCATATATACTTTTCTTTTAAAGATGACATTTGTTTCCTTAAGAAGTCAATGATCCTTTATAATATTAACATGCTTTACATATATTTTTAAAAAGTTCTTCTAAGTTTATAGCCATATTTTGGGGGCAGCATTAGTAGAAACTGCAGAAGAGATGGTGAAGAATTTTCATTGTGTGACAAAGAATCACTGAGTGGAAACCAGGAGGTTAAGAGAATTGTCACCTTTAACCTTGGTGTGGTACTGAATACAGTGTATACAGGACAGGGGAAGTGCTGGATAAATGCTCACTAAACTTTTCCTTCTTAAAGTCCTTTGAAGCAGAAGAAAAATGCCATGAACAGAACAGAAGGACAGAACTAAAGAATCACAATTTTCCAGAAGAGGAACATGAGCAGGAAGGAACGCCCCACAGGGGCTGGCCTCTGATTGCTTAAGTGCATGCCACAAAGCTCCAACTGATATGACTGAAGCCACAACCAAGTGACCAGGACTGTGCCCTGGTCACAGCTAAGAGACACACAGACCACCAGAGCCTGCAGCTCCCTTCACAGGCATAGGAGGTTTTTATGCTCTGGTTTCAGAGGCAGAAACAATATGGGTTTCTTTGATTTTTTTTCTTGCAACCTTCAGATTTTTAATCCATTCTGCAATAAAATTAAATGTTTTGCAAGGGCAACATAAAGAAAATACAGTTTTCTTGAAATCCGATTCACATACTATAAAATTTACTCATGTGAAGTATATAGCTCAGGGGTTTTTAGTATATTCACAGAGCTATACAACTATCACCACCATCTAATTTTAAAATATTTTCACCACCCCAAAAAGAAATTCAGTACCCATAAGCATTCACTCCCCACATTCCATCCTCCAATTCTTAGCTCCAGGTAACCACTGGACTACTTTCTGTCTCTAAAATTTGCCTGTTTGGCACATTACATAATAATGCAATCACATGGTATGTGGTCTTTTGTAACCGGCTCACTTCATAATATTTCAGCATTTACTCATGTTATAGCATGTACTGGTACTTCATTCCTTTTTACTGCTGAATAATAAATAGTCTACTGTATGGATATACCACAACTTGTTTATCTACTTGTCAGTTCATGAACATTTAGGTTGTTTCCACTTTTTAGCTATTATGAATAATCTCTCTAGAAACATTTATATACAAGTTTTGTGTAAATATAAGTTTCATTTCTCTTGGGTATTACCTAGGAGTAAAATTTCTGTGTGATATGGAAATTCCGTTCCGAAATTGCTCCACTCCTTTACTTCCATCACCTCACTGACAATTGTGAGTAACTATCTTTCTGGATTATAGCCATCCATCCACATCATGTGACAAAGTATCTCACTGTAGTTTTGAGTTGCATTTTCCCAGTACCTAATGATGCTGGTCATCTTTTTTTTATGCCTCTTGGCAATTTTCTTTGTAGAAAAACCATTCAAATCCTTTGCCCACTTTTTGAGTTTCCTTTTCATTGTTTAGTTTTTAAGAATTCATTATGTAACCTCGATATGTCACTTATCAGATATATGAATGATAGATACATAAAATTTCAAATAAAATGAAGTTTAAAGTTAAAGTACTGGCACTTGATTAGACAATGGTGGTGTGGAAGTAAAACTCAGAATAGAACTAAAGCCTCATTCACTCAACACTTAACCCCTACTATATGTTAGGAGGTGGGCTTCCTATGTTTCATAATTTCTGCTTTTTAGGCAATGGGATTAATTAATATTTATTTTTAAACATTATCAAAAGTTCCTTATTTTAAAATTTTCATTAATTAAATCTTTTATTTGGTTGTATTAGCAGAGTCTTTTCAAAAGAATCTAATTGTTTCTCTGAAGTAGACGGAGGTAGGCTTCCTTATCATTGCAGAACCTTTTATGACCATGCAGTGATCTCCTCCCTATCCTCAATGTCACTGAAGAAAATCCGTAGTTTGATGTATATACTCGCGTACATTTGTATAACATCTTAAGCATGTTACTTGGTAGCTGCATTTTCTGTGTACTTTAATAGATAAAATAGCATCTCATGTTCAAAATCACCATTCTTTTTAACTAGCACCTTTATATAAAAAAGTTTACTATATTTGCCTTAAATATCATGACAACTATCAGAACTACAGAAAGTATGTGCAAAAAAACTCTAAGTTCACCACAGTGTAATTTATCAAATATTTCGAGAGGCTTTCTTCATACCCACTGTGGAATGCTAACAGACGGAATACTCAGTGACTAACATTGTGACTAACACAACGTTCTTAGATTTAACAGGACAAACATGCACACAAAGGAAGGGAAAGGAATCATTTAACACATGCAGATTTGAAACAGATTGTCAGACAGTATGACGTGCAAGTTGTCAGAGCTCTCTATCAAGAACATTCCAGAATATCAGCCTCAGTGGGAGGTGGGGTTCCATCGCATGCCATCTTTTCTGGACTGAAAATAAGGACTCGTAGCAGGAAGACTTTTGTTCCTCTAATGACCTTTTCAGTCAAGAGCTTAGGGATGCAGGAATTAATAACAGATGGAGGCTTTCACAGCTGTTAGCAACCACTGAGAAGAGATAAAAATCAGGAAAGAAAAAATTCCTCCTCCATGCCTATAAAAACTCTATTTGCCCATGGAAAAAGATACTCTTTTAAAGTAGCTGAATGACTGCTGACACAATCATGAATAACCCCTTTTATTTGGAAATACACTACAACAGAAGTTTCAGTTGACACAGACCGTGGTGTGCACTGTGTCTCCTTACCAAGTTTGGTGACAGAAGTGACTGGAAGTGGAAAAGAACGCCCGCGTTAGCGATCTGCTCCAGCCACCGCCTGCTGGCTTCCCACGTCTCCATCTCGTGCTCTCTGCTGTTGTCGAACATCTGGTTCAAGGCTGCCATGAGCTGCTCAGAGAAGGCGCAGACGGTGGCCACGAGACTCTGGCAGAAAACCACGTCTCTCCGGAGCTGTGGCTCACTGTCTGTGATCCAGGAGAACATCAAGACAGTTTTGAGAAATGTCATATGAATCACACCAATCCATGAAGCACTTATGCTTGCTGTTATTTCATCCCGGCACTAAACTCACGCCCTGCGAGGGATGTGAATTGGGGCTCTCCGAAGGAGCACATACACTTGAGCAAATTTATTTTTCAGAAAACATTAAATACCAATATTTAGACACATTAAAATAAATTGTCTTAATTGATATTGTGGCTTTATTTTGTAATTACTAAATTGCTTTATAAAACCCAAGGGGAAAAAACTAAGGCTTCATTTATTTACATTTTTCCCCCTCAGGGTCCACAATTTGCATTTGTTGCACGAAACTTTCCTAAAGGAAACTCAAAGCTGAATTTTTCATTTTGTACTGGCAAGCAAAATACAGTGTTATTAATAATACATTTTCCCTACTACACCTATTAAAATATTTATGTGAAATACACATGGGGAAAGAGTATCAATGTCCAAGTGTCTGTAAAAATCAGCAAATCTGTATCTCCTGAATTTGCTGTTCAACTTCACAAGTTATAAATATGTCCATTTCCTAAACTCCTACATTGCTTTGAAATAAGTAATGCACTTAGAGTTTTAGCACAAATTGATTTTCCCTAGGATTCTTATTCTGCACGTGACTGGAGTTATCCCTGACCTACTCCAAAGGCATGTTTACCATGCGAGCTCCGCTCCTGGGCCCCAGGCTTTTCAGAGGGAAGAGGCTGTGCCTCTGACAGCCTGGCCACAAAGGGTTAACTTCCTTGGGTGGTTGGACATGTACAAACTACATAAATAATATAATGCCAAGCCATGTACTATATACATTGAAAAATCACTTCTACTAGAAGAACAAAGGTAAACATAAGCATATTCCCAAAAGCCTACTAAATATTTTGAGAGCTCAGACTCTTCTGAAACATCTTATCCATATTAGTGTATCACACAGTATAAATGCTGCCTTTATTCAGTGTTGAATTAATGCTTTATTGATAAAAAGGCATAATTCATAAGCTATTTACCAAGAACACAGAACATTTGCTTTTAATAACCATTAAAGTCATGTGTACACGTAATGTAAATTAAAAATATTTAATTTTATAATATAATTTTCATTTATTAGGTTAAACTATAAGAATTTGCTATTTTTGCAGGTCAAAGTAGTTGAATATGGCAATTCCATATGGTTCAACTTATTAATTTAACCAACAACATGTGTTAGACATTTTCCTTAAGTAGTTATATACCATGGGCCCTGTTCTAATAGATGGAAAAGAATATTTTATAAGTTACTATAAAATAGCTAAACTGGGAAAGAACTCTGTCCAAGTCTCAATTAAGTAAAATGCAAAACACTTATTTTTTTGTTGTGCATAATTTCGAATAGAATGTACACATTCAATAAATATTTACTGAATTAATAAATGAAAATAAAATACTAGAGTAACTAACAGACAAATGAATTAAGTGAAATGGAAATGTCTGAGTTTATTCTCAGGTTTCTTGAAATGCCAGGATTTAGTTCCACTTAAAAGGGTACTTCAGACAGTTTAGCCCAAAAGTGCAGCTAGAGGACTGAGGTTCAAAACTGAGACTAAAGAAGAAGCAAAAACTGCACTATATCTTCCTTGAACATTATTGCTTTGCTTTTTAAAAAAATAATTTTTGAATTTTTTATTGTTTTTAATTTATTGACTTGAGAGAGAGAAAGAGAAACATCAAATTATTGTTCCACTTATTTATGAATTCATTGGTTGCTTCTTACATGTGCCCTGACCCGGGATCAAACCCACAACCTTGGCTTACACCACCGAGTGGTGCTGTAATCAACTGAGTAACTTGGTCAGAGCTGTTGCTTTGCTTACGTGTTGTTCTATAATAAAGCAGAAAATCTGGGGCAATTGTAAAATATAGTTCAATAGCTTTGGCAGGAATATTTCCACCTATAACCTGAGAATAATTTCTTCATAAAAATCTGAATGAAAAGAAATCACTTATATCAACAGCAGAAGGATAAGGCCTGGAGATGGAAGGATCTGGTTCCACTGTGAGCTTTAGGACTTTGCCACTACAACGATTATTTCCAAATTGCTTTTGAGAAGAAATTCTCAGAGTTCTTGTTCTATTTTAAAACAAATACTTAGGTGTTTCTTCTACTCTCTGCTACTAAATTCTACATGCATTGTAAGCCAAATTAAAATTTTCATTTAGCTCATTATCAAATCAGAACTAATCACACACAAGTTTCATGTGTTCATCAACTCAAACTGTTAACACTGGATGCCCCACAGGAATTAAACAGCACAGCGGCTACTGGGGGTGCACAGGAGTCCGAGTCGGGGCCCGGCCATGCCTGTGCTCCCAGTGGATTGAGGATGGACAAACAAGATGCCTTCGGTACACACTGCCATTGAAATCCTAAACCTATATATTTTCAAATAAAAAACACTTAATAAATTCTTATTACTTCATGAGGTGATTTCCAATTGCCACCTTCCAATTTTTAACAGAGTAAATGACTAGTTTGCATAGACTTCAAAATGCACATCATATATTAAGAGCTTTTCAAGTGATTTTTGACATGTTAGTATCTACCAGTGAGTAACAAGGGTAGAAAACTGAATAGCGGACAGGGGTCTCTATCTATATCCAACTCATGTTTACAGCTTCTCAACATATCGCTTCCACCCATCCCAGACAACCAGCAACAATCTCCACAAGATAGTTGTGAGAATATCATAAAACAATGCAGGATAGTGGCTGCACAGACCCCTCTGAGCCACACCGTACTGGTCAGTGCTCCTCAAACACGAACTGCCCTTCCAGCCCACACTGTCAACCACAGGCCTCTGGATGCAGGCCCTCTTTTCTCCCCGCCTGCAAACTTTAACTCATTGGTCAAGGTAATGGGGGACCTCAAGAGTTGGAAAATTTTAGTTTTAAGTTAATAGTTAATAAGCTTAGTAGTTAATGCATATAAAAAGCTATTGTTTCAGGAACTGAAGGTACAGCCCACCCTGACTCGAGGAGACCACAAGCAAGTCAACCTTTGTGCTCCAGAAGAGACCACAAGCAATCAAGATGGTATCTGAGCTGTGTGTTCCAGGGAGAGACATCCCACCACCCAGGACACAGATGAAGAAAATCACCCAGGACACAGAACACAGATGAAGAAAATCACTGGTCAGTGGAAGGATGTTAGGGAACTGGACTGCAGCTTTTATCTGATTAAACTCTTTCTTGAATTCCAAATCCCTTACCTACTTTTTCCTCCTTACAAAAAAGGCTGACTTGAATGGAAACGTAAGACACTCTTTCAGGGTACATAACCCACTGTCTTCTCAGATCGCTGGCCATCTGACTCAAGTGTCCATAAAGATTCAATCTCTGTATTTGCTTTTTGGGTCTGGTGGTGACAGGCAGTACAAACACCAAATTTTCTGGTTTCAGAGTTGACTTACTGAACGTCAGTAGGTATTGCAGGTGAAGTCTAATGGTGAGTATGTGGATTGGCTTTTTCTGACCTTGAGAGGCCATTTTAAGTTCAAGATGAGGATTCCTCATGAAAAATTCCAGCAAAGCAAGTTTTAAAAAGCCTATGTGGTTAATTACTATTCTTGCTGGACTTATACAAATAACCAGGCCAACTTTATTGAAACTAGAGTTATTCTTCAAATAAGTCTTAATTTGGCTATTTTTGATAAAAATGAGGGTCATTTTAGAGAGAAAAATGATTTAATAGAAACCATACTATACCTTTATGGATATTAGATTCTTGGGCTATTGTCTTTTGAGTTTATTTTTAAAAATTTTCTACCTATAAACTGAACTGGATCCTGAATTTTACTAGTTTTCTTAAGTATCTGGCTGCAACCCTCCAAACTAACATTTTCATTTTCCCATCCTTTGACTTGGAATCATTGAGAATTAAAGCCACCCTTTTCCAAGGCCACGCAAGCTAACGTGGAACAACCTGACACAGACCTCAGAGAAATAACAGCAGCTCATCTACAGACAGTCTTCATAGTCTCCATGCCTGTTGTAGAAACATCACCAGGGACATTTGAACTGCAGACCAGTAGAGTCAGTCAGTCACTGCCTGACCCACTCCATCTGCAAATTTTCAGACCAACATCTAAAAATCTTGACTGCCTGCCTTTAGAACTCAAATAGCTGAGATTATAGTCTGCTCCAATCATTAACCTTTGTGTTTCTTTCATTTCCATAGAGATGCCTCATTAAATTCATGATCGCTTACACCATCGGCTTAACTTTGGGAGCCCACCTGCATTACCACCTCCTGAAATGAGATACAACTGTTTACCCAACTGAACTTTTCTCAAGACTAAGGTCGTTTAATGAGATACAGAACACTAACTACCAACTCCAATTCAGGAAGGATCTGTGGGGGTCCAGAATGAGTCACCCCAAGATGTGCCTCTGAGCCATGCAGATTGTTTTGAACTAAAGGCAACTATAGCAGGCACACACTCAAGATAAACTTCCTCTTTATTGAACTGCCTGGAACTTGTATAGGTGCCTTGCCTATAGGAGGGCATATATACTAAATGTTTGTTCTTATCATCCTACAATGGCCCTTTGAAGCCCCCAAGGTACATTACCTCATCCCTAGCTCAGAATGTCTAATACTCCTCAATCCCTCTTTCTGTCTCTGAATCTCTCCAGCCTGTGGGGTCTCTGAATCTCTCGTGTATGTAGTGTTACCATACATATGCATATTTTAAATTTGGTTATTTCCTCTTGATTAAAAAAAGTCATCTAGAAACTTACTGATTATGGGCATCAGATGTTAATCCTCAAGTTCCCCTCTCATGTGAATTTTCAGCATTTTCCAGGCCTTTGGCCAATATTTCTCCCTTTCTAGTTAGTTTCCTCATATGTACAAATCTATTCTACAGTTATTTTTATTTTTGTAAATTATAAAGAATGACACATGGTTCTACCTTTAAAAAAAACTCTGAACTATTAAAATATTATCTCCCCCTGTGACATTTCCCCTTTCCTGGAAGTTCTGTGCGCTTCTATCTGCAGCCAGGGCAGGGCATCCCTGTACTAAATGGCTAATGACCTACCCTGGTGAGAACTTGTTTCATGTTTGTGAGCCCCAGGGCCCTCCAGCAAGAAGGTCAGGGGAAGTGGCATATATCATATAATATGTGAAGTACTCTTAGACTTTAGAGGCATATAATCTGCTTTTTTCTACCCATTCCACCAATTTTAAACCACATAATCGTGTTAGATTCTTATATGTGAAATGGCATATTCCTAATTCTTATATCTGTGGTAACAATAAATAAGATACAAACATTTAGAGCACTTAGCAAAGTGAAATTTTAGCAAAGTGAAGTCGAACAGCATTATTATAATGATTCTTCTTTTCTCTAGCATCTAGCAGGGGGCCTGGCAATGAGTGGGTGCTCAGTTGTATTGCTGATTGGGGAAGGAACATATGATAAGTAAGGAAACCAAAATAAGCCAACTCCCAGCACAAACACATAGGTCTTTTCCTTTGATTTCTGCAGCTGTTTGAAATTCACAAGTGTCCATCCTTTCCAAAGCTATTCTTATTCTTCATTTTTATCGATAAGAACTACAGCAAGAATCACAAATGCTGCTTCTGGCTGCTAGCAGAAGAGAAGCAGAGGACTGTATTCTTTTCTGACAGCTTGTTTACTTCTTTTGCAGAATAAGTATGCTCTTGTAGTGGAAATACACTAAAAAGTTGATTTTTAAAACTTATCAAGTGATTCTGTTTCATTTCAGCCTACATAAACTTATTGTCTACAAACATGTTTTAAAATATTAAGACTTCATTACTCTTGACTGTTTTAAAAGGTCAAGTTCAACAATTATCTGGCTAATCTAAAAAAAATTAGATGGTTTCTTGATACACAAGCAATCCCAGTCATTCTTCTGAGATGGTACAGAGAAAATAAAGCAAAATAAACAAGAAATAAAGAAGATCAGAAAGAGGCAGGAATAAAAGTGAGTGAAGAAAAATATTTAGCAGACAGTCTACCCTTTTCAAGTGAAAAGCGTAATTAATTTCTCAGCCAACAATATGGAATAATTTGGTTCTGTTTTGTTGCCATGCTTTGTATAAAAGGGAACAAAGAGCAAGTGAAAAAAATAGAAAAAAGTAGAATTATGGCAGGAATAAAAAATAAAATTTAAATCACAATAAGGATCTGTAAGAAGAACCATTTGAATATTAATGAATGAAGTAATACATTCCAGGACCACTTCTGAAATTGGCATAAGTTTGAATTTCAAATCTTCCCCCTTTATTATTCATGTTCTCAGTAAAGCATCTATTTGCCTAATCTTCCAGATGATCAAAAATATGTGTTGAATGAATACCAGGTACTAGCTATTATTAATCTGTCTGATTTTTAATTTTAAGTGTTTGATTTTTATTTATTAATAATCACCTGATGATTAATTTCTCCTCTTTTAAAACTGTGGAAAATAGTGATATTCTATTATTACTAATAGGACCAATGAAATACATAAAAATTAGGTCCATCAGCTTTGCGGTTATTAGTAAAACTTAAATGTAAGAAGTTTATGGTATTATTATTCATTCAAAAAGCAAAGCAAAAACATTTTAAAGGCAAAAACCACTCAACAAACACAAAGGCCCTCTTGGTTAACTTGGCTCCTCCTCTCATTTATTTATAATTTAAAATTTCCAACTGTGGTAGATTGTACAAGTGGTCACAATGCCCTCCCTTGCCTACATCCATGCCCTTGGAATATGATTTTGAGACGAGGCTCCTCCTATCCACAGCTCAGTCCATTTCCCCAGGCCTTGAATCGGAGCCCACCTACACCCTTGTTCATATCTAAAAGTTAGACACAGTTTCTCAGTATGTCCCATTTTCACAAATAACTTTATCAAACCTGCTTCCCTTCTCTTTTTAAATTGTATTCTATATAAATGCTTATGTGTGTTTTTGTGCTTCTACTTGTAATTGAAGGTGAGTATACATTTTTGTGTTTTTATTAAAACTAAAGTTTTCTTTCTAACTTCACAGGACTCTAGAGAAGGTAGGGATCATATTTCCATCTATTTTGCTGATGGCCTTGCCTTGATATCTATCATGAAATTTTCTAAGGTCATCGTCCACAAGAATTTTAAATAGTAAAAATAATAAAAAATATTACCTGAATATTCAAGAAGTGCCAGAAGTATTCTACACTTCACTTCTGCAGAGAAAAAAAAATATATATCACTTAACTGTTCAGTCTTTTTCTGCTGCATTTTAACTGCACTTTAATAAAAACCAGCACAATCTCATTACATAAGATGATAAAAGTTCCATTTGCTTGAAGTGCTATTCTTTCCTATTTGCCTATATAAATTTTACTCATTCCTCAAGACCCTAAAATGCCTCCTAGACCTGAATTACGTGAGCCTGTGAAACATTATTCAGATCCTACTAACTCTGTAGGTCTTCCTCAGCTGCTACAGCTTACATGATATTTATTCTCTAAACTTCTACAGTTGTCATAGTCTTGATCAATGAACTATCAAACAGTGTATTTCTTAGTGATTTAAACTTTTAAATATCATATAAATAATAAATACAACTATATACATTATATTATGTATTATATATTAGAATTATAGTTTATATGTAATTCTATAGATTATTTTTATAGAAAATGTGGAATATATATAGTCTTCCTTGCCTATCTTAAGTCCAGATACTGCCCTAAAAGACAGAAAATTACTAAATGTTTCCAAATATTCATCCTCCCAGCCCATCTTCAAACAGGGCCAATCACAAATATTTCATAAGTTTCAATCAACCTCATTTCAAATATTTCAATCAACTTCATACTCATTACTATGTGTCTAATGAGTTATGTGTCCATTTACTTTAAATTGGCAAATAGTTTACTAGCAGTAGGTAAATAAAAAACCTACAGAGTTCTTTACATGCCCAAGATTATGGGAAAAAAACAAAGGTTAGCGTGCATCCTATTCTACATAAGTTCACAATAATCAGAGCAACAAAATTAACCAACAAGAAATGCAGAAAATACCTGAGAGCATTAAATTTTACAAGTGAGACTGCAAAAACAAAGGATTCAGAGGTCTAAATTTCTTAAGCCTATCAGCCTTTAAAAAAATATAATGATCATTTTTGCTACTCATTATTTGGGGGGATTTTTAAATGTGATCTTATAATGTGCCTCAAGTAACCTTTATATTTAGCTATAAAATAAAAACACAGGCAAGAAACCCAGCTGTCAAGAACAAAACAATTCACTACACAATACAATTGCTGTGATTTATTTGGAGTTTTTAGCATCTGTACAAACTCCTCTACTGATCTCTAAATAATACCTAAGCTGTTATATTTGAGTACATTTCTAGGCAGAAGATTTAGCAATCACAGAAGAAGGCCTCCAAAAATGAAGAAACTGAGGCCCCAGGGGGTTCAGTGACAGGCTCAGGCTCTGTGGAGTTTAAGAGCTACCTTTTATCAACGTTGTTAAAGAGAAAACCACAGACCCAAAATGGTGTCACTTGTGCTAAAGCTCATGATTCCAAACCTAGGTTTAATACTGACTTAACTGCTGTTTCAATCTTTCCCGAAAATACAACCATAATCAACCGGTCTGGAACTTCCTGGTCAAGCAATACTAAGGCTATCTGTTGAGTGAGCCTTCTCCATCCCTCAGAGAAGGAAGAGGCAGCCTGCATGATCAAAGCCCCTGCAGTTCCCCTTCCTCCAAAAGGAGATGTTCTGGCCTCTTCTTTTGTTAATAGCTCCCTTGCCCCACACCTCTTCCTGTACAGACTTTCCATCTTGTACACCCCCTCAGAGCACCCTTGTAGTCTCAATTGCAAATCACTTAATAAAGCCAATTAGATCTTCAAAATTACTTGGTTGAGTTTTGCTTATTCACTGTATTTAAAAAACCCAGTATATAAATCTCTCTAATTTTCCCTAAAATAATGGTAATGACTGGAGTTATGCTGTAATTTTGCTGAATAGTATGTACCACATCCAAATGATGTACACATGACTGTGGAATAAAAATTTAAACACAGCTTAATACTCATTTATTTTACAGGTTCCTTGGCCTTAGCACTCTTAACATTTTGGGCCAAATAATGCTTTGCTGTGAGGGACTGTCCTGTACATTGTAGAAAGTTCGGTAGTACCCCTGGGCTCTACCCACTAGATGCCAAGAGTATAAATGCAGTTGTGACAACCAAAATGTGTCTCCAACCATTGGCCAAAAATATTGGGAAGCAAATCACTGAACTAGACATTAAAAAAAAATTAAACTTCTCATTTCATCTTTTTCACCATAACTGTGTTGGCAACTCTCAGAATTTTCTACTTAATAACTCTGATCCTAAACACACCATCATGTTTATTGAAATTGTCTTGACGTTCTAGCTCTAGTTGAAGGTTTACCAACTACAGGGTGTTGAAGAAATACTGCCGTGGTGGGTAATACCACCACCAACTCAGAAAAGCAACTCTGAAAAAGAAACTTAAAAACAAACGATGCAATCTGTGTCATTTGGTTGATTCTCACACAGATGCACAACTGACTTTTTAGACTTTCTGTAAAATTTAGTTTCATGACTTCTGTGAATCCTTGATAAATTTTTCTGTTGTTGTTTCATGTGATAACATATGAAACTCTCTCCGTATCTCATTTTTCGTATTTGTTGCACACTTATTTCAATCACTTATTCTCCATGATACTGGTCATTTAGATCCTTGAAACACATGGTTCTACAATCGTATTCCTTCTTTCTGTCTTCCTGCATCATACTTTATAGTCCTTTTATTTTCCTCTTAACATGAAACACTGAAACAGCAATCAGAGCCTTACTGAACTTTTGGTTTTAATGGGTTTTTAAATGATGACTGCGGACGTCATGAGCTGTTCTTTGCTTTTATCCTGACCTTCAACAAATTTTCTGAGGTTCTGAGCAAGATTCCGGACGCTGCTGGGAAGATTCCAAGGATCCTGCTTGATGTGAAGCCTTAATCTTTTTGGACAACTCAGCTTTGGTTCCATTTCCTGCTGAAATTCTAAATAAACACACAAAAAATGTCTCTTAACTCTCAACTATTTACCAATTAGCAAGATTATAACCTTCAGAATCTTCTCCTTTCCCTTGCTATTGCCCTGAATTATCATCATTGTGGTAATTTCTTTGGCTACATCACAGGTGAAATATGTGTTAAAGCCAGAAAGCCAAACCTCAATATTATTTTCTTACACATGTTTAAACAAAGGAGCAAGTTTAGATGAAAAACGACACTTTAAACACCCTGAACTAGACCTTGGAACTGGAAGCTCTAGGTCCTGTTCTGTTTGCCCTCCCGCACTCCCAGCCCCCCTCCCCCACCCCTGAGATGTGAGCAAGTAAGCACCACGCGGGATTTCAGCCTCAGCAACTCACTACTTACACCTCTTCGATGAACTCATTTTTAATTCAGTCTGACCCTGATAAGCATGAAACATTTTAACATTCATAGAAGCCTAAAAGGTCTGATACTGAGTTCTTCCTTATCTTCAAAAATTATCAAAAAAGAAGTAGTCCGAAGTTAAGTTATGAAACATGAGCAACCAGAACTTTTCTTCTTGTACTATATATACTCTTGCTTCATAGCTACGTTGTCCACCACTTTTCCCCCAAATGTTTCTAACAGTTGTTTTTTAAGCCTTACCCTGTAATCCTCGGCCTGGGGTAAGGTGCTTGGTTTGCTCAAAGGCTCTGACCACAGCTCGTCCTTTTAGAAGATTGGTAATCGAATCCACCTAAGAAAATAGTAGAGATTCTATGAGTTATATATTCTCATAACATAACATATTTTTCCAAAAGTAAATCTTGCAACATGTTTTTCTTAAATATGATTATTTTGAAATCCCGTAATTCTTTATGAAATCTACCTTTAAATAAAGTATTGGAATAAATTCACCTGATAACATTTGCAACATTTCTTACTAACCTACCATATGTTAATATAAAATATAAATTCACGTCACAAAAGAAGTAAATGTTCTTGAGTTATTAAAAAACTAAAATTTATCAAAACTATTTTCAAAGTAGTAAAAGATTCTACACTATAAATTCTGGCTATGGATATCAATTTTTTAAGAGTATAAAACAGCCACATGAGCCCTGAGATAATCTTGTGCTTTTTGAAATTAAAAATAAAATCAAATAAGAAATGTCATAAAGGATTCTGAAAACCCATACAGAAACAAACAATAAAAAGAATAACTCTTGTGTGTATAACTCTTTACAGTATTCCCAGGACTGTAAAACACTTGGCATTACAATGATCCTTTGGGTTAGTTGTCTGAAAGAATATTTATTCCCATTTTAAATTGTGGAAATTGAGATAAAGTGGTGGAGGAACAGACTGGGGCCTTTTTATTCTCATTTCAAGCTCTTTTCACTACGTCTGAAAAAGAGATTCCTGATATTTTGATCTACAGAGAAAACACTCATGACTGTCCCAGTCTCACCTGGCTGAAAAGATGCTCAAGGCAACTATGTATCTTGTCCTGTTTTTCATGAGAAATGCGAACACTTAGTGGAAGTTCATCACCTAGATATAAGAAAATCATCACTCTCACATTTAACATTCCAATTTATTTTAATATAAATAAAATTTTAAAATTTAAACAAAAAGCTTCTATTCCATACATTAGTTCTCATGTTCAGAAAATGAATTCCAGAGGGGAGAGTGGAGGGAATTTCAGGGGAAAAGGGGAAGGGTTTGAAGCAACTAGTATAGAGGACCCATGGACAATAACAAGAGAGGGGGTGGAAACAGGAAGGAGGTGGGGAGGGCTGGGGGGGTTGGGCTGGGATGGAGGTAAAGTGCAGAAAACTGTACTTGAACAACAATTAAAATAAAATTAAAAAAAATGAAAATGAATTCCAAAAGATTTCATAGCTATGAGGATATCAGCTTACTGATCCTTGGAAAGTGAGGTAACAGCAGGCCACACAGAAAGAACACTGCACTGTGTTAATTCTTCTAAATGGCACATTTTTCTAATGGTTGAGATAAATTACAGATTTAAAAATTAAAATATATCCTAATTGGCTGAAAAGTTTTGTTTGCAACACAAACAAAACAAGATATTTAGGAGGCATTTATATCAGCCAGTATTTTTCTCACCTGCGTCCAGGCCACTTCAGGTTCACCTACTGTCACCGAGTCCTTAGTTTCAAAGCCCTTCCCACCTCAACGCCCAACCAAGGAGCTTAATGCTTAGGAAAGCCTGCCTCCTGTGCACCTATCATCCTTCACAGTATCACAGAAAGACCATAAGACACATACTAAGATAATTTAAAAATCAGTTGTTTCCTTCATCTCTTTTTAACTCGCTGCTTATAATGGGCCTGGGAAATGAATTTTAACAAGCACGTGACACTGAAATGCAACCTGTGCCATCATCAGGGATGGCTGATGAAGCTGAACGTGCATTAGGACCAAACAAGGCAGTCCTTGGAGAGAACCTGCAACTGGACTAGCACCAAAAGCACCAATGCCTTCTCTAAACGCACCTGAGTCCATGTCATCGCTGTGAAAATACGAGCTGCACTGGCTGCTGCAAATGCTTGTGAAGGAGGCGATGGAATTCCTGTTGCTGTTGCAGTCGCTGAAAAGGAGTTAGTTACAGTTACTTTAAGACTGCATTTGCCACACTTGCCCTGTGATTTCCTATGAGAGAAACTTACTAAACTGGAGCTATATTTATTAATGTTTTGTAGAAAATGATGAGAGAGATAAGCTTGTCTCATAGTCAATCTTTTTTAAAAATGTACTTAAAATTGAATATTTTAAATTTTCTCATCATATAACATAATCTGAAATGAATTTTTAAAATGCACAGTTACAGAAGTTTTTCTAAATGAATAGACATAAAACTAGGAGTCAAATCAAACATAATTCTTCATAATCTCTTTGATGGTATATGCCTGTAGTTAATTTGTTCATAGAAACAAATAAAATCCTGTTTCATGATCTCTGCCTTTCAGTCCTTCCTGGCAGCTTGAAATACAGCTTCTCAATGGCACTCTGAGCGCCCTGAGCGGGACCAGGGCCTTCTCACCACCTCAGAGCTCAGCACAGGATTCGAACCCGTACACGCTCGACACTGGGGGATGCTGCAGGGAAGGTTAAAATGGTTGTGAGTGAATGTGGATATACTACCGATATCTGAAATAGTGCAGGAGACTAAATAAATATTTTTTCCTCTCACCATAAATAAAAATTACTTATTTAACTTTTAAATTTCATGTAAAATGTCTATGTGTGCCAACAGAGAGACTGTGAAGGTAATTTCAATTACTTGACAACTTGAATTTGAGGTGAGAAAGTATTTTTAGACAAGTAATTTCCCTCCAGAGAGAAACCACAGGTTCCTACTAAAGAGTATACATCCTTAGAAGCTAAAAGTAAATGAAACAGTAAAAGTGGTCAATCTGTGTGATATACTATTAAATCTCTAGGAATAATTAACTCCTATGTGTTTGTTAAAATCCCTTCCACATAGAAATTGGGAGAGTAGAGGGTTAAGAAAGATCATGTGGTTTCTTAAGTAACTTAGGTAAGTACTGTGGGCCTTAGCTTCCAAAAATGTAGTTAATATCAGAACTGGCCACATATGATTGTGGTGGGAATTATGTGAGATCATTCTGTTCTTCCACATATCTTGTAAAAATATGTTTTTAATAGCTATTAGCATGCACTAAACATCTCTGATGCAAATAACTTTGATTGAACAGTAATTACTTAATACCTTTTCATTGTGAAACACTGTATAAAAAATAAGAGTGATTAAGAGAGTTAGCACCTTAGTTAATATAAATAAAATGAGAGCTGCTGAGGCTGAACACATAGCATAGACGGCAAGCTACAACAGTCCTCGGTGACATTCCAGGTGACACAAGGATTTGAAGGAGACAAGGCAATCTCAGTTAAGAAAGTTCACTGGAGGAGCCATCCTTTGAGAGTCTAGTAGGAAGATGACAGATTCTGGATGTTGTACGGTGTGACGGATTGAAATGTGTCCTCCCAAGACTTGTTTCTTGAAGCCTAACACTCAGAACCCCATCAAGGGACCATATTTGGAGTGAGGATCATTAGAGAGGTAATCAAGTTAAAATGAGGTCATTGAGGTGGGCCCTAATCCAGTATGACTGGGGGCCTTCTAAGGAGAGAAAATTTAGACACAGAGACATGCTCGGAGGGAAGAAGATGTGAAGAGACAGAGGGAGAGGACAGCCGCCTCCGAGCCAAGGGGAGAGGCCCGGAACAGAGCCCTCCCTCCCAGCCCTCAAAGAAGCCAACCCTGCTGACACCTCACTTCCAGACTTCTAGCACCAGAACTGTGAATGACAAATTAATAAATTTCTGTCATTTAAGCTACCCAGTGCTTGGTACTTTGTTACATCAGCTCTACCAAAATTATACAGAAGGCATGCAAGGGCAGAAGAAATACACAAAGCTGGTCATGGAGGTAAGCCAGTGAGAGTCGTCCAATTAGCTCGGAACATAAAATATAAGATGAAAGGGGAGCCAAGCAAGACAAAAGGAACACCTGTTCACTACCTGACTGTCCAATACTCAGAAACAAATATTGGGGAAAACGTTAATATAGGCACAACTTGATTATTTGCCATAAATGTTGCACAATCTAAAAAAGAACAAGTTTTCCAAGTTAGGTGCACACAGCTGGAGAAAAAAATGCTTTTTCAAAATTACTCCTATTATAAAAAAGAAGCATTTGAAAGGTTATGTTGTCTCACCACACTTTGTCTGAGATTGGTCAGAACTAGCAGTTATTTTGTGAGCAGTAAACAAAAACAACCATCAAACTGTTTTTTCAAGACCCGTTTGGAAAACACAGAATCACACTTGGCTTCGTGGATGAAAGGCGTTTAAGGAACTAATAAGTTACCTGTACGAGTCTCTGTTGCTGATGGTGTCATGGCCTGAATCTTCCTGCTCGTCTCCTGCCACATTGAAACAGACTCGCTTGCTGTTCCTTTCCCCCTTCTCGTTGTCACTGTCTGGCGGTGCTATGCATTCAGATGTCTTACGTTCTAATTTAGGAGAATACATTATCGAAGACAGAAGGCTGCAGCGTGATATAAAAAAAAGAAAAAGTGCACGTTGTACAAACTGGCTGCTTACTTGTTGATAAGACAGGCTTACAGATATGTCTAGAGTGCATCTGTGTTTCACACGAAGTGAATATCCTGCCTCATGAAAAAAACTGTCATATGAAATTTACTATCTCCTCTCAGAATAAGTAATAGAAACAGCACACAATTTAGACTAGACGCTGTGTTTGAATCCTGGTTCTCCAATTTATTAGCTTTGTTATCAAAGCAAAACTACGACGGTCTGTTGGACATGTGTGAGATGGGAATAAAAACAACCCCAGGACTGCAGTGAGGCTAAAATGAGAATGGCACATTCCCTGCTACATTCCGGGACTCACGTCTCTCCTGGCCACTATCTACTACCACCACCATATGAAGATACTGGGGAAACTTTAAATGGCTATCCAAATGTCAAAATAAACAGTAAATATGCTTTAATACCCTCCCTGGCTTACCCTCAGATTTTAAAAAAGCCCCCTGCCCACCCAGGCTTGTCTCAGCTGTCTCCCTGGCTTTCTCCATTTGTCAGTCCTGTCTCATGGCTCAGACCAACAGGAGTCCTGGCCCTTGTAATCCTAAAATGCTAATCAGAGCCACACATGAGGCGAGGACAGGAAGCCAGCAGGGCTTCCTCCCACGTCATCTGCAGGCAGCCTGGATGAAGTGTCACAAATCTGCCCCAGTGAAGGGTTCTTCCAACTTGGCTCAAGGCTAAAATGCCACCTTCAGATGCTGAACTGCCGTGAAACTCGACTTTCGACTGAGGAGCACAGCTTCCACCCCTCTAGTCAGGAATGTTTGGCTGGAAAAGGTTTCTGTTAGAACTAACTCAACATGATAGAAAACTGGAATTGGTCTTTACTATCAAGCAAGATGCTATAAAACTTAAATCACATCTGAAAAGGGGACCCACGTGTGGCTTCTCCAACTAACCATCGCCTTCTCATTTACGAAGGCGCAGTGACGTTCTGTTCTGGTCAACCGCACACGCACAACACGAGACACTCACTTCCCACAGCAATGTCCTGCTTGTTTTATTTCAAGTTCAGGAAAAATGTCTCAGATCTCTTGTATCTCTTGTATTATGTCCCATAATATCAAACCCAATGCTGTGTTTGAGCAAAGATTTGTTAAGTGATTTTTACTAATTAATTAGACACATTCATTGTAGTATGCATTGGTCTCAGTTCTGTGGGTACCAAAATTTACAAAACAAAGAAAAGCCCCTACCTTCTTAGAACTTAAAATCCCAGGAAGAAACAAACAATAAACAATTAAACTGTCTAGTCAGTACATCAGATAGTGACAAACTTTAAGAAGAAAAATCAAGAAGAGAAGGAAGCCAGATCCACATCTTCAAATTGTGTAGTCTGGTACGGTCTCCCTGTGATAGGGTACCGGACCTGGTAGTTTGTGGGTTTTAGAAAACAGGAATTATCAGGAAGCTGTGGTCCATTGCTCAGGGCTCTGTGAGGCTATGTATTATTTTAAACACAGTTTCTATTTGGAAGGATATTTTTATGTCTTGTAAAACAGATGGAATATGCATTCAATCCCTCCACCCAAAAACTGAAACAGGAGACAAACTCCAGTTACCCAAGCTGCACGCTGCACGGACAGATAAACCCTGAATACCAGAGTTTGCAGGTGTTCTCGTTCCGCAAGGGTCAGCTGTGCTCCATGTATCTTTTAAATGAGAAGCCATGGGGTAAGCATAAATATTTCTTTCCAAGTCATGTGAACTGTATTCGTATTTGCTTTTCATTTGAAATAGCTGCAATCATGCCTACACTGACCCTGTGGGAACAAGTGCTACACTAACAAATATTTGGAAAACAGTATTTGACACTATGTTTTTGCATAAAATTTCTAGATTCTTGAAAGCAGTAAGAAGGCATAAAACTTAACATGTGTGCATGCGGAAACATCTTCCTTTACTTTTGCTCATGCATAATATTAAGCTACCTACGGTAGGTCCATTAATTCTGAATTAAAATCCTGAGCAGCCTGCCATTCCAAGTCAATCTTTTCCTGATGCCCTCGATTAATAGAGTTTTGTATTTTGCATATCATAGATAACATTTGGTGTTAGCTAGGCTGAGTACTTAACAGGCATTAATTCATTCAATCCCTAAAACCACCTTATGAAGTTGGTACTATTGTTATTATCATTATCATCATTTTAAATTTGGGTCCCCCCTTGTATACATACACTTTCCAAATTCAGCAGAACACCCTTTCCCTTCATGTCACTCTGACACTCTGCAGGGAGAAAGGTGGTCACTAAAGCTGTACCCCACATCCCAGCTCTCCTGGACACTGGACTGGGTGGCTTCCCCGACCCCTGTGATGATGGGAATGACCATGGGACTTGCTTTTATTGTGAGCAGAGGTGACATGGGTCCCTTCCAGGTGGACACCTTTATGCCAGTGTGGTCTGCCTCATTCCCTCTCCCTGTTCTGACAATCAGAGGCACCCCAGTGATGAGGGCTGAGGGCCTGGACTCCGAGGGAGGTCACTGTGGAGCAGAGACCCTGCAACCCAGGTGGGCCTGGAGAGGGAGCAAGAAAGAAACCTTGTAGTGAGACTTTTGAGTTAACACAACAAGGAAGTGGATAAGAAGAGTTGTACGTAAAGCAGATGCCTAAGAAAATGTGAGGTGAGTGACGGGACACAGGAGTATCTACTCTACAGAGCCTCTACACCTGGGCCATTAGTCCGACACTTAAGTGCCTAGAAGGCCAGACAGAGAGACCTCAGGGAGCAGGGCTGAGCAGGCAGCTTGCCAATTTCCTGGGACAGAAGGGATTAGTGCCACAGGAGTTCAGGGAACTGAGTTTACTGGGAGAAGGACAGGAGCACAGGTAGAGCCGTGCAGGCCACGATGACACATTCAATATTATTTTAATGGCACTGCAATGCCATCAAATGGTTTTCAGCTGGGAACTAGCTGATTTCCCTTTCCAGACCCTGCAGCACAGGTGAATGTCTCATGTATCAGAGAGAGGCACGCTGGAAGCTCCTACAGTGGGCACATGCAATGGGACGATGGTGTCCCCTTCTAAGGTGACTGAGTAGATACATTCTGAGGTATAATTGACAGAACTTGATGGAATACTGGAGGTGAAGGGGAAGGAAAGGGAGTCAAAAATGAGACCCAGATTCTGGCTTCATGAACTGAAGAGATGGGAAATACTTCACTGAGCAAGGGAAGACCTTGAAGGTGGAGGGCTTGAGATGGATTTGAGTATGGGAAAGTCCAGAATTCAGTTTTGAAAAGAAATTTCAGTTTGATGTGTCTGTGATACTTCCCAGTGGCTCGTTAGCCACATCACAGAGGGACTGTGAGAACAAAGTCAGTGCATAAAGTGACGCATTGTGCCTGGCGCACAAGCACCTACAATAAACGTTAGTTTGCATGACACTGTGCCCTCTTTTACACATTTACCAGAAAAAGGCTTGGGAAACCTCAAAGTTAATTCCACCACAGCCCTACCATCCACATCTGCAACCCCCAGCTGGCTGAACGTCCTACAATGTGGTTTGTTCATAGCTCAACCCTGGGACGTCGGGCATCTGTAAAATTAAGTTTGTTCTCAAATTCCCTATCTTCATTAGCCCCCAAAGCTCTTTATTTCTTTCCTCCCTGCATTTTGAAATACCACAGAAAGTTTTAGACTGTCCATGAATTATTTTCCCCTTTATTTACATCTAGTGCCTAAGTGTCATTAATCAAAAAGTAGCCCATTAAAAGGCAAAGTATTTAGTGTGCCACCAAGAATCAGGAATCACACAGCCTTGATTTAACCCATAACATCACCTTATTTCATGGTACTAGACAGCAAATCCATCTCTAGTTCCATTTTTGGACCTGAACAAAAAGGGAGGATTCAGCGGAATGCCCACATGTTAATTAAAATTTTAGTTCTAGGAGAAGTGTTCCCACATGACAGGGTGACCAGATGCCTGAGGAAGGCACGTTCTCCACAGGCCCTTTCACCGGAATGAATGGCTTCTGGGAAGGCTAGCAATGTTCTGAGACAGTTTCTCTTAAAACTTGGCAAAGCATCTGAGATCTGCTTCTCCACTCAGCAGAGATTTCTATATCTGACTAAGAATAATTACTACATGGTGAAGAAATTGTTTGGTAACTAGCTTTTCAAATAATGCGGTAAGCTTGACTGCACTGCAGCATCTCCGAATTCTAGGGGCAATGGGGAATGCAGGCTCCTGGACAACTGTACTATTTAAAGTGATTATACTGCACATTGAACTATGTGGAGCGTGCTTATATCTGTGATTAAATTACATGGTGCACACAGAGAAGATCATGAAGTTTTTCAAATCATTTGCTCATTTCATGTCACTTTCCTAATAAACATGCCCGGTTGGGTAAAGGGTTTTAAAAGAAAAGAAAAGACTAAAGAAAAGAGTGAAGTTACCTATTTTTATCTTAAGTAAAAATAGGTAAACATTTTAGGTAGTTTTGGATAATAAATAACTCCTTTCTGCAACTAATGCTTTAAATCTATAGCATTTGACACCAAGGAAAGGGAGCTCCTTGGCTCTAACCGTTTTCTTGAAAAATATTATCTACATTAGCAGAACTTAGAAATAAAAAGTCAAAATATTAACACAGATGGACAAAGCCTGGAAAACTGCCAGGCAGTACTGAGTAGTCAGTGCATGAGAGACCTTGTCTCTGCAGCAGCGTGCACTCAGGCACATCAATAATCCTGCCGTTGCCAAAGGCCCCTTCTGAAGAGTAGGAACAAAAACTCTAGGCCTGATTGGAAGTATGGGATTGGTCCAGATGTTCTCCTAAAACCCTTTGAGATCTAGGATACATGATTCAATGCCACTATTTATGGCCTTATTGCCTATAAATCTTCTTATATGCACTTCCTAAATATTTCAGAGGAAAAAACTAATTTCTAATACAGAATAACTCATATAATAAAATCTGATTTATTAAACAAAGGAAAATATAATGCTCTAAAATATGAACTTCTCTGTTACAAGTTCACATGGTCATTCTATGATAATTCAGAAGTATCATATAATTGTTTAAAAATAACTTCCTGTTCTCAGAAACCTCAAACTATTGAATTCAGCTGTGAGTGGGACAGTCGCAATATAACATACAAATATTATGTCATTTTTAAAACTTAGTGTATTAGACATAGGAAAACAGAATTGTAATTCTAAATTAACTCATTAAAACATCAGGGAAAAATATCCTGGTAAATAGTAAATATTTATAGATAATCTTACAGAAATAATGCATCTGATATAGTGATTTTGATCTCTAAATGTGTAAGATGTGTAAAATCAGAGGTCATGTCAATTAAAACTTCATTAGTGTCTAACTGCAACAAAGGCTTAGAATAAGCTCTAAATATTTTGTCAAAACTGCATTACCCATGGAAGTATGGGAAGATGTTGGTGTGCGTGGACTATGCAACAACACCTGATGGCAATGTAAATCTGTAATTTCACAAAGAGGTTCAATAAAAAGAGGATTAACAGTGCTTCTATCATTTTCAGATTCTACCACCTTTGGACAGGCTCAATAATTTCACCCCCTCGAATGGTGAGCAAGTATGATGTTACACACGATGTTGACTGCTTTTTGTGTTCATTTTTATAATTGCCACCACAAGCTTGTAATGTGTTATTATTATTCGTCCTGTTGTATATACAAGACACTGTGCTACCCCACACGTTGTTTTGACCGTACGGAGCTGCCTTCACGAGATATGATGCAGAATCACACACCACGATGTGGCACATCGTCCTGCAGAGCTCAGGCGACTCTCCAACTGTTAAACTCTTCAAGAATATTCAGAGTTGATTTTTTCAGAAAAATTATGATTAACTTCCTTTGTCTTGCTTGGTAAAATCTTTCAAATTACTGGCACAGCTATTTGGGTTACTGCTTACTGGATCTTTAATTCAATCAGAAGTGAAAAAAAGTGTTGGTCATTGGTTCGAAGGATACGATGTTTGGGATTTACTCATTTAAGAAGTGTAAGGATTTGTCACAGTTTATGTTTCTCCTCAACATCAAGCATGTACACGTACAGCAAATACCGTGCCCTGCTCTGTAGTGGCTGCATCTGTAAAATCCTCACACACGGTTAATAATCTTTCAATCATACTTTTCAATTTAATATTTTCACACTAAAATTTATTTGGTGTTTGCCTTACAATAAAATTTTGTCATTCTCTTCACTGGTATTTAAGGCTTCCTGAAAATATATATGTATGTATGTTTTCATATATATGTGTATATATATGTGTGTATACATATATATTTGCCATGTTTTATCATTTCTAAGTTCTTAGAAGAGGATCTCTCTGACCAGCAAAAGTCTCCTCCATTTCCAAGAACTAAAGAGAGTGATAAATGTTCAAAAGTCTCATTTTCTACAGCTACATTTAAAAATAAATTAAAAAAACTTACTCATCTATTTGACACACACACATCTCCACCTCTTTCAGTGCAGTCTGAAGTTTGCCCAGCAGTTTCTGATAGATATCTTGGGTTTCTAAGTCTTCTTCTTTTAACAAATACCGGAGCCCGTGCCCATCCTGCTGTGACAGAGACAAGCCTGAGGGGGCTGCCATGGTTGTGATGGTGTGCTGAATATACACCATAGGGCTCAGCTTCCCTGAGGAGGTAAAATCATTCCACAGTAGTAGTTACTGCCTTTAACTTACACTCGCAATCCAGGGCAATTCATTTGAGAGGACCAAGCTTACATCAGATAAAATGCCAATCCAAGACTGAGTTTAAAACATATGGGACATTGCAATTCAAGGGGAAGAATGAGTTCGATCCCACACCCTGCTGAAGTGGTGGGAATTACATCATGCACCTGTATTTTTCTCAGAGTTACAAAGCCATTTCAGAGTAATGGTTTTCATAGCAAAATGAGTTGTGCCTATCATGAGTAAGAAAGGCAAAACAGTCAATCCTCTTAAAAGAAAAATAAAATAATAAAAATGTATACCCCATTTTCATTCTGTAAATGCTTATACGTGATTATCCAAATGATCATGGTGAAGAATCTTTCTTTTTTTTTAAGATTTTATTTATTTATTTTTAGAGAGGAAAGGGAGGGAGATAGAGAGAGAGAGAGAGAGAAACATCAATGTGCGGTTGCTGGGAGCCATGGCCTGCAACCCAGGTATGTAGCCTGACTGGGAATCGAACCTGCGACACTTTGGTTCGCAGCCTGCACTCAATCCACTGAGCTACTCCAGCCAGGGCAGAATCTTTCTTTACAAAAGTTCAGACTTGCTTACACCCCAGAAATCTATCCCATGTGAGGGATATGGAGACAATTATGATTGATGAAATTACTTTTCATGATCTGACCAAGTGTCAAAAGCTAACATACCTTGCTCAGATTTGTTTTCTTTATCGTGAGCATTGTGCTTCCTATTATCCAGCTGAACACCAAAAGCACTCCCCAGGGAGGTCGATGTTTTGGGATAAGAAACTTCCATTACATTGACATGGCAGTTGGTAGGGCAGAAATCACTGCTGTGCAGTGGAGATATTTTAGATTTGGCTTGTTTAAAGGTGGGCCAAGCTCTGTTCTTTAGTACACGAGAAAACTGCAAATTAGAGAAGAAATACACAGCCATTGAACACAGGGATAATACAAATGCTTCATTCCCATAATCTGTAGCAAAATCAAAACAAAATTAAGTCATGTCAAGTGGAACAAGCAAAATAAATTATAAGATGTTAGAATTTGTTATGTTAAAATTCACACATTTCTTTTTTTTTAAGATTTTATTTATTTATTTATTTTTAGAGAGGGAAGGGAGGAAAAAGAGAGAGAGAGAGAGAGAGAGAGAGAGAGAAACATCAATGTGTGGTTGCTGGGGGTCATGGCCTGCAACCAGGCATGTGCCCTGGCTGGGAATCGAACCTGCGACACTTTGGTTCACAGCCCGGGTTAAAATTCACACATTTCAATAAAGCAAAGCAATATGGGCAGCAAATGCATATGATTCCTTTGAAACTCTGACTGCAAGGTAGGTGCTAAAAGCAATTAGGTGACCAATATCACTTCCTAGGATTCAAATGCACAGACTCCTAACAGCTGAGAGTCTGACAGAGAAATTAGTGTCTTAGGACACCAGTATAGGGAGGGTCTCTATCTTTAAAGTGAGGTGAGGTGGCAGAATAGGGTAGCTATCAGGTCAAGGGTGGAAGAAGATGGGATTATTCCAAATACTGTCAGACAGCCAATCCAAACCTGAGCAGGTTAGACAGCAAGGTGTGGTGCATTTGACCCAGAATGGCAGGATGATGACAGACAGAACCAACTGTACTTCCCACACCTTCTCTTAATCACTGCTGAGCACTTGGGTCAGGATCAGCCTGAGGACTGGAGTGGACTCTGCTTTTATGCCATTGAGAATAAAGCAATACTCAAAGATTTACATGGCTTCTAAGATAGCCTCTCCACTGCTTAAGACCTCACAACCCAAATCCATCCAATTCCTGCCAAGTTCTCTACAACTACCCAAAGTCTAATCACACCTATCTTGTATATATCTTACAAGCTCTCTTCCCTTGCTCCCTGCACTCTTGGTCTTCACTCAGTTCCTCTCATGCACCATCTTCTCTCTCTTTGTACACACTAGTCAGGATGCCTAGAATGTTTTTCTCCCCCTCATTACCAAACTCATTCCTATGCATTTTTAAGTTCTATGAAATCATCAAGGAGCCTTTCAAAGATCTGGTCTAGGTTCAAAATCTCTGGTTATGTGCTAGCTTATAGCACACTGAACTCCCCCCCCCCCATATAGTTACAAATAATTTGCCTATTTCTATCTCCCATAGCATGTGGTAAACTCCATGAGGTCAAGGCTGATGTCTGTCTTGTGCATTGTGAACAGACATCTCATAAAGTTGAACTGGATCCCAGCTTCTAAAACAAATGGAGCAACAAGAGCCACCAGCTACTTGTGTTGTAGTTATGTTGTTCCAGTACCTGATGCGATGCTGGGTAAGCCACGGTCTTTTTATCATTCTTAGTATAATCAGGGGTATGGATTAAATCAGCTCTGTGCTCTCTTCTTGAAAACTATAATCAGATCCTATCTATTTATTTTACTACTAGAAGAGTAACTTTGGCATTGAAAAGGATAAAAATAAATACTGGTTACTGCTAACTTTTGTAGGTAAAGTTCAAGAAAAAAGATATGACATCAAAAATCATATCTTGAAAATATATGCTCAGCATTAGAATATGAACTATCTTATGTGTACATTAAACTGTGTTTTCATGCTTAATATGCATATAATTACATGTCAGAAGCTATATAGCTGAGTAAACTTCTAGGACATAGTAGGATCTAAATGCAAATGGATTGAAATGCAGGGCACTTATTAACATAGTTACTAATGAATTCAATAATAATGCAAACTTTAGTCAGAAGTTCTTTCCCACTATAGTTGAGGCCAAAAATCTCAGATAAATCTCCCATGGCACACAGAAAGGCTCGGAAATCAATTTTATAATATATGGATATTATGCCAAAGCATCTACCATAGTAGGCAGTTATGCTTCTCTTCTTTCATTTTAACAAACATCCATTCGTTCAAAAATATGACGAGAAGCATCTATTTCAGATCTTGTGCTAAATGCTAGGATTACAGCTCTCGCCAACCTGGAGTTCATGCTCTCATAGGGAACACAAATAAATACAGTATAATATTATGGCTACAGATAACAATTATTTTATTATAAATACAATGACAACAGTGGATGAGCTTTGGAAAAATAAAGGTCATTGGTGACCTAAAAAAGAGCCATTTCAGTTACGTGGAGGGGACCAGAGCCCAACTTGGCTGATTGAGAAGGAAAGGTGAGGGAGCCAGCAGGTATAGAGAGCACATACAGGTAGCTCTTTTCAGGACAAGGGTCAAAGAAATGGAACAGTAGGCAGAGAGGTATATGGAGTTCAAGGGAAATATTCATTTTTTTAATATAGATGATAGGAAGGCATATTTGTATAGTGATAGTAATAATTAACTATTGAAAATGGAACTTCAGGATTTTAATGCTAGTTAATTCATGAATTATTGACCATGACAACATATTTAAATCCAATTATAATGACTTGATTAAAGGTCAAAAATAATACAAAGGTCATTCAACTTGTCATTCAGTGCATGCTTTCTCAAAGAGGCTTCCTCTAAAAAGTTACCTGTCTAAAGTTACCATCTCACCATTTCCCACCATAGCTCCCTATCTTGATTTCCTCATAACTCTTTTCAACACTTGAATACCCCCTTTGAAGATATTCATTTACTTCTTTGCTCCTTCCCCACTCAAACATAAGTGCCACCAGAGGAAAGATCTTCTGTCTTTGCTGCCATTTCCTGGACCCAAGGACAGTGCTTAGCATATTAAAGGTGCTAAAAGGTATCAAATACATGAAACAATCGATCAATTTAAAACAGCCAATGTTCCATGTACACTCTGAATAAGGGCTCTGATCCCTCTGTTAGGAGAAAAGGAGAACTATAGTGTAATTCTAAAAGTGGTCTTTAAAATTAGGTGGCCAGGATTCAAAGCCCAACTCTTATCTTTTCCTAGTAGGTAATATAATTCTTTAAGCCTCAGTTATTACATTTGGAAAATACAGAATAATTCTCTGGCTTACAGGTTTGCAAAGATGAAATGAGGTAATAGATTAATAGGCATTTAAAAAACTTTAAAAGTGTTGTATAAATGTTATCATTTCAATAAACTGGTACATAAATAAGTAATGAAAATATCAGGAATTGAAATAAATTTGACATTTAAATAACAATTATATGTAAAATATATACATAGAACTTTTACCTTTTTATAACTGGATATTCTCTGACATATGTGCTCAACTTTTTCACTGCAAATGGCACTGAATTTACTCTGAAGGTCAGCGGGAATCACCTCATTTAAAGAGTTAAGGCTGGTGCAGTTTTGTACAAAATGTTCATCGCTTTTAGCCAGGGCTTCAAGAATCTGTAGTTGCACACACATGCACATGCAGGCACACATGCAAACAAGACAGAACAAGAAAATGAAACCTTTACAATTAATCAAATAAAATGTTCACAATTCCCCAGCACAGGTGGAATTGTCCACAGACTGCTCCATGGTCTCCTTACAACTGCCTAGGATTTCCGTGTTCAGGGGCGCCCTGGCAGGGAAGTGATGGGCTTGCGTATTTGGCATCTTGTGCTTTGCCCTCCGCTGGCTGTTAACAGGCTCCCTGAAGGGGGTGAGTACACGTCTCAGACTCCTTGCTGGATAAATCAGTACACTTTGATGTGGAAAAACAATGCCTATATGTTACTCAGAACATTTTTTCCTCAACTTTGTAGAAAAATAAAAACTAAGGAAAAACAATGCAACAGCCTCCCTACTTGCCCAGTACACAGAGTGCATTTAACAAATGTTTGCTGAAGGGATGAATAAATGAGAAGTTCTCTTGCAAAAGTAACAGTCAATGCTACCTGCAGTGTCTGAGCTGTGTCTGACAAAAAGTATCCGATTATGTGTCCAATTAATACATCTTTCTGGCTCCTTGAACCAATAGTAAGGCAGCGTGGGGCTGTAGATGTGTGTGTGTGAGCACGCACGTACATACCCTGGATCACTGAGAATTTCCAATGAATTGAGAATTATTTATGTGTCATATTTATATGTAGCATTTTGATTGTTCAAAGATCACAAGGATTGATTACATCCTTATGTAACATTTTTTAATATTTTGTGAGAAATGTATAGATGGCATTTTTCTGAACTCCCTCATCACCTCCACTTCTGTCTTACAGAGTGTGGAGAATGAGTTATTTATTTAATCCATTAATTATTATGGAGTGTGAGTTACTAGTCTAGAAATGTGAGCTCCCTTTATCATCTTTGACTTTCTTTTCTTCATGTGTGAAATGGAAATACTTAAGAGTACTTACTAAGTTATACAGTTGCTATATATAAGATAATCCATGTAATACTGTAAATTTGAAATAACCAGAAAATGAGATAAAATAATTATAATAAGTAGATCACAAATTCTTACATGGATCCCCTTTAACAGTTTAATGCAACTGGAAAGGTGCTGCATTTTTAAAATATATGTTCTTTATCAATAGATACATATAGTGGTAAATGTAATCAGAATAACGGGATTTTTTTTAAAGATTTTATTCATTTACTTTTAGAGAGAGAAGGGAGGGAGAAAGAGAGAGAAATATCAATGTGTGGTTGCTGGGGGCTGTGGACTGCAACCCAGACATGTACCCTGACTGGGAATCGAACCTGCGACACTTTGGTTCGCAGCCCGCGCTCAATCCACTGAGCTACGCCAGCCAGAGAATAATGGGATTTTTTAAGTTGACTGTCAGAATAGAAAACAAAAAACATTAAAAAAGTATATTTGAAATAGTACATTTATATATTTATAATTATTTTCTCCCACTAAAATTTTTTTAAAAATACAGCTATAAATGTTTTAAGTCTATCTCAACTACACATACATAAAACAAGGATTCAGATGAAGAAATAAAGGCAGTGAAGCTATGTCATACTGCTTACTCATAATACCTGAATCCTCCTCACAGGGTGATATAAAAGCAGACGAAACACTGAAGTCCTAGCCTGTGGAGGGTCCCTTAGGAGTCTGATTGATTTCCCTTGTGGAAGGATCATGGAGAGCAAGCACAGGATCCCCTCTCACTCCCTACATAATTCATACATTTGGATGAAGACTTGCTTCTCTTCTCCCTATCTTGCTACAGTCTAAGGACTAGGGATGATATTCTTTACTACCAAGAATTATATCAATGTCTGAGGATCTATACATAAATAATCTCTAAGCTTCATGAAATTTTATGAAATAAACGAGACTGGCAGAATTTTTTGTAATGTATTTCATGACTTCAAATACTCTTCAGAAGATTATATACATTTTTAAAAGCACACCTGTTGTGAAAACCATGTAAATATATACATGATACAGGTAGTAACAAACAGCAAACTTACTAAACGCAGAGGAGACTTACCAAATCAACTAACACTCCCCTGGGCCACAGTCCCATCTAACTTAGCACGGTGCTCCAAAAAATATCAATGAAAACGAAGAGTGTACACATACTGAGTACTGGGAGAAAATAGAAGTTGAATAGGCTGATGGATGAAACATACACAACTCTACATTTTTTAAGGTGGGAGTGGGGGAGGGCTTCAGTTGCTTTACTTAGAACACAGTCCCCTGTTCCCAGAATCACCCTTACCTTAGCAGTGAGGCTGAAGAAACCCTTGGGCTCAATCATCTTCTCCACCACATTGCACTTGATCCCAGCAGTGCTGTCGTACTCATACACGACCCCGTACTCCAGGTGCACGTTATCCACCGTCAGACTCACGTGCTCCTTCTTCCCGTCGATGATGGCCATGGTGTTGAACTTGTCAATTACTTCTGGAGTAAAGACAATTTTAATTTTGCAAATTAATGAAAGGTTTCTTAGTCTTTGCAAATAATTTGAGTCTCTTTGAATGATTTTAAAGAGTTCTTTACAGGGTGGCTAAATCTGATGTGCTAAATGAAACATCTAACCTTGTTAACATTTTTTAAATGAACATTTTTTAAAAAGATGCTTGAGTGATCCAAATCTCACCATTCTAACATGACTAGTCTTATCTTTGCATCTCCATGTTGATAGATAGACCATATATATCCCTATTTACATCAATCTAAACATTATCCACACAATTTTTTATTTTCTCATTAAAAACATACATAAATTAAAGTCAGCCTTCTTAAAATTGCCTTAAACATTGAATGAATATTCCCTGAAAGCAGGAAAAAAATACATGGACATATTGAAGAATCAGAAAGGAGATGAAATAATCATTTTTTTTTCAGCAGAGAGGGCTCCTGAATTCTCCCAAATAACATCTTCTGGAGATAGCTCATTGAGGAAATTTGTCATCATTCACTATAATAACAGTTGCATCTGAAATGTCTTCTTATAGGCTTTGGTCTACAACCATTCAGCTAGTAAAAAACAAAAACAAACACACATCTAAAATCTTAAGTAAGAACCACCAAGAATCCTAATATTAAATATTAAATAAGCAAAAGTAGATTAGTTTATTTAAAAGAACTAAGTCCTAGAACAGTGAAAACAGCACACACAAAATAGGCAAAAGCAGAAAAGTGGTTTACCTTAAAATCATTAAGTCCTTGAATAGCCAGAAATCAACTTCCAGGGTATTTCATCAACATAATCTCCCTTTCACTGTGATGGCAATGAGGATTAGCAACAACTAAGTCTATATGGGAAATAAGAGCCTCAGGATAAGGTCCTGAGGTTCATCCTGTTTTAAGCAAATGAGAGTTGATTTATCATAACAAGCTTGCTGCTCTAATGAGATTATATATTTCTAATGCTGTCCATGAACTGAGTGGCTCAGTCATAGTGGCCTTCTAGGATTGGTGGGGAAACAGCGTGATGTTACACATTATGTTGATTGCTTTTTGTATTAATCTTTATAATTGTTGTCAGTGTATACAGGGAATTCTCTACCTAGGCTGGTTTTGAAGAAACTAAAAATTTAGAGTCACCCACCAAATATATGAGTGAAAAGATACCAGGAAAATGGAAGAGAAGATTCAAGGATTTCTGTTAAAAACTGAAACAGTAATTCAAGGCATTTGTCAAATGGAAAGTAATTGCCTGGGCCCCTTTCCCCTTGGTGAAGAAGCCACTGGATACAGCAATCTGCTGGTTTGCTTCATGGAGAAAAAAGAATGATGGGTCCTTATCAAAAGGTCTCTCTTTCTCTCATTTTCATATCAGTTTGCCTCTTTCATTATTATCAGTGTCAGAATACAGTAGATGTTACTTGAATCAAGAAATTATTTCCAGAGGAACTGTGGACCTTCTAAACTAAGGCTTCTCAAATATTAGTGTGCATTCAGATCAGATCTTATTAACATGGAGATTCTGAGTCAGCAGACCTGGGGTGGGATTGAGATTCTGCATCTCTCTCTTGCTTTAGGTACTGTTGCTGCTGCCGCTGTTGCTGCTGTTACTGCTGCTGGTCTGCAAAGCACATTAGAGAGGGAAGTCCTACACAATATATAAACTCAAAACAAGGAAAGATATTATAACTTGGGTTTGAATCTTCATTCTACCTTGTACTAGCTTGGGCAACTCCCTTAGCCTTGATTTCTATTCTGATAAAAGGAGGATGGTGATAATGGTATCATCCTTATGAGATTTTCTTTTTTGATGACTTTATGAGATAATCCACATAAAACACTTAGTAAAGTGACTAACAAAGTACAGCAGCTATTACATGTTAGCTATAATCTATTATTATGCTTTTGACATGACATCTGTTGCTGACAATGACTTAAGGAAGTGACTTGAATGGGAGGGTGGGCAAAAAGGTGAAGGGGATTAGAGATACAAACTTATAGCTTTAAATTAGTCATAGGGTTACAATGAACAGCATAGGGAATGCAGTCAATAATATCATAATGACTCTGTATGGTGATAGATAGTTACTAGACTTCTCATGGTGGTCACATTGTAAAGTATATAAATTATGTCAAATCACTATGTTGGATACCTGAAACTAATATAATATTGTATGTCAACTATACTTACAAAGAGCTTCACATTCTAGAATGAAAACAGAAGTGGCTTGAACATAAGGGATTCCCAATAACTGGGAATAGGCACAGGCACATTGGATGATAATACTACTATAAACAAGGAGAAAAGAAGGAACCCACCTTCCACTTTGCAGTCAAAAGCATCGCCTGCTTCATCTCCAGGGGATTTGGAGTTAGATTTTTGAAGGTCTTCTTGAGCACTCTCAAGGCTGTTATAAACCCATTGTATGGAATCTTGCTGGAAATGAGGAAGGAAAAACCTCAGAGGTAGTGGTGCTTCTTAAAGCACACACCCATTTTATAAACCTGCTTCAGAAGGAGAGCTGACAATCTTTTTCCTTTTAGTTTAGAAAAATAATAAAATTTGAAAAACAAAGAAAGTCAACATGAGAAACTAATACAAAGTGGGTTAAGAAATACAAATATGTAGTAACAGAATAGCCATGGCAATGTCAAGCACAGCATAGGAAAGGGAGTAGCCAGAGAGCCTGTAAGCATGACCCATGGACACGAACAGTGGTGTGGGGAATGCCTGAGGGACTGGGGAGTGCTGGCTAGAAGGCGCCAAGGGGGAAAAATTGGGACAATTGAAATAGCATAATCAATAAAATATAATTTAAAAAAGAAAGTCAATGGCAATGATTGTTATTAACAAATTGACCCTTCAAAGTTTGAAATTTTATCTTCTGAAGGTATGTTTTTATGTAAGATACACTCCCAAATGTCTTAGTTAAATGCTTTAAGTATATCTTAAAATAAATTATAAATTACATTTTCAATAAATAATTGTTAAATAAATAGTTTTTTAAAGAATCACTCATCTATAATCATACAAACTATTTAAATGCCCTCTTGTCACATGAATTTTAATACATTTAATGCTTTTTTAATCAAATTAATTAAAAACTTGGAAGGACATGTTTCATCTTATTGGGTTCTAAGCAATATAACTATCTTTTAATCCTTCCATGTCATAAATCATACCATATTTTAATTGAGATAGCAGTCCCACTCTTATTGAGATAAATGGGAGAGATAATGGCTATCAAGTAAATGCTTTCAGGGTTATATTACTTTAAGTTTATATTTTTCCTAGGTAAGATGATAAACTGAATTGTGTTACTGAAGTGTGATATAATTCACACTATCCATTTTTCTCCTGCATCATTAACTTCTCAATTGTGTTTAATTGTTATATCTCTATGCATCATTAAAATGCTAGCTCATATTTGATCATCCAAATTCATCTTGGTAACCTGCTGTGTCCTCGTCCTCCAATGGCCCATATCCCCCAGCATCCACACTTTTATGGTAACTCCTTCCCACCCTGACTCCAGGCTTGGTCATGTGGCCTGATTTTTCCAAACGGATATTAGAAGTATGATGTAAATAGTGAGTTAATTGATCGTAACATCCCCTCTTGAAATCCAAACGCCATGTCAAAAGGAAAACCCTGCTAATGACTGAAAGGAAGGCCACGCAGCGTAGTCCGGAGCGAGAGGTGGCCTGCAGCAGTGGCATGCGGCCAGGTCAGGGCCCTCACAGGAGCCAATACCAATCACCCGCAGAATCAAGAGAAATAATCAATCACTGCCGTTGTAAGCCACCAAGTTGTGGGATGGACTGTTTGTGGCAATAGATACCTAATAGAGCATGTTACTCATTTAGTAAATTTTTCTCTCCATTTATTGTTTTTCTTAATCACTTTATTGATCAACAACACCTCTCCAAGAAGGCAAGTAGAAAAAAATAAAAAGGAATAAAAGTCAAATCAATTTAGTCACTTATTAAAATTCTGATGTAAGGGGAATGACTTGATAATTTCAGAAGTGCCCTTTTAAAAAATTCTCTCAATAATACAGTTCAATAAATATTTATTAAACTACTTACTATCAACCAGAAGAACCTATGCATTGATGTGTGAATTCTAATTTGCTATACTAGTCTGACCTTATTAGTAAGCAAAATCAATGAGCTATTTTCTTGTATGTTCAGTATTTTGCAGGGTATCATGCTCAAACTATAAGAAAATAGCCACTCATCTTTCTGGTTTGGACACAAAAATCATATTCTCAAATCCAGAAAATAGTACTTCACTACACATAACAGAAAATACACAAAACCTCTCCTTTGAAGTGTTTTGCATTTAAAATCCTTTGGCATTTAGTTGAGTTAAATTTTCTCTTTTAGTCCAATACTCACTCACATGTAACTCATGACATAAGCTTTGTTTATATTGTAATTTTATTTCTCTATACCACTTGAAATTTGGATCAGAGGACAGTGCTAAAAATTTTAAATAATGAAAGCACATGTAGGTATTTTCTTTTCATAGCCAAATTCAATTGCCTAAATAAGTATATCCAAAATCAATTTCAGATCCCATAAAACCCACAAGTTCTGCTTTTCATGAAATCTAAAAATAAACATTGTAAGCACTTATAATTCATATATACAGACACAGGAAGACCATTCTATATTCTAAAGTAATTACAAGGGTCAAGAAAGCAGTTTAAAGCTTTGGGTTTCATTTTGAAAAAGTTAGCAATTTAAAAATGCAAATAGCAATGAAAATGGAAATATGCCAGAGCACGTTTTAAACAGGTGGTAACACTACAACGATAAAGTTTAACCATGTAAGCATAATCAATTGTAACTATGCCAATAAAGCAATCATGATGAGATTTACAACGCTGTGCTGAAATGTGAGCCTAAGAGCGAAAACCACAAACATCTCCAGAACATCCTGTGTTGTCCCCTGGGGTTTGTCTGCGAGCTTGGAATTGGATGGAGATAAGCTGAGAGGCAGCTCACCTTCATTGGCCTCCTGTACTTCCTGCAGGCTGTGACATGCGCGATGACACTGGCATGCGTCTCTTTGCTGACATTGATCCCGTTGACTTTGATAATGCACTGTCCAGGGTGAAGACCGGCTGCTGCGGCCACAGTTCCTTGAAATATGAATGAAAAAATTGCCAAAAACTAATTTTAGGGATAATATTTGTTTTTATCACATATACAATAAGGAAGGTCATCTTAAAATATGATAAAGATCTAACTAGGGCGTGTTTGATAAATTTGGTTCTGATAGCAATGCTCTCTCAAAAGTTTTCTGCTATTTAACAGGCGATTCAAGCCGTGATAAACAGAATATTTTTCCATCTCCCTATGAATTAATTTGAAGGGATACTGAGAAGTAACCTTTATAATGCTAATCAGTTATTTTCCCTTTAAAATGTCTAGTCAATCTAATTTTCAAAATATGCATATAAAAATAGCAAAATGAGAAAGCCAGAAACATGCTGTATTTATCTTTCTTTAGTTTACATCTCTAAGTAAATGGTAATGGAAATAATACAATAAAGATAAAATAAAAAATAGTATTCATTTTCATTTCTAAAAATGCCAACAATTAAAAGAAATTCTCAAGTAAAAAAAATCAAGTCAATTAGCAACCACAAATGGACTGGGTTTGCTAAGGAAATTAAGTCAGGATATGTACAAAGGGTCAGGAACCAGAGAACTGGTGAAGAATAACATTAATCAGATAACATCAACTGTCCATAATTTATTTGGATAGAAATAGACTTAACTATGGAAGTGGCATATCTTAGCCAGGGGATTAAGATTTTCAGAACTGCCCTGGCTGGTTGGCTCAGTGGGTTGAGTGCTGGCCTGCAAACCACCAAAAGGTCACCAGGTGGGCTCCCGGTCAGGACACATGCCTGGGTGGCAGGCCAGGTCCCCAGTTGGAAGTATGCGAGAGGCAACCAATTGATGTTTCTCTTACACATCAATGCTTCTCTCCCTCTCATTCTCCCTCCCTTTCCCCTTTCTCTAAAATATAAAATCTTTAAAAAATATTCAGAACCTTCCAATCATCATTATTTGGTATTCTGAACAAATCAACATGTACAAAGCACCATTAATAAAAACAATGAATACAACTAATATAAATTACTATAAAATTTATCATGAGTATGTTAGAAGTAATTTCTCCCATGGAAGAATTAAACATCTAGACGGGCATAATTTATAGTCAAGAATCGTCTTCTCACTAAAATTCACTCCCAAAAATATTAAGTACCTTTTCTAGGCTGGACTGATTTTTGGTGGAGTGAGGGACATTCCCAACAGGAAGAACAGCCTGAAAATAGGCACTGGGTGGAGAAATAACCAGACATTTTGGAATATATAGGCAGTTGGGAGTGTGATCTTAGAACAGAAAGAGACATGGAGAGCAGAGCAGAGTCAGGCTGTGAGGCCCAGGGTGCTTTGTGTGAAGGCCTCAGAGTCTGAACCTAACTCTCTACGGATGAGGAAAAACATTCAAGAATTTTAAGCAGAGAAGTGACATGATCCCCTGAAATGGGCCGAGTGTCAATGGAGTATGAGGGGATAATACTGAGTGTTAAGGTGCCCGGGGGCCATTACGTGTATAATAAACAATTAAATCTGGACTGTAGAACTCAGGAGAGAGGTCTGGGCTGGAAATAGAAATGTAGAAATGCTCTGAAAAGAGGATCAAAAAGATTGCTTATGGAGAACAAGAAGGCAGGGAAGAGGATGCCAATGGTTAATAACTCAACAGATGAAAAGATCAGGCAGAAGAGGAGTAGAAGCAAAATCTGAAAAGTACCATCTTGGGAATTAAGAGATGAATGGTTTATGCAAATGGGAGTTTTCAGTTTAAACAAATGGCAGAAAAAGCTCAGCTAAGATAAGGATTATCAATATCCATTATATTTTCCAGTTAAATCCATGATAACTCTTACAAGACAAATTTTGGAGACATGGGTGGGAGGTGGGAGGAGATGGCTATAGCACTGGGTTAAAATTCAAGTAGGAAGTGAGGAAGGACAGATGAAAGAAAATTTTGGCCAGTATTTCAGGAAGTTTGTCTATGACAAAAATGAAAGTTATTACAGCATTAGTCTAGAGCTGAGCTTTTCAATCTTTGTCATGCAGACATATCACCTGGGGATCTGATTAAAATGCAGATTCCGACTCAGTATGTCCTGCATGGGGCCTGAGATTCTGAATTTCTAACCAGCTCCCTGGTGGTGCCCATACTGTGGGTCTGTGGATCACATTTTGAGTAGCAAGGATCTAGAGGAGAAAATAAAGGAGAGGTTTTGTGTTTGGTGTTCTAGTTTAAAATGGTTTTGTTTCTTGGTTGATTTTAAAGGGAAAGAACTGACCCTATAATATAATAATCTAATGAAGAGAAAAAGCTAAAAATTTTGGAAAGTGATATCTGACAGTTCAACACTCCAGAGAAGGATCAAAGAGATGGGATCCAGACATCTGTGGAGAGATTAACCTTGAACTCCAGAAAAGAGAAAAGACCTCTTACTCTAGAGTGGGACAAAAGTTGGTGGTGGTGACCCAGCCAGAAACATGTGTGCACAAGGAGGGTGTGGGGCTTGGAGGGCTTCACACCTGAATTTGTCTGTGAGGTGAAAAAGGAAGTTCATCTTGGGAAACAGGTGGCAACTATGAGGAGAAAAAGAGGGAGCTGAACAGAGACAGATGAAGATCGCAGAGTAGTCATACAGGCCCAGTAAAGACAAGACTGAATTGGGATGGATGACACTAATTCCATTCCTACGACAGTTTTTCCCAGCTGCTCAGGAGAATGAGCAAAGAAGGTGCTTAGGTTGATCTGGCCTGGATGTACCAGAAATGACACGGCCTGGATGCACCTGAGAAATAAGGATGAGGGGATCTCGATGATGCAGCAAGAGGGGCTGAAGTGACCCACCATGGGGACAAGGCTAGCTAAGGAAGGAAGTGCAGTCCTGAGGGGTATAACGAACCAGGAGAAAAAAAGAAGGATCCAAAAAATGGAAGTCCCAAAACTGAACTGAAAAACAATCTCAGAACATCAAAGTTGATGAGACAAAAATAAGAGACTGTCATCAGAAACTGGCATATTGGAATTTTGGATTCCAAAGGTGAAATTCCAGTAAGTGATATACTCTAGTGGTGGCCGTGAAAAAGAGCTGACAAGTGGAGGAGAAAGTCTCTTTTTCTTATGACAAAATCACAGTGCAAAAAAAAATCACTGAATAATATCTTTTTCTTTAATATACAGCTGAAAGGAAAAGCACAGGAGCATTTCTTTTACTCTTCAGAAACAAAGAGCACCATGACCAGAGTTGGGCATACCATTCCAAAGGGAGAACCCTCCTCTCTGCGTGACATTGTACTAGGGAGTGAGGTTTGACATGATTTGCTCAGGTCTGCACTTATTTGATAGTACTGGTAGTGTGACTTACTCCATTCTGGTTTACTAAAAATGAAGAAGATATCTGATATATCAAATATCCCATTTTAGTATAAAATATATCCCATTTCAGTTTGATAATATTAATTAGTTGTTAGAAAGGTTTTATTTCTTTATTTTTTTGAAATGTTTACTAATCCATATATTTTAAAAATCTGAGTGAAAAAAACAAGCTTTTGAAATAAGGTACATTTTTGTCATATATACACCAATGAAAGCATATTTACAATCTAACCTAGCATGTTCTTGATAAATTTGATTCAGATAACAATGCCCTCTCAAAATTTTCTAGTCTAATGTTTGGGTGATCATCTTAAGGTGCTTTACAGTTTATATTTCTTTGTAACAAAACTAAGAATGCCTTTTGATGAGATAAACAAATGGCCTCTTCTCCTTATAGTGACTTCTTACTACAGCCCCAAGGTATTTACTACATTTGGCAATATGAGATTTAAACAGTTATTCCCTTAAATCATTACAATGTTAGTACGAAATTTAAAAGTACATAACAACAAGAGTTATCAATAGCTATTTTGTCCATTACAAAAAGAGGATAAAATATAAACAAAGATTTTAGTCACTAAAATTATTAAATTTAAAATGAATTTTATGGTTTATAAAATGCATGGCTTATAGGAATACTTGAAGTAATCATTTAGTGATAGGCCATAAAGTACGTAAATCATTCTTAAACCTAAAGCCTATATCTCTGAATTAGTAACAAAAACACAATTATTTGCTGTCAGAGAAAAAGACAAATTATATCCTTTGGCTAAATGGAAGCACAGAGCAAAGTGATTTTAGGAGGCATCATTTGCTTATAAATTATTTTAAAGACTTTATTTATTTATTTTGAGAGAGAGAGGAAGGGAGGGAGAAAGAGAGGGAGAGAAATATCAATGTGTAGTTGCCTCTCGTGTGTCCCCTATTGGGGACCTGGTTCACAACCCAGGCATGTGCCCTGACTAGGAATTGAACCAGTGACCCTTTGGTTTGCAGACTGGCACTCAATCCACTGAGGCATACCAGCCAGGGCTGCTTATAAATTTTTAACAGTGATACATATGCCTTACAATTTTTAAGAATTTTAAAAAAATATTATTTTAAGAATATACTACTATTGACTTAGTACTATAAAAATATGATGGAGAAAATTCATAACAACATTATTATACACATTTTAAACACAATCTTCTTTATCAAAAAATACCAGAAAGGCTGGGAAGCTGTTTACCACACAGGTTGGACTCACCTCTTCCTACCGCATGCACAACGGACGGGCCATATCCCCGGATCTGGAATCCAAGCCCCTCAGCTGAATCTGGGATTTTCACTGTCCTAGAACAATCGGAAAATAAAGTCAGATGACTTCAAAATGCTACAATTGGATAAAACAATAATTGTCCACACTTCTATTTATTCTTTCAATACATTTGTATTGAGAGTCCACCATGTGAAAAACTCTGGGTTCGAAATCCTTGAAGGAGGTACGGTGGTGCATGTCCTTGCGAAGGCAAATCGCAGACACACCCTGCTGAGTTCCTCACTAGACACAGGCATTGCATAGTACACTATGAATAAGGAACAGGCCCTGGGTTTAGACACACTACACTTTGCTTTTGGTTGTTGTTTGTTTTTTTAGAGAGAGAGAAAGGGAGGGAGGGAGGGAGGGAGAAAGAGGGAGGGAAACATCAATGCAAGAGAGAAACATCAATTGTTTGCCTCCTAGACACACCCCAATCAGGGACTGAATGTGAATCCACAACCTGCGTACGTGCCATGACTGGGAATCGAACCCCAACCTTCTGGTATATGGAACAATGCTCCAACCAACTGAACCACACAGGCCAGGGCCACACCGTACTTTGAATCCTCATTTAGTCACTTGATAGTTGGAAAACTTGAATGAATTCCTTAACTTCTCTGAGTCTGAGTTTCTAAGAAAGGTGATGGGTTAAAATTTACTTTGCAAGGTGTCAATGGAAATTAAAAAAGATAGCTTTGGTAAAAAATTGCCCTGCATTGTGCTGTGAACTACCTATGTAGGTACTTAACGAAGTGGAAGCATCTCTCCTTCGTTTACTATTACAAAGAAGACATCAAGCACTGAGAAACCTCTTTGTTAACATTAATATAAAAGAAACACAAAGCTAATAATACATTTCTACCTGTTGGGAACTCCATCAAAAAACAACAACAAAGAGCTAGTTATAAAGAGCAGATATGTCAAACACTACATCAAAATATTTTAAGAATATGATTAACCTTAGTATTTATTCAGTGGAATTTTAAAAGATAATACATCAAAGGTAAACCTGCATAAGTAAAAGAAAAATTTTCAATGAGTCCACATGGAAAGGAAGATAAAGGGATGGAGAACTTGAGTAAGCTGTCATGGCAAATCAGTGAGGGATGTCCAATTTGGTACTAACTAATGAGCTACTCCAGAGAAGGAAGCCAGAAATCAGAAAATGACAATGAAAAGCAGAAAACAGGACATAAGTTGGAACCTCATAACAATATTAATGAGTATGATAAATTGCAGAGAGCAGACAAATGAATACAACGCAATAAGTGTTGATGGATAGCCCTTGATGCCCAAGAAACAAAAGTGTTCTCCAAAAGTTGATGAATGAATCACAAAATAAATGCAACAGGAACATTAGAATCTCAAGTTGGGTACAGCAGCTCTTATTTGCATCTTTTAAGCAACACAGTGGCTAAAACACTTGAGAAACCCAGAGAGTGCATTTAGTCCTGAAGGCAGGGGCTGGCACTGTAACCTAGAATGTAACATAGGCAAGCATTCAGGCATTCAGTCACAGAAATGCATATCATCTGTTCCAGGAAACCTTGAAAGTATTACTACAAATTAGATGATATGCCATGAAGTTATCTGCACATTGGTAGGATGGAGGGCACATAACTAATTCATTTATCCTTTATCTTTAATTAAATATTTCTTGGTATATATAGCTGTATCTGTTTTCTCTGAATAGCAACTTGTTGCTATTGTCTGTCAAAGATACACTTGAAAACAGAAGATAGTTAAGGAAAAAAAGAAAGAATAAAGACATTTTCTGAGCATGAAACAAAAAAATACAGGTAGCTCATGTTTCTGAATATTATCAATGGAAATTCACTTTTGTTTAAATAACTTAGAGCTTTCAGATTACAGTGGCTTCTCAATTCTTTTTAAGCAAGGTTTTCTGTCCTTCTACTATGCTACAGAAGGCTGACCCTATTCTAATCTTCTAGAATATTATTACTATTCTCTTAATAAAATTTGTATGAAACACCATGAGATGCATTTGGTCATAATTTGGGGACTCCCTTCATAAAATGCTCTGTGGAAAACCTGTTTTCCTGTTGGGAACACTATGATGCTTATTAAAACAAAAATTAAATTTATGTAAGAAGGATGGTCTATTTCCTGCTACAAAGCCACTGAAAAATTCCTTGATATTATCTGTCTTAAAATACAGCTATATTCAACAGAAAAATTCTGTTGTATTTACTTCTCATATTGATTGCTTTTCCCCCATACAAGATACTTCATAAATCATAAGTAGCTATTGCAAGAAAATATGAGAGTGATTTATAAAAATCATATACTAGAATGAAGACATAAAGGAAAGGTTATAAATTTCAAACAAATTAAAGAGAAACAGAAAAAATAAGTACCCCATCCTCAAAACAGTTTTAAAATACAATGTAAAATATGCTCTTGATGTAATAAAGAAGCAATGGAAAAAGTGAAATGAGAGAACAGAAAAACATCGTAGATCACATCACTCGGGTACATGTTATGAGCTGAGCATGTCACTAAGTTCTTTACAAACCTAGATTTATTTAGAGTTCTTAGCAGCGCCGTGACATAGGCACTCTTATCATCCCCATTTTTTATGGATGAGGATGTTGAAGCAACACAATTAGCAAGCAAGTGGTGGAAGAGAGCCTTGATCCTGGGCCAGAAATATCATTCTAGTTACTGTACAACAAACTCCAAGGGAATAATCAGAAGACCTAGGTTCCAACCCTCCTCAGCTAGCAACTACTTCTAGGACTGAGGATTTGCCCAGTCTACTTAGTTTTGACGCCCTCTACCTGCTGAAATGTTTGTAATCAGACCAGTATTCGTAGGCTTAAATCAGGGGTTAAGGGGCCATGGGAAACCTTCATGGCCACTAATGAATGCTTAGGAACACTACTCCCTTATTCCTTTCCTGTTAAATGTCCTCAAAGTGTCCAGAGGTGGGCAACTAGGTAAGCCTTATCCCAGAAAGGGTTGGATAAACTGGGAGCATAGAGATCGTATTGTTTTAGAGATGGCATTATTATGTTTATTTGCTGCTCTCTAGCCCAAAGTCCTTTTATATTAGTAACTTGAACGAGTCCCACTCTTTCAGACACCTTTGTATGCTGTTGGTAGAAGCATCTACCTTGATGACTTACTGCAGAATTTAGCATATTACACTGCATTTTGACTCTTAAGATAAATAAGGCACCTAGCTTTGCTGAATATATATATAGGCAGGGAAGAATATTATATTACGTATACTTAGAGTCTATAAGTAGTTAAAATAAACTATTTAGTTTTTGAAGTGGTAACCTTCATCTATCGTAAAAATAATGAAGTTGCTTATCACAATGGTAAGTACAATTAAGTATTAAATAGTAATTTTGATATCATCATTGTATACTAATACATTATGGTAAGTACTTTATATGCATTATTTCAATTACCTAATTGGTTAAACACATGGAAACCTGGTAAGGGAACATGAGATCATCGATGATTTATGGAAGAGAAGCCAATGTCCAACAAGCATATCCATAATATCTTATTAATTTTTTCTAAAAAATCATAAAGTATATCTCATTTTGTAAATAAATGATTGTGCATAGGTGCCAGTACTTATAAAATTCAATTAACACTGAATTTCAAAAGAATAACAATGTATATAATATAAACAAAACTATAATTGTAACCTAATCAACAAAACAAACAAATGAGCAAAATAGAACCAGAAACATCGAAATAAACAAACTGCCAGTGACCATAGGGGAGGGGAGGGGGTAACAGAAGAAAGAGAGGGAAGGGGCCAGCAAAGGAACATGAACAGAAGACTCATGGGCATGGACATTGGGGGGGTATTTACTGTGGGACTGGGGGACAGGGTAGGGGTGAGCAATGGGGAAAAGGCAGGACAACTGTAACTGACCAACAATAAAAAGAATAACAATGGTTATTTATGAATGATATGATTATAGGAAAAATATCTTCCTTTAGAAAAGTCTGTACTCTAAATTTCCTATAATGAACATGAGTTTTTTCTAATTATAGGCAGACATATTTTTTAAAAGAATGGACCTATTTCTAAGTACACACAGGCATGAAAGACCTTACCCCCAGTCTGGATCCCATCTCCTATCAATGTTTAATTATCAATGGTGTCAAATCAACTCATAGCCCCTGAAATTCTTAGAGTTGAACATAGAAGAATGAAATTCTTTAATATCAAATGCACTATTAGTTTTCTTCACTCATAGTCAGACTCAACCCAACCCAGAGGAAAATGTAGGCAGCAGAGGGAAAGGATTATTTCTGCTGAAACTACCTTATTTAAGTAGAAAACATTTTATCATCATTAGCAATGTCGTTTTTCCCATCACTTAAACACCAGTATTAGTGATGTGGGTTAGGTTTAAATGTTCTAAGCAATGAGATACTTAATTCTAGGCATTTGCTTAGTTAACTTTTCTATTTTGTTCATCTATGTATAATTTATTTTTAATCCCACACAAATCGTACAACTTACTCCCTTGGCTTTGTGCTCACAAGAACTCTTAGAGGCTTTCTGCTGTTTAAGCATGATTTCAGGAAGCAGTCCACTTCATTGAAAGGTCTCATAAAAACTAGGTCACCATTAATAGCAAAAATTTTTTTCCCAACTTCCATGCCAGCCATCTAAGAGAGAAGTAGCAAGAAAAAAATCAAATTATATTTAATAAGGGATCTATTTTTTCCCAGAATTAGAATTTGAAAAGGTTTAGAACTTACAGATTTTGACATTTTAACACATCTGCAATGTTTTTATACAACTTCGTAAAACAGAACTGTGGGCAAGATAACATTTATTCTCTCTGACCTAGTTTAAAATTTGATCACCCATCTTGACTAAAATTCTCCCTCCTCCCTCCCTGACTTAACATTATACTCTTCCCATGACCCTTTCTTCTGCTGTATTTTAGTTATTTTTTACATTTCATTCTTTTTAACTATAGTCAAACCCCAAGTTAATTTTTTTTACTGTCTTTTCCATGTACATCCAATTAACTCAGAGAGTTTCAATCTCAATACAGATGTCAATGACAACCAAATGTGCACCGTTAGCCTGAGGAGGTGTAAGTGTCTCCAGGGCAGGAGAGACAAATGGCCCAGCATCCAAGGGGGAGCACTTCAACAAGAACAGACTACAAGATGCTGAAAAGATGACAAAGAAGACATTCTCTCTCCATGCCAATCATGCTGCTCTTCTTAACCTACACTACTGCCTTTAAACAATATGCTCTTTTAGTTAACAGATAAATGATGGAAATCTGGGAGGAAGCATTTAATCAGGGGCAGACCCAGATGAAGCTGTGCTCTAGGAACATCCTCTGAAGCTATCTGGGAGAAACATTGCCTACTCACAGAAAAGTACTAAAAACAGTCATTTATTGACCAGGCCCACTAACAGAGTATGAGTTGACAAGAGTTACTTTGTTTGACATGAACGTGCTGTTCATTAAACCTTGTTTTACGTGAGTTTGTGATCTGGTAAAAGATAGAGACCTTGTGCACCACCAGATGAGTAGATGACTGACACTTTATTACTAACCGTAAATAGATTCAAAGTTAAAAGCCATGTTTCATTCATTACCACCTTCTCTATGAAAGATTAATTACTGAGAAGTTTGCTGGGGGATTAAGCATTTTAATGCCAGGAAGCAAAGTGAGAATACTTGAATTCTGATAATTATTATCAGAGGAAATTTTGTCTGTTTTGTTCATTGCTACATTCCCAGACTCTAGAACACTGGTTAGCATATAACAGGGGCCAAATAAATATTTCTGAATGAATGAACAAATAAATGATCAGGAGATTTCTTGGTTTAAAAGGCTGGTGAGGTGAGAGAACATCAGTCAGTATTAACCCAATTCAAAAGTAAGTCAAAGCATGTGCTTTACTGATGGAGGTGCTATTTGTATGACAGTCCAAAGTGATAGAAAAATAGACACAGTCCTTAATTTAATGGAAGAACCACCTGACATATATAATATAGTCCCACCCTATGCAGTCTCCACAGGGTTACAGGCTGGCATTAGTGAGCAGGGACATCCCGGGGGCATGGAATGAGCCATTCGGCCTCTCAGGAGATCAGGAGGGGCACAGCTGCAGATATCGCCAGTACTCTCCCCCAGCTGCACCTGAGTACCCAGACACGGGCTCCTCTCACAGACTTCAAGAGCATTTGGTAGAACCTCAGAATAAGATTATTCAGTAACATTATTTTCAATAAAGATACTTAAAGGCTGATTTCAATTAGTTTAGAAATCTATATTTATATGTCATGGGCAACAAATTTAAATAAAAATGTTAATTTACATTACCTCAGCATTAGACCCCTTTTCTACCAACTTAATTATTGGAACTTTATTTTTGTCTTCTAACCCAAAACCATAGCTGCCTTCATTGGATTTAATCTGAAATGCAAAATATTAACATTATTAATAAAGCAAGTAGGAAAAAGTTTGCAAATTAACCAGAAATAATATGCATCACTACCAAACATGTTTATGTAATCTCCTGCTAATATCTAATCGAGAAGAAAACATTAGTAAAAAACTTACCAATAGTGATTTAGCTATAACATTTTCCACAACTTTTAAATCATGTTTCATAAGTCGATGTTTCATATTGGACCCTTCCATTTCCTCATCCGCAAAAAAACGGAAAAGTAGAGGTTCGTCTTTGAATTCACTTTTTTCAAGGACTAAGGAAACAGAGATATATTCAAATTGTTTCAATTAATCCAAAAATCCAACTCTTTGTCCAAACTGATAGACATTCAGTAAAATAATACCAGTACCATGGCCTCAATCTGACACTCCTAGAACAAGTTACGCACACTATGATCCATATGATAATTTTCTATTTCTTTGTATAATTTTCAGCCAATGTTTCCTTTAATTTACTGTTACCTAAAAACTTTTGAATTTTTAATATAAGGTATTTTTTCAATGTTAACTTTTTTATACTTAACCAAGTCTTTCAATTTCCACATTAAAACCTAAATTTAAATAGATTATATTAAATAAAAAATTTATACATTCCAAAACATAGAAAAATATAGTGTTTTGAATTTGTAGTAAACATTTTAAGTATGTTTTTTAATATCCCGCACAATGGTGGGAAAATCCAGCTGGATTAAGTGTTGTCTTTGTGTGTGTGAGCAGCTCCCTCTGCGGTCGCTTTGTTCTAATGCTTCAAACCAGAAATAAGTCTTCTGGGTGAAATGTGATTTTAGTTTTCGTTAATTCCTCGATCTCTTCTGTTTAAAAGCATTGTTTTCAAATAACCTTATTTTTGCAAGGGTCACTTTTTCCCTTTCATCTGAACATTAACATTTTCTTTCAAATTCAAGGTTTATGTTTTATAAGCCTTTTTAAAAATAAGGGTTAATACCAATAGAAAGCATTTGTATTTGGTGAGCTACTGAAAGCAGTCAAAACATATTAAATGGGGAATCTTTTCTATTTCCATTCACATTCCTTAGAACCTTGAAGAGAAGTTTGTTGGGACAGGTGATTTATCAAGCCAAGGAGTTAAAGGGGAGGCAGTGGTCCCCAAGCACAGCAGAGATGTAAGTCTTTATGATGAGACAGACCTGTGTTTACATTCCAGGTCTGGGATTGATTCTGGTTTAACACTGGGAAAGTTACATAAACTCTTTGAACTGCAGTTTCTTCATCTGTGAAATGAGGACCATAAAACCTTCCTCATAATGTTGTATAAAACCAAAATGAGGTAATAGTGTAAATAACTTGGCATGTAGTAAGCAATTAAAGATAGTAGCTATTTATTTCATTATTTTTATAGGGTTCCAAACAATAATTATTGACCAGGTAATTGTATGTACTTACTGATTTCTGGATGAAAGACTGGTTGGCAATGTGAGTTAATAAATGAAATTATGGACCACAAGTTAAACAGTAACATAAGTCATAGCTAACGATAGAAATGAGAATATACGTGAGATCGAGTTAGGTCTTGTCTATGTAACATAAGCAGTTTCCCAAAGCTCACATGGTACTTTGCTACTGTTTTCCTCCCCAAAATGGTCTGTCTAAAAGGAATAGGAGAAGAAGACATCAGAAGGGCTAGGCATGAGTTGAACTGATTGTGCTTTACTGACAGAGACTTTCATAGGAAAAACCTTTGTCGTAACTCAACATTTTAAAATGTGTTGAAATCAAATTATTGTTTATTTATTACTGCTTGTTTTCAGCTTAAAATTATAGTTTTAATTCCCTAGAATGATATCATTGCTTCCATTCAATGGTTTGCTCTTTAAGGATCAATATTTCTGTATCACAACTGACACTGTGCTCTAGAGATAGTGGAATGTAATGGAATTCCCAAAGTAATATATAATAACCATGGATGCAGTCAAAATTGCTGTAACTTTTGCTGCAGTTCCTTCCTCATAAAAAGGTAACAACCTTTTGAAAGTAACTGACAAATAGGTATCAAATATTTGACAAGTGCTATGAAATACATGTCTATAAAAATATATATGTGTGTGTGTATATATACACACACACATATAAGCAATCAAAATAGATTGTTTAGGTTTATGAAATCTCTAAGATGTTACATAGAGGAAAAACTAAGATGTTATTTTTTATAAATTTAAGGGTAATTAAATCTTCAAACAAAGAAAGAAAACTAATCTTTAATTAGTAGCCAAAAAAACAGATTTCTTCCAGAGATTTATTATTTTGTTCTGTTTAAAAATATTTTTATAAAAAATAAGAATATGTAACTATACATAATTCTCACTGAATCGTTTTAATACATTCTAGCATTCAGAAAAAGTGAGTCTGATCTGAAATAGTTTCAAAGCATATAATCTATTTTTCTTCAGAACACCTAAACTCAAGCCCTTGCTCTTCTGGAATCAGTTCTATTCTAGAAAAAAAATGGACAAGTAGTCATGACAACCGGGAGATAACACAGATGTGGTGACCCCACGTGCACACAGGGCAAGGCCCAGACAGTCTTGCTGGTCTGTCTCTAAATGACTTCACTGGAACACTGAGATATTCCCAGAGTCCTAACAAAAACAGAATGGTAACATACACCTGTAAGCTCCCAGAATAAACATTCCTACCATGGTGCATAAATCCGTTGTCACAGAGTCCAACGCCAAATATCATTGCCTCTTCTCTGGTACGGCAATCCCCCTGTGAACCATAAAAGCACCATACAGGTTAATAGGCAACCGAAGGCTTGCATCTCTATTAGCACTAAGCTGACAAAGTCATTCATATATTATGGTATGCATTGCTTTCATAAACCCACAATATATCTATTTGTTATAAAACATTCACTTGATAATGAAAACATATCCCATTGACATTAATATTCTTCAGAAAAACCATACTTTATTAAATATGAAAAATGTGAAGTGCCTAAAATTTATTGCTACCAAAAATTATTCCTTTCTTATATTTCTTCAGTCCTGTATCCCAATTTTGCATCAAGGAAATATCCTGTACAATGAAATCACATTAAATAAAGCTAAGTAATCATTATGTGTGATCTCAGCTAACACTTCCCTTCTTCCAAATGGCCTTGCTCTTTAAACCCCTAAAGAAACCTACTAATCTAGGGTGACTGGCTGGTAAAACCCTTACAGTAAATTGTTTGGCTGAGCCAGCAAATGTAAGCTTCTTTCTCATTATCTTGCCTAGAAAAAATAATCAGAATGTATAACTGAACAGAGAAAGAAAGCCCAATGCAACCTCTTGTCATGGTACCTACTTTATTCATTTAAGTATGGATGCATATACACAAATATGTAAGTGTATACGTATGTGTGTGTATGTAACCCTAGATTTGTATGTTTTACAGTTTAAGAAGTGCTTTCCACATATTATCTCATTTTTCCTTAGTCCTTTTCGCACTCAGGTACTACCTAAGTGCGCTACCTTAGGTTAGGTAGATTAGGCACTACCTAATCTGTCTTCTCCCCTCTGTCTATTCCACATCTGTGTCAACACTCCAGCATTTCTGCATCTAAGATTATCATAATTTTTGGTACTTTTTCCAAAATATGCTGTTACAGAGTTAAATTTTATTACACAGAAATGCCATGTTCCAAAACTTTAAACGGGCTCTCTTTTTTACAGCCATAACACATGAAAATTTTCTATTTGACTTTCAAGGACATCCACATCCTGGCTTCATTCTCTCTCCAGTTTACTTTCTAAATATGCACACCTTTTGCTCCAGCCAAGTTGGGCCCTACTCCTGCCTGAACTCTGTGCTTATTTTCCTTCTTGCTTTCACTCATGTAATTACTCGCACTTACAATGCCCTTCTCCTTACCCTTCACCCATTTAAACACTAGCTTTCTGTCTATCAAGGACTAAGACAATTCTACCTCATGCTGTGACACCTCCTACCCTCACTAATTCTTCAGTTAACTAACAAAACACTTACAATCTGTATCTGCAGACAATGCATCTGTGTCCTTTTCAAATTCTAGCTGTTAGGTAACTTTTATGCATTCATTTGAAAGGTATTTATATTTTTGCCACATAATATGCCAACTGATAGAGATAATACAGTAAAACATTTGAACATAAAATACTTTCCTGCCCTCAAGAAGTTTGAATCTAATGAATGCTACTTAACATGTGGTCTATAATAACTACCAATGAGATATTATACTAGGTACTGCCCTTAGTACCTAGTACTAAGTACCTAGAAAAAGGTTAAATAGGTCCCTGCCCTTAAAAATGTGCATGTTAGCACACTTTCAATATATTACGGTATTTGCTGAAACAGATACACCCAGGAAACTGGGACCACAGAAGAGGACCCTGGGCCCAGTGTGGAGAACCCAGCAAAACTTCCTGGGGGAGATGACGCTGGAGCACAGTCTTAGAGGAGACAGAAAAATCATATCAATTCACTTGAAAGAAGGACTTAGGACTACTTCCTGTTTTGTTGGCTTGTTTTATTTTAATCATTAAAGTACTTGTGAAACTTACCATAAAGCTTGTTTATTAATCACTTACATTTGGCTGATTATCTAATTGATATGCAAAAAATACTATCTAAAATGTTTTGGTATCCATATGCCTGATAAAGATCCTATTTGTGCCACATAGAACCAGTGAGAATTAAAAAGGGTACAACAGAAATGACTTTGGTTGTGAAGAAGAAAAGCATTATTTAATTATAAAATATGACTGGCCCATAAACAAATTACAACTTACATGATTTAAACGATGTTTGAGAAGTACATTAGTGTACTTGCTACATAAGGAGTTGATTTCATGGAATATATTACTATACACCATATTGTATTAGAAGCAGCACAATAGCGAGTGAAAGGTGTATTGAGAAGGAAACGAGAGTTACAATATTGTCCAAGATGACATCATATTGCAATATATTGCAGAACAGAAAAACTGTCTGATGCAGACCATACTCCAAACAATACATAGACTAGCATACTGGAAATAATTCTGTACTCTGGCCTCTAAAGTTATCCAAATCAATTAAGCCTATGAAATTTAGCTGCTTATTATCATTTGTGAGTATTGGTGGAAAGAGACCCTTACTCTTTACATTAGAACTTTATTCTTCTCTTATCATTTCATTATCTTGCTTTCATACTCAAAGCCAGCCCACATTTTCCTAATCTGAAGCTAAGCAATAAGAGTTAATTATGTCCAATGCTTACATTTGAATAAGTTTTACAATATCAGAATCATGACACTTATGTGACAGAGAAGAGATGACATACATGTACAGCTATCACAGTAAGTAGCAAATGTGAAAATACAATCTAGAGAGAGTGAGTGCCTTGTCCAAGTTTGCATAACTGCTTAGCAACAGAGCTGTCATCAGATGCCAGGCTACTGAGTCCCAGTCCACTGCAGTTTCTACAGACATGGTCATAACAGACCACTAAGAAACCCTGAAGAAAAATACCTGCAACTTGGTTCAGGTTTTAAACAACTTACTCTATTCTTCTAATGGTCACACTTGGAAAGTAAAAATGCCAAAAGAAAAAAAGATGATAACTGACTTCCCAAGTCAGAAGTTTAAATATTTATTCACCACCAGCTTTTACTTCAAACAAATGTTCTTCAGTTTTCTCACATAACCAACTTATAGTACAAGTTCATGTGAATCTTGTTGCATTATAGTTCCTATGTAAAATCCCAACTCTGATGTTAAGTACAGAACCTATTCCAATGACACACATGGGCCATCGTGTTAGAAAAGGCTCTGTTTAGCATAATGCTTTCCAGTTATGCTAAGCAAAATAAGCCAGGCACTGAAAGACAAATACCATTATGATCTCACCTTTAACAGGAACCTAATCAACAAAACAAGCAAACAAGCAAAATATAATCAAAGACACTGAAATAGAGAACAGACTGACAGTAACCAGAGGGGAGAGGGGAGGGAATTTCAGGGGAAAAGAGGAAGGGTTTACAGGAACAAATATAAAGGACACATGGACAAAATCAAGGGGCGAGGTGGAAACAGGAGGGAGGAAGGGAGGTCTGGGCAGTGAGCTGGGATAGGAGTAAAAGGCAGAAAACTGTACATGAACAACAATTCAAAAAAAAAGAAAAAAAAGGCTCTGACCTAGTAAACACATTATATGATGAATTAGGGTTTTATCTAAAGATAATTGTCGGGGTTTAATACAAAATCTTAACTTCTACCCTGGCTGGCGTAGCTCAGTGGATTGAGCGCGGGCTGGGAACCAAAGCATCGCAGGTTTGATTCCCAGTCAGGGTACATGCCTGGGTTGCAGGCCACGGCCCCCAGCAACTGCACATTGATGTTTCTCTCTCTCTTTCTCCCTCCCTTCCCTCTCTAAAAATAAATAAATAAAATCTTAAAAAAAAACTTAACTTCTAAATAGAATACGTTTAAGTGCTATAAAATACAAACATAGGTGGTCTTGGATAGTTTAGAAATTAATATTAAAATACAATCTCAAAATGCATATATATAAGCAAATGTGGGTTAAACATTAATATTTTATTTTTTAAAGATTTTATTTATTTTATTTTTTTTTAGAGAGGGAAGGGAGGAAGAGAGAGAGAGAGAAACATCAATGTGCAGTTGCTGGGGACTGTGGCCTGCAACCCAGGCATGTGCCCTGACTGGAAATCGAACCTGCGACGCTTTGGTTCCTAGCCCGTGCTCAATCCACTGAGCTACGCCAGCCATTAATATTTTAAACAAAAATAAACACCTTTATGGTTAGTATCAAATGTTATTATTCACCTGTAACAGTAAGTAGGCCACTTTCTTTAATAACAAAACAGTAAAACTGTTTATGGAATTGACTCAAATACCCAAATATAATGACAATATTTCAACCAAGCAATATTCTGTTTTCCAAAATTGTATGTGGTCGATATCACTTTTCTTAGTTTTTTTTAATCAAAAGAAAATATTTGATCACTTATTAGTTGATCTAGTGTAATAAAACATTTAAATAAATTTACATGTGAATATCTATTATGATGGGTGAGATGCCCTGATTGGCAAACACCATTTTCCCAGCTCCCATATTCTAAGAAACAGAATAAAATCACAACAAATTTTGTACTTTCCTATTTAAAATGAATGGAGGTGGTTATTAAAGTTCGTAGTATGGAAGCACAATTATTATCTAACAGAGAAAAAGGCATAGGAAGGCAAGAATAACTTGCTAGGACTATTAAAAAGATACTTTAAAACAAATTAGTGAACAAAATAAGCAAAAAATTTAGTGCATATCCATTGCTTCTTTTCAGTGGTATTCAGATCACGTCATTTTTTATCTAAGTATCCCATCTGATCATTTAAAAACAGGAATATATTCTTGAAAGATGACATAGCACAAAAATTAAGCCTGAAGACCCTTCAGTCAAATAAATTAAGTAGGTTCAAATCCTAACTGCTTCATATTAGCTGTATGAATTGGTCAAGTCATCTCACTGTGCCTCATCTGCAAGTGAGGATAAAAAAAAAATACCCAAATAACATGCTCAAGCTCTCATCAACAATGACCATAACTCAGCAACTTCTTTTTGTCTGCTTACCTGAGCAATTAACCAGTCTATCAGTTTGTTGGCCATGACTACAGATTTGTAGGTCCTTAAATGGTAATCTTTATCTCTACAAAAAAAAATAAATAAAAGAAAGAAACCAAAACCATTAAGGAAGGAGATAAGTGAGCACAGAGAAACATTTCATGTAGTACGTGCTACATTCAGGAACATTTACTCAATGTAATCTGAATTGATTGTCCACATTACGTGTAAATAAGAGAGGTTTACAAGGTCTACACAACACCTGAAAACTCCTCCTCTCCTACCAGTAGAGGAGACCCTCAATGATACCAAAGCAGGACATTTCTTCTTTCACATTTTCTTATATCCAAGTAGGTTATGACTGCCATGTTACCTGCTAATAACTTAGTAGAAATACAATATCTCATTAGTAAAAGAACAGTAAAATAGATTTTTCCCCTTTAAATCAAGATAGATTCTGCAAAACCTCTCTAAATGTGGAGAAGAAAGCAACTGTTTAATTCTCAACCCTGACTTCTCCGGGAAGGCTGTACTTGCTCTGAAGGACCGTCCATTTAGCTCGGCTGCCATGGAAGACCATAGGCCTGTCCTATGGTAAATACACTGAGAACTATGTCATTCATTTTGTCATGATCATGTCACATCCCCAGGGAACCCAGGTAATCAACTGTCCCAAATCAGACTCCTTTCAGCAGACTTCCCAGATCTGAGAAATCACTCAAGTTTAGTTAGATGTCAACAAAATGCTGGTGATCAGAACTAGACCCTGAAGGCAAAAGGCAAAAGACCCTGAGTTTGCAGGCCTGGATCAAAAGGGAGTAAGAAAGTGACAGTCTTTTCAAATCGTAAAAAAATCCTAATTGTGAACAACTTGAAATTAATGAATAATTACTTGCTATATTCAGAGTTTCTACCCTCAGTCAGGGATTTCCAATTAATATTTGCATCATTTTACCCATTTTAATAAAGAAATCTCTGAAATATGGTTGAAATTTCTGAGATTTCAATAATAATTGCACAAGGTTAGCCAGTAATCAACAGAAATTTTTTTAATCTTTTAAAATCTGTCTCTCTGTTGATACCTCACCACCCAAGAAAAAGTTAGGAAGGAAAAAGTAAATCTATTATAGACCATATGTTGGTTTGTGGGTTCTTCACCCAAGTAATTTTTTTTCATAAGCTGAGTTCATACATATTAAAAGCCCAACTATCATAACATTCCATCTGTTTTATGGTTTTTTTCCCATAAATTTTCCCTAGACAACTCACAAACAATTGTCATTTTTAGCCAAAGAACAATTCCTTCTTATCAGCTCTTACCAAGTGTAACTTCTTGATAAGAAATCCCATATGGCTAAAATATATTTTCAGAACACAGTTTCTCACATTCAAACTCAGTATCTGTGCAGATGACATTAAAAAATTAATTGTTATTGTTTTCTATTAGTTTGGCAGAGAAAATTAATTACCCACTTGCTAATGAGTTAAACAAACTCCTTTTAGTATTAAATTATTCAAAATATTTGCAGGATGTCTATGCCAGAGAATCAACAAATGTTGGTTCTTTTTCCTCTTTTCACCTTGTGAAGCCTGCCTATGAAAGTGAAGAGGACACTCCCAGAGTAATGGGCGAGATCCCCTGTCATCCCTCAGAACCCACAGTGTGTTCTCTCTGAAACATTAGTGGGCGATCCCCTACACTCAAACAGCAACTTCTGAAATGTTTTTATTTTTAATTAAGCTCTGCATTTCCTTGGAATTGGAAATCAGAAAGAAAACTGGAAACACTGTACATCAAATATCTGAATTCTATAGCCACTATTGAAAAGCTTCTTTATTCGTTCTGGAAATTGCACATCCATATTTGTTTGCATACAAAATATGTTTGTCAATAAACTCTGAATGATATCTGGCCTTTTGAAATTAGTTCAACATTACATTCTCTCAGTTAGTGTACATCAGTGTATATTAAAAAGCACAATAATACTGCCGATGGTCTCCTGTATTTTGAATCATTAAAACATTGAGACAGCAGAAAAATGTTTTCTGCTGTCTTTCTAAAGAGACAAACTGAAAATTAATCCTGATTCCACTTAAAAATAAAAGGCATAGCTCTTCAGAAGGAAAAACACAAGGGAGAATAAAATTATTAAATTATACTTATTAACTTCAAAGTGATTCCTTTTTTTTAAAGATTTTATTTATTTACTTTTTAGAGAGGGGCAGGGAGAGACAAGGAGAGAGAGAGAAACATCAATGTGTGTTTGCCTCTCTAACTGAGGACCTGGCTCACAACCCAGGCAAGAGCCCTGACTGGGACTCAAACCGTCAACCTTTTGGTTTACAGGCTGGTACTCAACCCCTGAGCCAGCCACATCAGCCAGTGCTCCAAAGTAATTCTTAGTTTTCAAATATAAAATCTTTCCTTTGAATAAAGATCATTAGAAGGAAATATTGTTAAATAAAATACACACTCAAAATTGGATTACACAATTTAATTTAAAATTAATATACAAGTAATCATAATGGTAAGTATTTATAGTAAACAATACCTCCAAATCCTCTCCCAATCAGTTATTATTTATTAAATGTTAACAGAATATGGGTCATTTCATTATGAAGTCAACAATTTATGGTGAATTGAAGGTAAATAATTTTAGAAATTAAAAGAGTGGAAGAAACTATATATTAGAACCTCAGAAAATTTATGCATTTTAAGATAAATTATTAATCTTTAAAAATAAAATTTTTCACTTTTGGGAAAAAAAGCACAGTGTTCCAGGTGGATAATATTTACCTAATATGCAATATAAATATTTCATATAAGTTGCCCATAACTTAGCAACCAGACTCACCTTATCACTGGAGTAAATAAACTATGAAGACGGCAATATAATCGTACACCCTATTGTAAAATAAAGATATGTCAAAAGCAAGTATCACTCAAAGAACATACCAATGACATTTTGAAATAAATGTATTTATTTACTGTTAATATTTTGGAATCATTACAAAATCTCAACCAACATATGTTATTCATATGTTACATTATAATGTAATACATACGTTATAAGTCATAGAGATAATATGACTTAAATCATTAAAAGTAGGATTAAATTTGCTATAAATTTGTCATATACATGACATACATATACACAAAGGGTTTTTTAAATTTTCCTTAAAATACAAAATATTAAAATATAAATATATATAAAAAATATACAATACAAAATACAAAAATACAAAAATTATAGCTCAATATTGTATATAGAATATTAAGTATATATTTTATACATATATTTATAAATATATATTTGTAAATATATGTAATATATATTTGTAAAATATATACTTAATATTAAAAAGTACTTAATATTATAAAGTATATTTGTAAAAGATTAAGTATATTTGTATAAAATACAAAATATTAAGCTATAATGTAAACAAAATATAAACCTATGCAGCAATATATCATACTACTGGTTCACTGCATGTCAATATAAATTTTGTCAAGTGTACAAAGAAAAATGATATTACATTAAATTTATATATCTGAATTTTTTTATTTATTCATGTACCATGACCACTTATTACTACACATAAAATAGTTTGAATGGATATAACCTTTTGAATGATGCAATTGCATTACTTTCATTGAGAACTAGGTCAGACAATGAAAATATGATTTAACATTAGAATTCTTGAAATAGCAAGAAGAAATTGAGAGGTTCATCATTTAATAATTGTCTGTACCAGAAGAATATTTTAAGTCTTTCAACAGCATTTTATCTGGCCAAACTATGACATGAATTCTGCTATTGATTAAAGGTTGCAGAAGCTCTTACCTTTGAAATCACGTCCTGCATCTCATTTCTTGGATAAAATGTTCCATCATCATAACGAAACCTATATAACATCTGTTCTGGTTTGAATTGATGTTTATCAGTAACTAAGAATATAAAAACGATACATTAAAATACTGACAATCTAACAGGTGGCAGCTAAAAACATTTATGAACTATTCCCAAACACTGAAACTTTAGTTTTACCAAATGCTTTTGTTTTCCTGACATAGTAATGCAAATCCAGTATTTAGACAGTAAGATTCATGATAAGATTTGGTTATATAATACATTTACCATTTTCATATAATGACTTAAGAACTAAGTTGAGGTTAGCAACATTTAGCTAGCATATTATATGTATTTGTGTGCATTTATACATATAAATATAGAAGTCTGTGTTTTCTATTTCTTTACAAGGCCACAAAGTTGGACACAATGTGCTCTTCGAAGAGCAGATATTCCGATTTATGTTGAGTCTCCGCCCTACAAGTGAGGTTTAGCATTTATCTGTTTTATGCCACAGTGATCAAGCTAAGACCACACATACTCCAATATTGACCCTAGATCCTATGTTTAGATCCCCAAAACAGATTACATAATTTCAATATGTAACTGATTCCGAAATTTTAACAGTTTTATTACAATGAGAAATGCTTTCCTTTTGTGTCACTGAATTCTTTTCCTCTGTGGAAAATGAGAGTAGTCATCCTTCTCTTGCATCCTTAGAATGAAATTTTCATGTTCATAAAAACTCCTGTTAAACTTCCTCTCAAATTTTCTTTTTTCCAGAAGTCATTTTATAGACAATTTTTTAAAATGACTGTTCTAGAAAGGAAAAACCTCAAATGGAAGCTCAAAGAGTTTACATGAAAATGCTTCCTTCACAGGGAATGCAACATTTGCAGAAGAGATCATGTGTTGCAATGGCCTCTATTTTCATGATTAGATAGAAGGCTCTGACCTTTACTTTTTGCTAACAACATTGTAGGGGGAGAAAAAGCTGTCAGAATTAAATCTCATGAACTACACTTGGTAAATACAGAAAATAAAGCCAAAAGACTTACAAAACACACACACGAAGTTTCACCAATTTTACCCCAACCCATTGAAACCATGTGCACGGCTTGTACCACTTGTAGTCATAAAATTGAGACAAGATTGCTGCCCACTCCCTTCCCCCCCAAAAAAGATAGACAACCCAGCCATTTGGCATCTGCTTTCCCAGAATAAGCCCCCAAATCTAAAAAATGCATGTATGAAAAATAAAATCAAGAGAAATATTTTGAAATCAGATGGCATCTTTCAAGACCAATTATTTATTTCTGCTATGCAATCTACCTATTCCCATTGTTATCCCACAAGGCTCACTGAAATAAATTATTGTCTCAATAGTCCAAAATGCCAGGAAATGTCAAGTCCAAGTTCTCTTGCCATAGTAAAACACATGATGGCTTAACCTATTCTAAATGCAGTGCTAAACCCTCAGGCAAGCTCCTGTGGCTTTGAGAATTAATCTTGGGTTCATTTGCACTGCTACATGTTGAATGACTACCTCGTGGGAGCTCTGACTTGTAGCATTCACCAAAGTTCTGTGATGTGAATGCTCCCACAATGGCCAATTTCAAGCTGCTAAAACAGTCACTTATCACAGAATTAGACATGCAGTGACACACTATCTAGTATTTCCCTCACACAGAAATAATAGGCATAAGTAACACCAAGAACATAGTTAACAATAAAATATAGTAAAATAATTAGGAAGTGATGAGTTTTATGAATATATTAGCTTTGTTTATAATTTATGTACCTCTATGTGTATACAATATAGTAAAATAATTAGAAAGTGATGAGTTTTAAGAATATATTACCTTTGTGTATAATTTATGTACTTACATGTTTCTATAACTTAAATTTTAATAATAGATGTGTTTAACAATCACCTTACAAATTTTTAAAAAATATTTTATTTGTTTTTAGAGAGAAGGGAAGGGAGGGAGAAAGAGAGAGAAACATCAATGTGTGTTTGCCTCTCACGTGCCCCCCACTGGGGACCTGGCCTGTAACCCAGGCATGTTCCCTGCCTGGGAATTAAACCTGCAACCCTTTGGTTCACAGGCCAGCACTCAGTCCACTGAGCCACACCAGTCAGGGCAAATTTTTTAAAAATTTAATTATCAGCTCTTTTGAGCTTACACAAGCCAACTTTATCACACCAGTGGATATATATAACAAATGAGGTCTCTGAATTCTTATATAAGCATTTATAATGTAAATAGTAGCACCAGAAAAGAAGAATATTATCATCATATCACAGAGAAACCATATGTGCTTCAACCCATGAATTCCTGGGATAGTAAGGCTTTGCCTCTGATAGAGTTCTCAGCAGTATTTGCAACATGAATAACAGCAGTAATAGTCTACTTTCTACGTTTTTTTTTTTTGCTTGCTTTCCTTAAAACAGATGGTTCATTCAACTTTATTTTGGGAATTCTATTTTCACTAAAATGCAGCTGGAACCACATACTAATGAGAGTAGCATGTGAGGCTCATATTCTTCATTCTAATAAAATTATTGATGTGAAGTTGCACAATATGTTTTCTTACATCCAGTTTGGGGGAATATGTTAATGTTAAACACTTAAAAGAGGTTATTTCCAGTGACAAAAATTCTGTATGCCAAATCTGACATTACAACTGATCAAATCCTGAAAACAGTAATAGCCCAGGCCCCTAAAATCAAACTGTGGTAAACAGAACAATATTAACAGAAAGCGTCATAGTTCTCAGAAAAAGAGTTAATCAATTTACAAATATCACTGTCAAAAAGATTTAAAATCTCATAAGATAAATCATCAAACGCTTCTAGCATCTGAAATTTCAAAATAAAAGTCGTGTTGTTGGAGAAGAGTGAGGCCTGACAGAGGGGAGGTAAGTCAATTAGGACTGAATTTCTCCCATCTGGTATCTCTTTCAAACAAAAATTCCTATGTTACTGTTGTTATTTTTTCTTTTAAGAGGGAGAAAGGGAACTCCAGAGGATTCCCATCTGGACATATGATAGTGTGTGGCATCAGGGGCACCCAGTGTGGTGGGGAAAATAGGGAGGATCTAGTCTGTTTTCAACCCACTTGAACCTCAAAATACGAGAGCCAAGCATCCACGTTTACTCATAATTCCCAGTCTTTTTCTCCTCTCCCACATTTTGCATTAGGCATTCTCTAAGCTTTTATCCCCAGTCTCATTATCATTGCTTTCTTGTTTTTTGTTTGGTGTTTCTCACTGATGTTCAGAAGAATCTGATAACTCATTGAAATGATTCCCAGCTCTGTCTCACTCTCTCTACCCTAAGCTTCACACACACATCTTGTACATTTGCCGGGCACTTCTCCACAGATGTCTCATATCTAACCCACAGCAAATCTTTATTTTTTCTCCCCAGTGTGCTCCTCCTCCTGAATTAGCTCTTTCTGTTATCCAAATAGAAAGCTCAGAATATCTGATTTTGCTCATCATCTTCCATCTCCCCCAACCAGTTAGCAAATACACTGTTTCAGTGTCATCCGAATCTCTGCAATGGACTGCTCTCATGACACCCACTGACAACACCCAGGTGATGCCCTCGTCCTTCACTCCTGGGGATGGACTGGGCCCCCAGTGCACAGGGCCCTCTGCAGTCTCTAACCTGTCTGCTCCAGGCTCCCCATTGCTGCATTTAACTCCAAAACCAAGTCTGATCACTGGCTCTTAAAAGGGCCCATCAGCTTCTCACCTTCAGAATCAGCCAGAGATACTACAGCCAGGGAGTTAAGACCTTCTGGACCAGGTGTTTGTCCACCTTTCTCACCCTGCCTCCTGCCCCAGTATATTCATCATGGAAGTATATTGTTTTGCTACATGAGACTGTGCTAGTTCCTGGAGAGGCTACCATGAACCTCCCCTCTGCTCACTTGAGCACCATGTAACACTCCCCAGGGTGGGATGTCCTCCTTCCCTCTGACCCTGTCAGGGTTCTGTGCATTCTACGATGCCCAGGGTTAATCCCACTTCCCTTGGGAAGCCTCTCCAAATACTCACCATCCCTTCCTCCACAATTTTAGAACACTACCTGCATTTCTGATTCTTACCTGTGTTATAATTTTTCATTTTAAAGTTAGCAAATATATCACTATCAACCTGAAACACGGTTCTACATATATTAGCCACTCCAGGTGGGGGTGTGTGGGGCAGGGGAAAGTAGTGGCAGGAAAATGGAGACAACTGTACTTGAACAATAATAAAAAAAGAAAAAAGAAATTAAGAAAAAACATTGAAAATATATAAGCGTCCTATAATGTGGAGAATTTTTATAAACTGAACTAATCAATGGAACTAAGATACATGCAATCTATGGAAAAACAGAATAGATAAGCAATTAATAAAATAATTACCATGGTGTATAATTCCATTTTCTAATAATGCTTGCCCCAAGTGAACACCTTCTTCAGGCCTGTGAATCTCTCCAATTTCCAACAGCCATGACACAAATTCACTGTAACAGAAATCCAATGAAAAGATTAAATAGTTATTTCATCCCCCCCAGAAAGTCTATCTGTGTCATGCATTCATCAAACAGCTATGAAAGGAGTCTCAAAATATAAAGGAATATTTTCAGTGTATTTCAGTATACATTTTTTCATATACATCAAGCCCACAGTTACTTAAATTAGACTCTTCTAGAAAACCCATGTTCACACGTTCAGACTTACCTTCACCATACTTAACAACAATTTAACTTATTGAGACTTCTAATAAACACAAAGGGAAAATCTTAAAGTAGCTTCAATTATAAGGTTACCATCCACATAAAGGCAAATTTGGGACTAAAGAGTATACAAAAGATCCTAAATATAGCTCAAGGACAGAACCAGATAGAGTAATAATGACCTAAAATAGGAGATAAGCTCCTTTTTAAAATATTTCAATTACAGTTCACTCTCAGTGTTATTTTACGTTGGTTTCAGGTATGCAGCTGTACAGCTGAATTGGTTCAGGTAGACCAGCATAGTCTCGGGGCTGTGAAGTGCAGAGTGGGGAATATAGTCAACAATGTTGTGATAATGATGTTTGGTGCCAGGTGGGTACTGGTAACATCAGGGGAACACTTTGTAAAGAGATAAACTCTTGAATGTGGTTTTCCAAGCACAGAGAACCAGTAGGCAGGAACTCCAAGAGGGCAAACAAAACAAAACTGCATGTCCCAAATGGCAGACAGAATTCTAAAGACATCCTCCCAGCCCATCAAGAATCCCACCCCTTGGTTTTTTAATCACACCCTAATGTAGGCTAATGTAGGGAGTCCTGTCAATGGATTTTGCATATGTAATTAAAATCCCAAGTGAGTTGACCTTAAAATATGGAAATATCCCTCGGAGCCTGACCAGATCACTTGAACCCTTTGGTGCCTTGGAAGCAGAGACTTCTTAAGCTGGTAGCCTAAGAGGAAGTGAGGAAAACTAAAAGCTTAAGAAAGATTCAGTGTGCTACTGCTGCCTTTGAAGGTACAGGGGCCTTGACACAAGGAATGCAGGCAGATTCCAGCTGAGAACAGCCCTAGCCAACAGCCAACATAAAATGGAGCCTCATTCTTTTATAAACAGGAAGGACTGAATCCTGCCAACAACCTGAATGTGCCTGGAAGTGGATTCTGCCTCGGGATCTCAAGATAAGAGCCCCAGGCCAGCCCACACCTTGGTTTTGGCCTTCTGAACCCCAGAGCAGAAAACCCAGGATTGCACCCTGGACACCTGATGTACAGAACTGCAAGCTAACAAACAGGTGTGGTTTCAAGCCACTAGGTGTGCGGATCATTTGTTTTGCTGTAATAAAAAATTAATACACATCAAAAGACATAGAAAAGTTTTACTAACTTTCTCAAGTTTTAAAATTACTTGGTGAATTCATTGTCTCTAAACTGTCATCCATAAGGAATACTGCAGCTTCAAACCATCATTCAGCACTGCCTACCACACACAGCTGCTGGGGCTGTGAGGGGCCATGGAGGCCTACAGCTCTCATCCATCACCATTTGAGGAGGGGTGAGGAGCCCCAGGCATGGTAAGTAAGAAGGATGATGCTTTATAACACCTAGGAGATAGCGCATCAGCTCAGTAGTAAATTTTTTAAGACCATCTGTTGTCATTAAAAGAACACTAAATACAGAGACATTTTACAATAAAAATTTTATCACACATATATTATAAAAATCTAACCTTTGACATTTTACATAAACTAATGAGTATATTTTAGGGTGGTTTCATTTTTGCACAGAGGCGAGAGAAGCAAAGCTACAGAGTGTAGAGAAATTACTTTTCCCTTTATATCATCAAAAGCAACACATTTAGATAAAGTCAAATAGCCAAGGAATATGGAATTGTAAATATGATGTCTAGTCTAACAAGTACATTTTAAGGAAGAAGAAGCACCATCCAAGAGAAAAAAAATAAAAGAAGTGAAATACAGGATAGCAGTTAAGATTGCATAATTTGCAATAAGACAACCTGGATTCAGATCCTGCCTCTGCTTAATAGCTGGGCAGTGCTGAATTAATCAATCTAGCTCTCTAAACCTCAGGGTTTTTGTTCCATAACAGAAGTACTATCCACCTCTCAGTGCTGTTACAGGATTAAATGAGCTGATGATGTCAGGAACCCAGCACACTGCCTGGCGCATTGTGAGCACGTACTAAGTGTCAGAGATTGACAAGTGCGTTGAGATAGCTAGTATATAGCTAAAGTGTAATCTTACGCTCTGACATCACCAAATTCCTCAATATGTCAAATTCAAATGAGTGAAAAAGCACATTTCAAGTGCCGCTATAAATTAGTAGTATAGACGAAAAGGGGCATTGTAATAAATGTAATCAAAAGTAACTTCACGGGGTAATTTGATAATAAATTCCTAACTGGCCAGGTCATGAGGGACACAGGGGGCAGTGTGCCACTATGGAAACAGACACAATTAATAACAGCTAACATTTATTGAGTCTTTTATGTATCGGGCCCTCTGGGGAATACTCTGCATATCATTACAGTTAACTAGAACCACAGCCATAGGAGACAGTGTGGGTAAAGGGTTAACAAACTCCCTCTGCTTCAATAAAGACAAGTTTGACCCTGGATTAACTTTCTGACCTTGTTCCCCTAGAAACCTGGTGAAGGCAGGGTGTCAGGTGCATTAGTAGGCAGGATGGCTTATGGTAAAAATGACCTCAATGGCTAAACTACATACTCATAACACCTGATGAAAAGCCAGGACTTGAAGTGATTCTCTCGTAAGTAAACACACTCTTGTGGGGGACCTTGGAAGGTATATCCATGAGGTTGTTAGTAGAAATAGTGTCTTCTTTGTAATATGGGGCTTCTAAGCCAAGGGGGGCTCACATTTCCTCATTCCCTTGCATAACAGCCATCACCCGGGGAACTAGGAACACTAGCAATACAAGCCCGTTGGCAGCCGTGTGGCCTGCTGCGAGGACCACACTCACTGGAGAAGAAATGCCCTCCCTGCAAACAAAGGTGTCCTGACCTCTTCTAGTGGGGCTGGGAGCTGGTGTGGCCCATGGTGAATCTGTGTGTCTGCATAGCTAATTAGTGATACATTCTGGTAGGTATTATAGGTAAGCGCTACAATCATCTTCATTTTTAGAAAGGAAATAAAAATTTAACTTTTCCAAATCTCAACTAGCCACTGGCAGGGCCAGATCTGCAGACAGTCTGATTGTGAAGTTGGGGCTTTGAACTGCTACTCTAGCCTACTTTAATAGAACTGACATTGCCATTTGCTAGCTGCATGAACTTGAGCATGTTAAACTCCCTGATCCCTAGTCTCTGAATCTTTATAAAATATAAGTATGTACTCAAGGATTAGAAACAACATATAAAAAGAATCCAGCCCAGAGCCTGGCCTTCCTGCGGGTACCTGAGGCACCACCCTTCCCTTTGGCTCTGCCTGCTTAACCCAGCAGGGACTGCCCTCGTGCCACTGTCTGCAAAAACCCAGGGGCACACACGGTCCACCTGCGCTCCACACCCAGGCCACTTTCCTGCTCGTTGCTCCGTGCCTGCCCCTCACATGACCCACTTTTTCAGACTCTTCATCCCTAGCTTTTCATCCTGAACCCAGCTGTCAAAATTCTAAATTAATTGGTTGCTTAGAATGTGTTTTTCCAGTTCTTTAGTCTTCTCTTTCAGGCCCTGTACTCATGTCCTTGCCAGACTCTGTCCCCTACAGGCAAACCCACCTGCCTGCCTGCCTGCCCAGCCTCTGCCTCGCCCTTGGAACATAGTATATCAGAAAGTACTGAAGTCATAAATAAATGAATAAATGCCTTAAGTTTCCTTGTCATGGTTCCCAGCTGTATGACCATTCCCTCACCCACTATGGTCCAGGAAATGCAGATAGTAAAGAAATATTAAAAAATGCTTAGGAGAATATTTTTAAAGGAAAACACCACATGAGATACAGCCAGATTACCAACCCTACCTTCCAAGAAAGCATTTAGGGAACGTAGTCAGTTTTCTTTTTCTGTCTTTGATCAGATTTCCTTGTTTGCACATCATTTTATAAAGTTTCTCACCCTGTTCAGAGATCATTACCCAGGTGTCTTGCTCCATTCCTAATTTTAAACCTATCGAAAATAAAACAAAGGACAGGTAACTGAAAAAGTCTCTTCATGCACTCATCATTAAACAAACATTTACTGCATGTCTACCATGTGCTGGGGCTGTGCACACAGAGCTCCGTATTATAAGGGCTTGGTTTTCCAGAAGCTCATGGGATACAGGGAGATAGTGGAGGCAAGATGCCCAGGGCCATTTGACATCTTCGTGCAAGGTGTGCCTCAAAGGTACAGAGACTAAGTAGCATAAATGGTAGGTAGAAAATAGACAGGGAGCGGGTAAGAATAGTATGGGAAATGGAGAAGCCAAAGAACTTATATGTATGACCCATGGATATGAACTAAAGGGGGGGGAATGTGGGTGGGAGGGTGGGTGAAGGATGAAGGGGAGTAAAGGGGGGAAAATGGGACAACTGTAATAACATAATCAATAAAATATATTTAAAAAAAGATGTGCCTCAAAGGTACATGGCTTGGCCAGTGGAGGCAGAGCAGCGGAATCTCACACTCTGTGGACCCCTTCTGTAGGGCTCAGTCAGCACAACTGAACTGTGTGGCCCCAGAGGCAGCCTTGGAGGGAAAATTGTGATACAATAGAAGCACATTCAGAGTAGCTCCCTTATCTGAGAAACGGCCAGAAAGACTCTGCGGAAGGGCCCTGTTTGGATGCATAGGCAGGAATAAGATTTGCAGAGAGAGAATAAAGAGTCACAACAGCTAGCTGAGGTGAAACAGCACTGGCAGGAAGCCCTGGGTTTAGGCGAGAGCACAGGAGATGTGCTAGTGAGTTAGGCAGGGTCCTTGTTCAACTGCAGTTCAAGGCCCTTCATTCCTTAGGTATTGGGGAACCCTCTGTTTTAATCAGAGGGGGAGAAGGCAGGGTAGTGCAGGAAAGGAAATATTGTTGCTTTGGAAACTAAGCTCCAAGGACAGGCTGAAAGGGAGAGAATTTAAATAGAGGGAGACTATTACGAGGAAACTGCAAAAGTTCAAGCAAGTTCAAGCCCCTACGGACAATAATAACAACAAAGCTGAGAAATATGTAGGAGATGGTACTGGGAAGAAACACCACAAGGTGAATTGTATGCATGAAGGCAAGAGAAGAATCAGGATGCCTTGCAGGCTTTAGACATGACAACTGAAAGGGGGGTGGGGGGTGGGGCGTGGACAGTGGGCAATGTGTTTAAGTAAGGAGGAGCCAGCAGCTGAGCACACTGACTTTGGACACTGAAGTGGAGTCCAGGGTCCAGTGGAATACATAAGTAGGAAGCTCAGGAGAGAAGATAAGTCTAGACATAAAGATTGAGAACTTGGCAGTATAGAAGTGGAAGTTGATCTGGTGACCCAGGTAAGGAATCGAGTTGAGAGGAGACAGTGCCAAGGCGGAAGTCCTGGGAACACTGCCACTCAATCAGTGACACTTTCAAGTACACTGTTGCAGAAGAAGAAATACTTGGAGTATTTTAGTCTTCCAGCTACAAAATTTCTTACTAACATTTTATTTTTTACAATATAGGAGCCATTAACATTTATTAATAATAGTGAATAATCTAGTAAGAATTGAGCCTATTAACATGAACAGACTTATAGAATTATAGAATTCTTTCTTTCCTCCACTCTTTTTCCCCTCCTCCACCTTTTATGGTGGTTCTTGGACATATCTACATACACAGTCATTCTGAAAAATATAAAGCTTCAGTATTATAAAAATTCAATTTATCTTTTAAATAATTTGATATGTTTGAATTAATTGCTAGATTCAATAAAACTCAGGAGTCTATTATACATTCATTATCTTTGTCTTAAAAATTCCTATCTGGTTCTTCATCCAATATCAATCAAAGGAGTAAGTATTTGGAAATTCTTAACTAAGAGTTAAGAATTTTAACTAAGGCAGAAAGTTTGTTCATTCTTCAAGGGAATATATCTGAAGATAGAAAGGGCTCTTCATGTTCTAAAATGTTATCACCAATGAAATGTTTTATTCCTAGATCTCTGGGGAAAGGAATAAATACTGTCATGTTTCTTATCAATTATTTGATAAAGAAACTAGTAGCTGTACAAGCATCTCTATTTCCTAGCTGAATTACAGGAATATGGTTACTTGCAGACAAACTCCACATAATTGAATACTGCCAGGCCAAATACTTCCTGCAAATCTTGCTAAAAAAAGGAAGCAGATTTGAGCCAGGCCACCTCATGTGAACAAGCTCCTTATTGGGTTATATTACATTATATTCAATGGCACTGTAACATTTTCAAAAAGTTAATATATACCCAAAGTGTCTTCTTTAGTAATGAGGACACTAATGGTCTAAGAATTTTCGATGTCCTATTAAATATACAGAGAAGAATTGTTGGAGGCACTGTAATATTGCATATTATTGAAGCTTGTCTCATAAAGGGAAACTCTGTGATGATGCTTTAGAAATGGCAAGCATAAAGTGCAAAGAGCATTGAGCACATTTTAAAGCAACTGAAACTATCTGCTGTAGGCTGAATGTCTGTGTGCCCCAAATTCTTATGTCGACACCTAATCCCAGTGAGATGGCATTAGGAGGTGGAGCCTCTAGGAGGTGATTAGGGCGTGGGAATGGAACCCTCATGAATGTGACTGGTGTCTTTATACAAGAGACTCCAGAGAGAGCCCTCTTGCTCCTTCTACCTGGTGAGGGTACAGCAAGAAGTCCTCATATGAGGAAGTGGCCTGTCACAGAACACAGAATCTGCGGGTGTCATGATCTTGGACTTCCCAGTTTGCAGAACTGTGAAAAGTAAATTTCTCTTGTTTGTAAGTGACCCAGCCTGTGGTAGTTTGTTATAGCCTGAACAGACTAAGACACTACTAAAAAAGAAACACTGCCAGTCACAATACACTTATTTTGCTAACTATATAAGGTTATCCTTGTCTTTTATTTTAGTAAGTAACTGTTGAAAGTATTCAGAAAATATTTAAGCATGCAGCTTACATCACACAGAAAATTCAAGTGAATATTAAGTACCGTTTACTGTCTTATAACTTTTGCCCATTATCTGCTTTTCTGCTAAGTTAGAATCTTCACAATGTACAATAGTACCCAATGCATATACCTACTTTTTCGTCTTTCTCTTTCTTTTAAAATAGCTTCTAACCATTCATGTTTCTCTTCGGGTGTTTTTGCCATACACACAAACCACTTGTTTTTTGCTGTGTTATGTATCTTCCATCCATTAACCACAATGTGTCCACTGCTATGGAAGTCGGCTGGAAATTAAGGGCAAAGGTGAATAAGCAAATATTATATATAGTATCATATCAATGCAATCATTCAATTCACAAAAGTTCCAAAGCCAATAAATTCTTCACATTGTGTTTGCTTTATATGTGTGTGTTGAAGAACAAAAATATTAACACAATGTTTGTACATTGAATGCAGTCCATGCCCGGTAACAATTCCCAACATCGCCCCTCACAGGCTCTCGCTCCCCTACATCTGACACAGACACACCGAGGACAGCACTTTATGCCCATCCCTCCAAAGGCCCTAGATTCTTACACATCTTTATCTAGTGCTCCAGTTTCCCATGAGCTCAGTAACCAAGTAATCAATAGAACATTCACTCAGACAACCAGGGTAGTTGGCATAAATGTTGACAACCAGGTCATCTGAGGGAGAAGGAAGGAAGTGAGACACAGGAGCTCTGCTGTCATGGAAAAAAGGGAAGAAAACAAACAGACTGCTAAAGCAACAACGTGAAGAGTTGACTGCCTTCCCCGTCTCACTTCCACGTCCAGCAAAATGCGGGCTTTAGGATGTTCTCTTGAGCATTCGGGTTACAGAAGCAAGAGAGTTGTTCACATTTCAGACAGGTAGCATTCTAAGTGTCATTAAACGGTCTCCTCAGAAAGCTATAAAATGAGCTACTACTGCCACCTTACACACACTAATGTGCACACACCCTGTCATGGAAAGGTAGCCTGCCAGGTCCCATATGTGATCATGGGAGTCTGCAACTGCACTGAAGTCTGCAGCACAGAAAGGGGCTGCAAGTGTGAGATTTCTCCCTGTCCCTGCAGACTGACAGCCCCACCCCTTTATCCCGCCATCAGCCAATGAGGATCATCTCCACAGCACAGCTTGTTCCCAAGGCAAGTGCCCTGTCTCAGGAATCACCTGAATTGTGCTCATTGACTGTCTTTTTCTCATACCTGCAGCAACCACAGTTCACTATTTTAAGTACTGGACAAGTTGGTTGGAATGCTAACAATAAGATAAAGGAATGGCACACAGGTGAGGATTTGAAAACCTGTGTTCCTGACAGACTATAAACACCCTGCTCCCCTCTGAGACCCAGGAATGACAACAAAGGTTTGGGGGGGCAGTGCTAATCTGCACCCCAACCCCGTGTTTAAACTATTACAAAAACATTTCTCTACATGGCAATGAAAGTCATTTATCAACAATTAATATATTTTGTATTATCTTGTCTTTCCTCTTAGAAGCATACCTTTGAAATTCTAATTAAAACCATTGGGAAAAGTGATTCAATTAACTAAGCATTTATATTATAGACTTTTTTCCAAATAGTAAGTAATGTATTTTAACTTCATTTTACTTAAAATTTGTGACTAATCATGACTTCCATACCTTCAAGCCTACAGAGCAAAAGTTCTGTGAAGTAAAAACTTAAAATGAGCACTTAAAGTTACACAGACCACCTCCACGCACAACTTTCTTGTACAAGCAAATCAGCAACCTGTTTATATTAATAATGTATGTAGAGTTCAACTAAAGCTAGAGTTTGCTATATTCTACACTGAATATATTAGAGAAACACAATGTCACATACATGCTTATAACACATTGCATAACTTAAAGAAAATCAATTCACTCACTAACTGGTTTCTGCATTCACACTCTCCAGACTAGGAGCTGTGCGTGCCTCTGCACATTGCTGTTCCTACTGAGCTACTTCTTTGTATCTTTGTGTTTAATGTCAGTGTATTTCAGCCAAATATAAACTCCTGTTACGACAACAGTCCTTCTCTGCCTTTCGCCTTTTTCCTCTGACTGCTCTACCTAATGAAGTATTTCTAAGCTCTGATGCACTGTATGTGAATTATTCAGGGGAGAAGTCTGTCTTACAAGGAAGTTTACCATCAAGCCTTTCACTGTAAATCTCCTCACTCACCTGTGCCATCGTCCACATTCTCCACCTCCATCACCTCAGTATTGATCCGGCCACGAAAAAGGTATCGATGTCCATCTGTAGATGTCTTGCTGTTCTTCAACCGTCTTGTAAAGGAAGGAAATCACAAAATCACTATCACTCTACTTAATGGAAAACAATATTGAAGCAATATAATGTAAGCAAATCTTTGAAAAAGAGGTACTGATTCAATCAATGGTATCAAATGTTAGGCTCTTGGTGTTTTTTATCTGTGTCCTGCCATTCCTAACAGCACTGGTTGCTTTATGAGAGTTGACTTATTTCTAGTTTTTTAAATAAACTGAAGCTCTGGGCTCAAAACAATATGAGGTGGGTAGGTAAACATGTACTTTTGCTCAATATAGGATATCAATGGTGCCAAGTCAAACTCTGACAGGCACTAATAGTGGGATTAAAATTTCCTGTGATTTCTTTCACCTTCAGTTCTTGTTTTTTAGTAAGTAGCTGGTAATTTCCTAGTAAAATTCAGTTAGTTCTTATGATCCCTCTGTAAAGATGTTAACTGCTGGTTCTTAAGCATTACCCAGTTGAAAATATTTTCCTATACTGTTTATATGGAATATAACTGTATACTTATTAGTAATTCTCTTAATACATTTATGTTCCTTCAAAAAGGTTTTATTTACTCTCAAAATAGTTCAAAACATTCCAACACTTTGCATATAGTGGGTTCGGCACTGGCCTTTAACCTTTACAAGTATATAAGACAAAAATTTACAAAGTTCAGGTTTACAGGTGAGCATTTGTAATAATGAATTAGATATTGTGTGTGTTTATAGTTGAGTCACTAAATATTCAGGAGAGATTGTTTTAAAAACTGAATCTTTTCAATTAAATTTAAAGGGAAGATTGTAAGGAATGGTTCAAGAGGATTAAAGATTACCTAGTCACTCAAGAGGTTGCAATTGCCCTGAACTATTCAAGTTGACTTATTGATGCAGTCTAGGTAACAATTTAACATGTTGAAATCATTATTCATTTATTGTGTGGCACAGACACACCAGCAAAAGCCACTACATAACTGTGCACCAACTCCAGTGTTCCCTCTCCTCTCCTCCTCTGTAGTTAGGTACCCGCCATGGAGTGCAAGGAGGTAACACGAGGTATCTTCACAGTCCCTGACTTCCTTCTTTGGAAAGGAGTATAGATGCCTGCTTAGCTGTCTAAATGATCCTCATGATCTAAGCCTTCATGATCTTGCACTTTCATGCTCATTCTGAAAGCGATCTCCAAATGCCTCTCATTAATAAGCCAAAATAAATGCTATAAACCAGGATTTGGGCAGGGTAACTGTAAAAGTTGGCATCACTGGAGGCCAAACATAAAGAATACAAAGCCCACTAAGAAGCCAATAGCTGCACATTCTCTTAGGTAGGAAATTGTATCATCGTGTGCTACAAAAAAGAATTTCCTATAAGTTGATACATCATTTTAAGACCAATCATATTTTGAAAAGCTTAATATCCTCGATGACAGTTTTAGTCACAGGCAAGTAATCATGGTTTGGAATCTATCATCGGGTCCTATTTTCCAAAGTATTAATTTTCTCTGAGATTCTGCAGTTAACTCTGTACAGGCTTTTTTTATATTTCACTTGACCTGCAGATGGTAAAAGTCAATGTGAAGTTCTAGTAAGCATGTATCGGTACTGTAACATTTAGTTCAATCAAACCTTGGGTCCCTTCAGAAAACGGCTCTACTGAATTTTAAAGATTAAAAAGCCAATGGCTTGAAAAGAATTTTACTCTATACTGTAATGTTGAGTACTTGCATATCCTGAGTCTATGACTTCCTTCCTGAGTATGTGTTCGAATGGTCATTAGGATGAGTGGACAAGAGTGTTCACAAGTTTGACCCTATCCAACAAGTACCTTCTGAAAAAAAATCATATCTATGCTTTAAAACAAACAGCAATTACATCAATAACATTAATACATTCTATTATTTAACCATGGCTAATCTATACCAGGGACTTGCTTGGGTTTTGTTCATTCAATCATTTATTCACTTATTCAACAAATAATTCTTGAGTATCTATTACATAACAGGTCTGCTCCAGCCTCCGGGAAACAGTAATGAAAAAGTAGCAGGACCCTTGTTCTCACGAACCTTACAGCCTAATCTTATAAAAGTGGTAGAAAATAAACAAATAAATTATGGAGAAAGTATCAGCATACACTTCGCAGATATTGATAAGGTGGCTGGGAAGCTCCCCTGGATAGGGTGGTCAGGGAAGACATTTCTGAAGAAATGACATTTAAATGAGATCTACAAGACATAAGGAACCTGGCCATGTAGAACTCAGAGGGAGGAGCAACTAGGAAGGAGAAAAAGCCAGTGCAACATGGAAGAAATAGAATTCTTGATTTCTCCATGGGATATAAAGTACAGCATAGGAAATATAATCAATAATACTGTAATAACTGTGTATGGTGACAGTCAGGTACTGGAAATATCAGGAGGAACACTCGGTGAAGTATATGATTGTCTAATCACTATTTTGTACATCTGCAACTAATACAAAATAATATTCAATGTAAAGTATAATTGAAAAAGTATTAACTTAAAAATCTCCACCCAGATTTCTGTATTTCCTCTCCTAAAACTGTTCCTCTCCCAGTTGTCCCTATACATTAGTTTCCTTGATTCCAAACCACAGGCGTTAGCCTTGGGTCCTATATTTCACTCATCCTCCCACATCCAATCCATTAGAAAACCTCACTGATTCTTCATTTAAAACACAAAAATCTTCTCACATCTCTTCGCCTACCCTGGCCCAGCCCACCAGTTTCTGCTCCCTGGGTGACAATGGTAGTTTCCTAACTGGACCCACCACATTCTCATTCAGTGCTTCACGATTTGTGCTCTATAGTTTGTACCAAATAAAGATAGGAAAGTGTGTTAAGAAGGAAGAAGTGCCAAATTAAGCTAAATGCTGCTGAGAAAACACGCACAGAGCAGGAAAGCGACCACTTCCTTAGAAAACAGAGGTCAATGGTGGTTTTCACATGAGCAGTTTAGTGGAGCCTCCAGAAGGCTCCTGGGGAGGCAGTGTCATCGGTGGACGGTCACAGTCACAGTTCAGCTAGGTGTCATCAGAAGATGAAGGGGACAGTCATGGGACAGACCGAGCATGTAGAAGTTTGCAGACGAGACCGCGAGTTCCCAGGACCAACCACAGAGGAAAAGGTGAGACCTGTGAGATGGACAAAACTTCTGAAGTGTTACCTGTGTACCCTCCTACCTGTGTTTTCTTTTGCAATACACCAAAAGATTGTCGAAAAGGAAAAACACCCGTTCTTGAATATTCCCAGAAGAAATCTTCAACAGGACTCCACACATGAGCATTTCAGTGCAGGTGTCGGTGATGTTGGACCCCTGAGCCGGGAAAAAAATGGAGATGAGGTTTGATCACTTTGTATCAACTGTCATATGTAATTCTTTTTTTCCTTAAAAGCATATTTTGTTTATTTGAAGATGCAATACATGGACAGAATGAAAGTTCAAACAGCACAAGTATTTATACACAGAACTCAGCTCTCCTTCCCTTCCACTCTCCTTGTGTTTGGTCTCAGATGATACAACTGCTGCTGAGAGATTCTGGGTCTCTCTTAGCTATTTTACATATGCACGCATACATTAGCATCTGTGGTGCGTGTTACCTATGTTCTTGAAAAAGGAAATGATTTCAAACTGGCTCATAACATTAGTGTTCTTCATAGTCCTTTCTTCCTCCTCTCTTTTCCTGGTATGGGAAAAGAGCTCCCTGGGCACATGGCAAAGAATAAGAAAATGTTTAAATTTTTAGCAGGACTCAATTTATAGACCCAGGCCTAGGATAGAGAGGAAAAAGAAAAGAAGTAAAAGAAAAAAATCTATGTATTTAAAGAGAGCAACCTTCCACAGAGCTTTTCACCATACTTATGAAAACTTGGCACAGACACACAGTCATTAAATAGGCCTTGCATACCCGCTAAAGTCATGATTTAGTGACAAGACTGACTCTTAACACAAGAGCAAGCCACTCAAAATTCAATGGAGCCACAAGAAGGAAGGAGCCTGTGCCCCTGAATCCTTCACGCAGGAAAACCGCCTGCTGAGTAGGACAGGCAATGCACTGCTGTGTGAACTGAGCATAAACATCTACTCTGAGCCATTGTAAATACTGTAGTCGATCAAAGCTGGTGCACTGAGTCAGATTTTTTAAAAAGGATATTTTCAATAGAGATCTGTTAAATGTGCTTTATCTACAAGAATATTTCCATTTTAAATATGTCTGGTCTCCTTAAACCTGGGGGTAAATTTCTGATTTTTTTTAAACTTAATGGTTTAATTTTTATTTTTAATATTTAAAACTCAGAACATGAATTTTAGATTGCACATTTCCACACTAGTTGATATAAGTTTTCTGATCAATTATAAATATTTAAGTTAAAATGACAATTCATAACTATAATAAGAAACTTCCTAAAGGGAAGTTAATTAAGACAGTGTTATTATGCTAATTTAAGTATATATATTACAAATACATTTTAAATTTTTTTAAAATTTTATTTATTTATTTTCAGAGAGGGATAGGAGGGGGAGAGAGAGAGAGAGAGAGAGAGAGAGAGAGAGAGAGAGAGAGAAACATCAATGTACGGTTGCTAGGGGTCATGGCCTGCAACCCAGACATGTACCCTGGCTGGGAATCAAACTTGCAACACTTTGGTTCGCAGCCCCTGCTCAATCCACTGAGCTATGCCAGCCAGGGCTACAAATACATTTTAAATTTTAGATATTTCCCTCTAAACCTGAAATAAGATATGGCTACAAGCATTAGATTGTGAGTTAAATGTCAGGAGCACTAAAGCCTATTACAAGGAGAACATCGGATGAACAAGCTAGGAAATCAAGCCAGGCAGCTCTGTGGAAGAGATCAAAGCCTCTAGGACAATGGTTCTCAAATTTCAGAGTGTAGAAGACACACCTGATGGGCTAGTTAAAACTTAGCCTGGAACTACCCTCCAGGCCATCCTGCAGGTGCTGATGCACAGAGTTTTCCACCAACACTTTCAGCAGCACTGCTGCGGAGGGAGGCTTGATTACCTGAGCTCAGGTGCTCAAGTGTTCAATGCCACAACCATGCTAACGGAGACAGAGGTGAGCACACGTCTCTGCTGGAGGCAGTCCCTGCTGCCTCTCCTGCCCAGGCCCAAAGGGGTGTCATCGCACATTCTGGGGTCACAGTTACACCTCCAGTGTGTTCCATCCCCACGGAATATTTCATCACCACTGAATATTCACTTAAATCTGCAGAAAGGGCTTTAAAATCTGGATAGTATTTTGTCTTTATTTTGAACACTGATGTCAATTTTTAAATATATTTTTCACAAATCCACATTGAGTCACTGAACAGCCATGTATATAATAAACACTTATACCTAGGTGAGCACTAAGGTCAGGTTTTGACAGTTCTATACCATGCCAATGTGCTGAGTATTTTCTCCTGGTGTAAACCTCTGACATCTGGTCTTCCTAATGCTAAAGTTTTAGAAAAAAATGTTTATTGAATTAAATTAGTTTTGTAAACTGTTCCATGGGTCACCACACCTTTGTCAGGGGAAGCAGACTCTTGCACTGAGAAAAAACTGCAACCGTGAAAAATGTACAGCCCATGAGAATAATAAACTCCTGGAACAGGGTGCTGGTGTATCACATCCATAAACCAACATCTGAGAGGTAAGATATGAAAAAAGAATTACTTTTAAAAATAAGAGGGCTTTGCAAAAATCATTAATTTTGAACTGCCCCAAAGCCATTACATATAATGTAATAAGTATATGTGCATATTTAACAGATACTTTTAAATAATGTTTTTACTCTCTGTGATTCGGAGTCCTGCTGTCTGTTAGCAGTTCCTTAAAATATAACCAAAGTGATGTACTTTTATCTTCTAGAATTAATGTACATTTCCCTTTAGGAAGCTAAAGTGATGATGTAAAGTCAGAGATGGTTTGTTTGCATTGAATTACACATATTGAATTAAACACTGTAAAACCCCCCACTAGGAAGTTACATGAATGACTGCTTTCATTAGATCACGAAAGGAGGCAGGCTGACAGTTCAAGGTAGGAAGTAATCATAAATAAACATGTGACCAGTGATGGAAAACATACTCATCAAGGCCCCTCTCATTCCAGAAGCCTCTCTTTCTATCCCAAGCTGTGCACCTATTTTATTCCTCTCCATCACCACCAGCCCCACAGTGCAAACAGTGAAATACGCTGAGAGGAGCCCACCTGTAAATGTTCATGAGAGAAACAGCACCTGCATTGTAGTAGTACACCTTTACAATGACTGAATTTCAAACAAACTTCAGGGTGTTCAATTATAACCACAAGGAAGTGGAAAGAAACTCACAAGGTATATTTGTGTATTTGTGAGCCATAAACCAGAACAGGATGCTACAGATTATTACAGAACATCAAAGTAGCAGAATAATGAAACAAATACTGGACTTTAAAGAGAACCATGTCAGAATCACTGCCATTAAGCAAAACAGCCAAGAGTATCCAAAAATAGTAAGAAGCCACTAACAATTAATACATAACTACAATGTAATTATATCTGCACGTAATTACCATTCAATCCACTATGTGTCAGAAACTGTCTTAGATGCTGGGACCCAGAACTTGAGACATGACCCCAGCTCCCATGAAACACGTACACTAGTGGAAGAAATGGAAATGTGAGCACAATTAAATGCAGTGTGATCATTTTAAGAACAGAACATCAATAAAATGAGGGTTGGTATGAGTGAACAGTGATTAGTCAGGGATGGCTTGTGTGTGTTTATGATTATATAAGCTTATCATTAATGCTATAGTTCATTCCCTGTTGTGGTTTCAGGCTTCCCTCATTCCCCAGTAATTGCCTTCTGTGAATTTATGAAGCACACCATGTAAACATCACCCTGCAGTATGGCTGAGATCAGTCTGAACGGGTAAAGCACACAATGACTTCAGTCACAGACGGGGACCCAGAGCAGCCCACTGGGGCCCCACTGCTCACCACCAGCCTCTCTTCCTGCTGTGTGTGCTTCAGGTTACAGGATCCAGCAACAAAATAATAGCAATTTGGAATCTAAATTGTTAAGTTGAATAAAGCTTAAAGTTCAGTCTAGAACTTGAAATATATCACAGGCTGCCAATTAATTATATGGTCAGTATACATGAAAAACTATTCAATTTCAATGTAGCATTATAGAATTTAATGCAGAAGTATGCTAAATTTCATGAGAGGACACCTGGTTGGTGCCAAAGTATACTTTCAGAAAATGTCAAGAGCCAGAAAAGGCTATCAGAAGCATGTGTATTTATTATTTCATGGTTTCTTTTCTAATTTCCAATGTTTCTTAAACATTAAAATCATAATTTATGAAGAACTGCAACAGTTCATTGCTGATTCTTTGCAGCTACAAGGTGGCTGATTCATTGCTCAACAGTTCATTGCTGATTCTTTGCAGCTACAAGGTGGCAAAAATCATTGTAATATGAAACCATTCACTGATTATCTGACCCCATTATCGGCTCTCTCTGCTTAATACCAGGGGCTATCTCATTTATCTTGTCAATTCAAGGCTGAATGTCAACATCAGAGACACAAAGAGTGACTGCTGAGAGGAAACCCTAATCTGGGGAAAGACTAGCGATGAAAGAGGCCTTGAGACTTCCTCCCTCACACAGCAGCAGCGACGGAAAAGACCGACCTGCGCTGCTCCCCTCCACGGGGAGGAGCAGAAGGCGGACAAGAGGGACAAGCCGAAGGGCGCCCATAGAAGAATGGGTTCAATATCAAAGGAATTTCTTGAGAAAATTAATGAAGCATTTGAATATTCTTTAAAAAATACTTTAAAGCTACTAGGAAAGTTGAATGTGAAATAAAGAATATCACATTGCTTTATTATACAATTTTGTCAGAAAATGTATGCCCTCTCCAAAAGAAGACTTAGCATTTGATTCACTCTTTTTGAGATTCAAATTATTAACAGAAAATATAACTTAAATCCTGTTACATACTAGATAAAATAAACTAATAAACTAATTTTCATTTCACTAGGATAATGTCCCAATCAAACTTTCCCCCTGTGCCACATGTGAAATTTTGCACTCCCTTTTATGTGGATTCACTTTCAGTGGTCTTTTCCCCAAACCACTTACCCTTAAATAACAAGGACTATTTATAAATCAAGTCTACCTCAATGTAGGCCAATCGTACTGCTAAATCACCTCAGAGAGGAGACAAAAAGAAACAGGTCTCACCATAACTTTTGCAAGCCTCACAGTCACGAAATAACAAGAGATCATGACTGGGAGACACTGTCAGACATACACTCCATCCAATGGACACAGCAAACAGATTCTGAAACCACCAAGAGGCGATTTTTCAACGGTCTTGCAGCGTTGTATTTCTCCATGTAACAAGGTAAGCAATAGGTGTCAGATTTCTATTGTTTCTTCTTACTTTCTAAATCACAATTATTTTCTTGAATCTAATTTTTTCCAAGACTTGATATATTAATAATTCACCCTCTGATCTTTTATTGTGATGTTTTCCCTGATTTGAGAGATCAATCATATCAAGGATATAAAGATGCATTACTAAAGATATAATGTTTACTGATACTCTTTTGTCAGTATCATTCCAAAAATTATAATACTACAGTTACGATACTATCAATCCACCAAAAAACGGACTAAGAACAGTTCTGTTCTACAAAATGAATCAATGACCCTGATTTAACAGTTAATAAATAGGTTTTCAAGCAGTGATTACTGCTCTACAATTACCTTTAGTAGAATATCTTGTGGAATGTTTGGAATGTTGGATAAGATATATGACTGAGATATCATAAATTATATTAATAAAAGCTATACTTCAAATATGAGCAATTACAGCACCTACAGACCTTCTGTGGTGGCAGTCACTATGTAAATGCTAACAGACCTAATTGCTGGAATAGGCAAGTTTACCTGAGAGATTTCGACTGTAAAAAGCCTTCATGTGATGAATGGGGAAATAAGACCCTAAATAATTAAGTAAGTTATTTGAAATAACAATTCCCCTAAAGTGGAAATAAGGCAAGTTCCTGGCATATCTGACTCGGATCCCATCCAAGAGAATGCTAGTTACTGGAGCAGGAGTCATGTCTAAGGTGGTCCTAAAGGTGTGCAGGAGGTCATGGAAAGAGCTAGAAGAGGAGCTGGTTCCCAAGGTCAGCTCAAGACTCTAAGCCTCCAAACTCTTTGAGAAACTCTGTCCTATGACTGTCATGCCACACTGACGTGTCTGTCCTTGGCTCTGCCCTAACCCCAGGAGAGCCACTCTAAACAGATGCAAAGCTGTCTGTAAACTGAACAAACCTGTTAGCAATCCAAAGAAAGCTCTTTAGCCAACCGTTCCCACTCCCTCCCGAGCTGGGATTCATCCTGGAGACTGTGTCCCTCTGTCTTGTGACCTCTGTCACAAGAGGTCCCATTAGATAGCAGCTGCTCCTAATCTTCCAAGGAGGCCCAGGCTGAGTACTCGAACAGTGTGCCCTGCCTCTCTAAGGTGGTGGCCTGAGATGAGAAATCGGGTTCTTAACACAAGTTGTCAGCCAACTGGCAGGGCTGTGCTCCAACCTGCAGTCCCTTGAAGTCCCCAAACTTCCAAACCATTGTGTGGCTGGGACTTGTGCAATCACTTTCAAATCTCCTCAAGGAGACTCTGTGTTGCCACTCTTTTGGGGGTCCAACATTCATATTGTCTCCTGCTGGAGCTGAAGTCACAGCTGATTTCCTCCCACCAGTTTCCTCAGTATCAACGCTCTTTCCTTGCTCTCCAGTGACTTACACCCAGCGAGCCTGGTGAGGTCGAGGCACCCACTGCTACAGATCACAGATGACACACGATGGCCCCCATACATTCTTCCTTGGAGTAACCAGAGTGTACCGTATAAGAAACATCAATACTTTTTAAATAATCGCTCATTTCTACAGGAGACTTGATTTGGGGGATCTTGTATGAGTAGGAAACAAAAATATCACAGATCCCACTTCCATAAAGAGCTGAACAGAGACTGTGGGGCTTTTGTTTTGGTAAAAGGCCTGGCAAACATCACCGACAAATCCTTCAATTTAAAGCAAGTTCAATGTTTCATCCAGTATTTCAGTGACAACAGACAGCAAAAGCAAACTTTAGTCCATTTTTCTCAGCCCAGCAGGACAACCACTCCCCGGGAAGGAAATTATCACCATGAATCAGCTGTAAAACACATGACCGTTTTGATTGATTGGAATAAGTAGCACTTGTGCTGAATGGGGGTCACCCTGGACACTCGAAATGGAAGAATATAAATGAGAAGGAAGCTAAGTCAGATCTCAGTATTCATTTTTAAAAATTCATGGGAAAAAAATGGATAAAGAGGAGAATTCCCTGAGGTCAAAGTTTGAGATTTCTTCGCAAATCTAATGGCTGTAATTTTAGATGTAAGTGGAAACCAATACACTGAAGATAAGAAACAAATTAGTCATTATAATGCCCAAACGATAAAAGCTACTTGGATTTATGTGATACAGTATTTGGTTAGAAATACTTTAAAACTTGTTCATATTTTAAGAATATTATGATAGTTGCTTACTTTACAACAATAAAAATGTATCCCAGTCCAAAGCCCATGCTCATCTAAATAAGACAACCGAAAGACAGAAATTTTTAGTCTGTCCTACAAGTAGCACTAAAGTAATATAGGGCTCCAACCCACAAAGTAAATGGGATTCAATGTTACCACAGCTGAAAACACATTACAGATTCTGAATACCTCTCTTCATTGACTTTTTTATAATTTATAAAAAATCTTTCTTTAATAAATCATGAACCCATAAAATTTGTCATCTTGAACGGACCTTAAAAATCACATCAGAGCTACTTCATTCATTTTAGAAATGAAGAAATTCAAATTTAGAGAGACTAAGTCAGCTTACAATGAAATTTATCATTGCACCCCTAATTTATAGTCTGAAAATAGTATCACGGCACATGTATGGAGCCTTAGTCTCTCTCTGTACTCACTCCAGGATTCAGGCTATGTGCTTTTTGACCACAGTTAGTACAGGAGAAAAGAATAAACCCAATGCACAAATACTGAAGTATCAAATCTTATAACCCACGCAGTATTGGCTGACTCTCTTACAAAGCTTGAGGATAAGCCAATTAACTACCACTTTAAAAATATTTAAAAATAAAAATGACAGCACTTTTCAGAAATACTTAAAGCCCCCTAGCATTATCTAGGAAAACGACCATTTATGGTTCCATCCAATGCCAATCCATTCTACACACAGCATGAGAAATAGCAAAACCAGTTTAAGCTTAATTGTTGAAACAGTGACTGTACCTCCCAGCCTTCTATGTGAGACTGCCATTCCTCTAAAACTTCTAACTTCTCCATCTGTCTCTTGGCCTCATTTATGTTGGAACAGACGGCTTTCATGGCTTGGAGGGCTTCCATCACCGCTGCATAGTCACTGTGTTTCCTTGGAGTCCGCTTCAGCAACTCCTGTTTATACACAAAAACAAATCACCCTTTGATCTCCAGCTTTCTGGTACAGCAGGTTCAGACTGACCAGGAAATGAAAACTGCAAAGATCGTGAGAGCCACTTTCAGAAGTGACATCACAAACTCCACCAAGACTGAGATAAAAAGCAAAAGACTGAATCAATTTATGTGTTATTACTGTAATACACATTTTTGTACTTTAATTTTTCCTGAAAAATTATTTTGTTCTTAAAAACAAAATTAGAGTTCTCTTTTCAAATTGTCAAATATTTCACCTGCAGCATGTAATTTTTTAAATAAGTTTGACTTTGGGTCCAACAGAAGTACATCTTTGTATGTTAATTTCATTTTCCTAGAGACTTAAACAGAATAGTAAATCTTTAAATGAATATGGGCCATAATTTCAAAAATAATTTAAGTGCCTTATTTTCTAATAATTTTTGAAGAAACTACAAAAACATGTCATAAGTAAAACTTTTAAAGAATGCCTTATACACTAGCAGAATAATTTATAAATTCCACATTATTCCATCATTAAAAGAACAATTTATGCCATTTTCACAAAATACTCAAGTTCATTCTCTGCTATGAATAAACTGCCATACACCCTTCAATAACTTTATTTTTGTTTTTGTTTTGGGACAGGGTTTGTTGGCTTGTTATTCATAGTTTGTTTGTTTTTTCCATTCAGGATATCAGAACTAAAGTGATCTTTAATCTTGTAAATACATTAAAAGGGCTTGTTAGTTGTTTAGAAACACAAAATTAAACATTTTCACCCACAGTCTAGACGGCTGTGACCACATTGCTTTTTAATTAGTCATTTGTTTCCTTACTGCACTGCCGTCACCACGCAACTAACACAATTACAGAAGTCCTGAGGCGAGTCGCTCTAAGAATTTCCTTAATTTTTAACATACAGTGGGAAAATACGCAGTTGCTATATTCTCTGGAGGTCTGCTATTTTTCACAAACTTGCCATAAACTTTGACCCTGCATTCAATGTGTTCAGACTCTGTTCTTCAGAGCAAGCCCCAAACGCACTCACGTTAAATCACTCCCAAGACAAGGTCTAAAATGTTATGCTGAATCACAAATACATAAAGGAGATAGGCGACCTTTTCCAGAAATTCTGATGAGTAGAAACAGTTGTAAATCATGTGAAGAGAGCAAATCAGTTTGCAAGATATGAGATTTGGAGCCCTGTGGCATTGTGCCCGGTGAGTATCTGTGGAGTCTAGACAGGACTTTAAATCGTGTGAAATAATGAGAGCAATGACTAGTACAATCTTCTCTCAATTACCTGCCACGCACCCTGTTCTGATGGGCCAACCCAATAATTTCAAACTCCACAGATGAGACCAACATATCTTTTCTTTAAAACACAGCCTAACCCCATAATGTTTTTCTCTGAGTAAATAAAGCCCTCCAAAATCAAAGAGAACACCAGCACAATTTTTCAGCTGCTACTGCCAGAAAGAAAAATATCAACACCAACATATCTACTACACAGGTAAACATTTCTTCATGTTTCTCTGTGAAAATAATCTCCCCAAAATTGGAAAAGATGTCATCTTCCCACTGCTCAAAGGTGCTCTGAAATAGCCTCTTTTTTCCTAAGTAAGGACTTATCCATGATTCTAGCTTTTGAAATGCCAGCTCAAACACCTGAGATCATCCTTATCAGAAATGAGTGACTTAGAACAACCACTCAATATAAAGCATTTCTCTTAATATCACTATGCTTTCTGACTTTTAAAACAAACAAATCCCTGGGACTCTGAAATTTGGGCCAGGAGTAACTGCAGTGATAAGCACACATGCAAATCTGAGTCACCCTGTCAGAGGTCCAAAGAGACCTGAGGGACAGCAGGCACATCCGTGCCAGCCCTCCCATCCTCCTGCCTGTGTGACAACTCTGCAGAACTTGAGATGTGAGTCCGCTTTCCCAAGCAACTTGACTTTCTTTTCAATAAGAAGAGATCCTTTCCATGAAATTTTACATAGAAACCCAATTTATGTAGCTGGCAAAAGTCATAGTAAAAAGGGAATTTTTAGTTCAAATTCATAAAATTTATTTCTTAGAAAGTAAATCAATAAGAATACCAGTTAATATGTCTATAGCATTTCTGAGTATTTTTAAATTTGGATGACCAAGTAGTAATTAATATGTTAAAATCAATCAGAATAAAATATGTATGAATAATAATGGCTAACATTTATGAAATATATACTATGCTAAATGGTTTATATTAAATAGTTCAATTAATTATTACATAATAATTTATATACACATCTATATAACCATACAGATATGCATATACATACATATGCATATTCTTGTAGGTATATGCTATAATTTCTTCATCATCATCATCATCATCATTACCCTTCTGACTCACAAGTGAAAACCCAAGGCTTTAAGAGATCAGATTATGTGTTTAGTCAGGCAGCTATAAGCAAAACACTCTGGATTTGAACTCAGAATTCTGTCATGTGCTCAACCACCACACCAAACTGCCTATCCTGAGGTAACAGTTCCAAAAAACATTGAACTGTTCTCATCAGTTCATAGGCCCCTGCAGTATAAATAATAATTATGTTTTATAATATGTTTTACAATATGTTTTTCATAATGGAATGTTGATCATTGTAAGGAGGCAATGTCCCTACAACCATTAATGAAGCATTTCCTATCTCCCAGGGGCAATGTTTTCTTGACCTTGTCATTCTACCCTCATCATTTACTGTCACATGTGACCCCCACCATTCCCTGTACTAATGATTTAAAACCAGGCTCTGGAATTATGTAACTTTGAGTTTCACTTCATTAGCATCAGGAAGGCTCTGAATTATGTTACTCTGACCTTTACTTCATTAACATCAATATTAAAGTAAATTAAAAAAAAAACACCAACTGAGAATTTACTTGAGATAAAGAAGATAAAGTGCTATACAAACTGGCCATAATGTATTTAATGGGACCTATCTTGAAACTAACACCCTTACTCTAAATGAAATTCAAGTATGTTTTCTACAAAGAACACTTTTTGTTCCTTTCCTTAAAAGATTTGTTTCCTACTCCACATATAAATTAGTGACAAAATAGTCATTTTAATTGAATTTATTGGAGTGATATTGGTTAATAAAACTATATAGCTTTCAGGTATACAAGTCTACAAGATATCTCCTGTATATTATATTGTGTGTTTACCACCCAAGTCAAGTCTTTTTCTATCACCATTTCTCCCCCTTTACCTTCTTATACCTTCCCCTACCCCAACGCCTATGAATGCCCTTTCTTTAGAAGGTCAGACTATTTAAAAGAAAAAAATATTTTAAAGATTATAAGCAAAATATGCAGGTAAAAGGAAAATGCAACAATAAATATGAAAAATACCTTTAAAAGAAGAGGGTACTTGCATATTCTTTGTATTGGCGTCACCAAGTACCCCTCCAGGGGGACATCTGTGTTCTTCCGTCCTCCGAGCAGCATGCAGTTCTAGGTGGAGACAGACATGATTGATTACGTTTTTAAAACCTGAAGCCGTAAAACTTTCTTCCATCATAAAACTTTCTTCTGAGAAGTTGTGAAAGGATGTCTCCATATAGTTTCTTTCTCTGAGAAGATCACATTCAGTCACAAACAACATTTACAGGAGGGAAAGAGAAATATTTTTGCCTTTCCTATTAGTTATGGAAGCCAAAATGTGTTTTTGGATCTGTATCTTGAAAATTAACTCACATATATTCTCCTGAGTATAAAGTCTAAGGGAAAAGACCAAAGCAGACAGAGATGGAGAAATAGGTAAATGGATGAATGGATGAATAGATGGGTGAATGGATAGATGGAATGGATGGAATGGTTGGGTGGGTTGCTGGGTGAGTGGGTGGGTGGACGGAGGGATGGGGAAAGGGTAGACAGATGCATAGATGTATCCTCCTTCTGAAAGGAGGTAGTGGTGTTTCGTAGAAGAACAGGCCTAAAGACAACTGGGTTCCAGGTGTGCTCTGCCATTGACTAGTGATGCAACTAGACTGAGACATGGAAGAGTTTTTATTTTTTTCCTCAAAGCAATAGCAAAAGCCCGAGTATCATTATTTTGGGGCCAGTTTCCCAAGCCCCAATTCCCACAATACAACACAGACAGGACCAGGTGACATGTGCACCGGTACAACAGGAGAGGGGACCTGAGGCTAGGGAGCATGGATCTTCTGTAAGGGCAGCACGCATGTCTCCCCGTTCCACAGAAGGAAGACATGCATCTCTGAGACTGTCTGTGCTACAAACATCATTTAAAAGATGAGCAGAACAAAGGGAGTCAGTTCCTCTGATGAGAAAGTGTGCAGAAACACGAGACCCATGGAGAATTGCCTCCCAAGACAAACTTCTAAATAAACAATGCATCAAAGAAATTACAAAGGACACTAGACATTTTTAAAAACTGAATGAAAATGAAAACACATGTCAAAATGTATGGAATGCAATTAAAGCCACACATAAGGCAAAACTCAAAGCTTTAAATACCTATAATTAGAAAAGATAAAAAGGTCTTAAAGACTCTCAACAAACTATGAATAAAATGGAACTTCCTCAACCCCACCCAATAAAGAACATCTACAAAAAAATCTACAGACAACATCATACTTAATGATGAAAAACTAAATGATGTCCCCCAGTGATGAGAAACAAGGCAGGAGTGTCTGTTCTTACCACTTCTATGCAAGGGGAAAAAAAAGACATCTACATTGAAGAGGAGGAAGTAAAATTGTCTTTATTCTCAGATGACATGATCTTATATATAAAATATCCTCAGGATTCCCCCAAATCTTCTAGAATTAATACATGAATTTAAATCACAAGATGGAAGAACATAGAATATACAAGATATAAGAATACACAAATGTCATTTAAATTTCTACATACTAAATTTTTGGGTTACTAAATGAGTAACCCAAAAATGACATTAAGATAATTCTCATCAAGCCCTGGCTGGCATAGCTCAGTGGATTGAGCACGGGCTGGGAACCAAAGTGTCCCAGGTTCGATTCCCAGCCAGGGTACATTCCTGGGTTGCAGGCCATAACCCCCAGCAACCGCACATTGATGTTTCTCTCTCTCTCTCTCCCCCTTCCCTCCCTAAAAATAAATAAATTTTTAAAAAATCTTAAAAAAAAAGTCAACTTTAAAAAAAAAGATAATTCTCATCATAATACCATCAAAAAGAGTAACATACTTAGTAATAAATTTATCAAAATAAGTATAAGATGAATACAGATATCTTGAATATAATGACAAAAGCACAACCATAATGGAAAACATTTAATAAACTGGACTTTAACAGAATTTAAGACATTTGATCTTCAAAAGACAATATTTTTATTTTTTTAAGATTTTATTTATGTTTAGAGAGAGGGGAAGGGAAGGAGAAAGAGAGGGAGAGAAACATCAATGTGCGGTTGCCTATCACGCGCCCCAGATTGGGGACCTGGCCCACAACACAGGCATGTGCCCTGACTGGGAATTGTATTGGTGACCCTTTGGTTCACAAGCCCGCGCTCAATCCACTGAGCTACACCAGCCGGGGCCCACAAGACAATATGTTTAAATGAACAGACAAACCACACACTGGGAGGAAATATCTGCAAATTATGTCTGATACAGGAACTGTTCCCAAAGCAAAGTCATAGCTCAATATAAGATAAACACTGCAGTTTAAGTATGGACAAAAGATATGAAAAAGCATTTCACCAAAGAGAATATATGAATGCCTAATAAACACATGAAATCATGCTTAATATTACTGGTCATTAGAGAAATGCAAATAAAATCACCTTGAGATACAACTACATGCCCAGTGGCATGGCTATAATCGGAACTTACAATACCATGTGTTGGCAAAGATACAGAGAAACTGCAGTCTTCATACACTGCTTGTGGGCATGGCATAGCCACCTGGGTAGTTCTTAAAAAGTTAAACATGAACTTACTATGACCCAGCAATTCAACTCTTAGTATCTACTCAAGAGAATGAAAATATGTGTCCACACCAAGATTTGTACAATACATAGTGTTCATAAAAGCATTATTTGTAATAGCCCAAACTGAACATTTCCTGACTTTTCTACACTAACAAATCTCTCTCTCTGAAATGAGCTTTCATAGGCAGCACCATAAGGTCCACCACTGTCATTGTCACTTGCTGACCCAATGTTCATATCTGGCAGTGACTACACAAAATGGTACAGCCACCCAGTGGAATAGTATTCGGCAATAAATTTGAGTGGAATATAGATACATACTATAAAAAGGATGAATCTCGAAAACCTTTTACTCAGTAAAAGAAGCCAGGCATAAAGAAGTATACTTTGTGTGATTTCATTGATACAAAACCTCCAGAAAAGGCAAATCTCCAGAGACAGAAAGCAAATCAACGATTGCTGGGACAGGAGATGGACTATAAACAGGAATGAAGGACTTTGGGGGTTAATGAAAATGTTCTAAAACTTGATCATGGGGACGGTTGTTCCACTCCACAGTTTGGTCACTAGGAACCTGTGGGATTCACAGACAACACAGAATCAATCAGGAGAGGGCATTATCAGTGTTCCCCACTACTGGCCTCTCCCAACTCACTTCCTACATTATCGAAGGACTCTAGCTCCCTAGGCTGGGTATGTTCAAGGAGCCGCCCCACAGCAGTTTCTACACCACAATGATGCTGTTCCTCAGTGCTTGGTGGGCCTACCGGCAAATAGCAGCACATGGTAACACATAATATTCTTACCAAAAGGAATGTCCGGATGGTTCTAATTTTGTTAAGTTCAAGAAGCAATTTTTGTGCCTTTTCATGGTTACTGCAATATTCATCATAGATACGGAACTTGTCTTTCTGCAAATTCAAGTAAGAATGAGAGTTATTTTATTAGCCACTTTGAAATATTAACCCGTGTGATGTTTATGAACCAACTTTATTAAGTGTTTACTATATTTTACAAGCTATGCCGTATGTATGTATATACATTTCTTTCCCCTGATCCATAAAGAATAGTGTTGGAAAGACGCTACACACATTAATTATCATCCAATATGATGTGTGCAACAATACATAAATGAACCACGTGGAAACAACTTAGAGAAAAGAGAGCCCTTAGCTTTGCTGAGAGCACTCAGACGCAGTTTTAAAAGGGAAATAACGTCAGAGCAGGGTCCAGAGAGAGGGGTCCATGATTCCCAGGCAGGGAGAGGAAGAAAGTACGTTAGGTACAGGGAAATGTGTGTGCCAGTTTCTGCAGAACTCCAGAAACACAGTGCCCTGCAGTTCACAGGCGCCGAGCTGGGCTGTGTGTTTAAGACACTGAAAATCAGAAGAATATTCATCAACAGGTGAATAAGGCAAGGAAGCCACTACATAGGAGAGGTCATTTCAGAAAGATACAATGTTAGTTTACAAAAATAAGAAAATGTTAGCTACATTTTAATAGCTGTCATATTGTAAGAATTTACAACTTTACGTAACTCCAAAATACAAAACTGGAAACAATCAGTGGAAATTGCAAGGGAGTGATGGCCAGGGATTAATATAAAGATTTTCTAACAATTAGAGCTGCCACTACAAGTGATCAAGTTAAAAAAATAAACAACTTTCACAGATACTGTAGACAGGATACTTTCAAAACAGGAGGAATTTTGCCATTATGATCTCTCAGCTTTCCTCCATCTGTGAGACTTTCTCTAAATATCTATGGTCAATATCTATCAGAGAAGTACCAATCAAGGAGGAAGGCAGAAAGTATATTGATCAGATATTAGAACAGAAGTGTGTCCCCTGAAATTTTAGAGACATGCAGAAAGAAACAGAGTGTACGTTATACAGCCAGTAGAAAATATATTGAATTACTTATTTTAAGAGATGATATGAGCCAGAATAAAACAAACTTAAGAAATAGTTTAGCTAAATACATGGATGACAGATTGATAGTGTGTTACAGAGGAAATGGATGTCAGGGTGGAAGATTCCCAAGCACAGCCCTAAGCTGAGATAGCAACCACTCCAGCTGGCAGAACACTAGAATTCTCTCGTGAAAGCGAATGGTCTGCGTTCAGTGGACTAAACACGCCTGGCTTCCAGCCGTACCCAAGGAAAGCACAGTTCATCTTCCTCCATCCAAGGAGCCTCTCCGTTTAACACATTGTATGCGGGAAACGTATTTATACATTTTACGTTGATGGGTGTGCGTGATAAAAACTACCCGCAAACAATGTGTTAATATAATTATCTTTATGGAATATTTTCTGATTGCAAAAGTAACATATACAGAGACTGCTCACTACATACAGATTTAGAAACTACATAGTTACCTTTATAAAAGACTAAATAGAAATTCAAAATAAACAAAAATTGATACAAAATACTCTTACATATTTTTTAATAAAACATTAATTGTGTAGCATATTTTTAATCCTCACCTGAGGACATGCTTGCTGATGTTAGAGGGAGAGGGAAGGAGGAAGAGAGAGAGGGAAAGAAACATCAATGTGAGAGAGGAACATCCGTCAGTCGCCTCTCCACGTGCCTCAACCGGGGACCAAACCTGCATGTACCCTGACCAGGAATCAAACCCTCAACCTTTCTTTGATTTAAGGGACGATACTCCAACCAAGTGAGCCACACTGGCCAGGGCTATCACATTTTGATAAATATGGATTCAAATTATTATTCTGAAAATTAGCATCAGTGGAATGGCATAAATAGCACTTTTTTGAGACAAATATTTTTTAGTTCTGAAAACAATTTTCACCATACAGGTGGCTTTTCACTTTGCAAATCAATTGCATAATTTTTTTTCAGCTATTGTGTCCAAAGCGATAAAAATGACCATAGGAGCCTGAGGTATAATGTGAAGCAGATAAGTCCTGACTTATTCTTGTGCACTGCTCAGCACACCCTTCTGAGACACCATCCTGGAGGAAGATCCAGACACAGACACATGTGCGCCTCGGGGGACCGGGTGTGCGCACCTCCAGGTTTGTCACCAGTTGATTAACAAGGGAACGTTTTCACTAATCAAAGGCTCCTCGAGCCATTAAAAGAATAAGAATTTTCTGCCTCAAGAGAGAAATGCTCTATGTTTGAGAGAAACATAAAAATCCATTCATTATGAACAGCCTGAATATTCATTAGAATTCAAAGCTACAGAGGATGCGAAGAACTAACTTGTTGGGAAAAAGAAAAGGCTGTTTATTCTTCACTGAATAAAATGGATGATGTGAGGCGCTCTCCCATTTTCTGGCTCCAACCGGAAGATTTCATTGGCCTTAAAAGACCCCAAACTTTTGGTGTCAGATTTTACTTCTAATGCTGAATTCCCACATCCCACTAGGCCAAAAGCTAAACCCTCGAATGTAGGCGGAAAGAGCTTTTAAAATAAACAGAAATTTATCCTACAAAGTGAAGAAAGCAGGTTCCCACTTCTTGCTGAGCACTAGGTTCAGGATGTAAGCATTCTTCCACAACTTGTAAGAATTCCTTATGTACTGCAAGGATATCTTCAATGTTTGAGAACAGTATCTGTAAATAAATGAACGTGTCAGTAAGTGCAATAGTGAAACAATTTAAAAAAAGAAATCTATGCAAGTATAGTATTCTCTTCCAAGCTGAAAACTTCAGTGGGTAGCTATCTATCCCTAATCCATTTCTTCCTCCCACCCAGCAGGCAGAGTACCAATTTTGTCTGGACATCCTCTCCACTCCCACACAGCATTGAAAACCAGGACCTATTCCTGGCTCTCAGGAAAGCCTAAATGACTGAATCCACCAAGCATAGTGGTCCCACCCCATTAACAAGAATGGGCTCCAGGTAAAACAGGGCAGGCAGATTGACTGGCAGGATCTTTGATCCTAAGAAGGGCATCCTGGAATGGACAGCTCTTTCCACCTCTGGAAAGATGCTTTTGTCTGGACAGTTCTTGGATCATTTTGCAGTTATGGGAAGAGCCAGTCCAGGGGCAAAGCTGATAAGCTCAATGGAATAGGCAAGAGCTAGAAAGAACCTGGCAATCAACTTCCCTGAGATACCAGTCCTGAACCTGCTCTTCTGTCTGGAGCTCCTAATATGAGAACCAAAGTATCTTCAAGTCAATTTGAATAATAGGTGTCTTTTGCAACCAAAAGCATGCAAACTAAATGGTAGGAGAATTTAAAAGTTAGTATTGAACTTACAGAGAAATAAAGCAAGGAGAGCCTATATATTCCTTGGAAAGTTTTTATTTTCAGTAAAGTAAAATAGCAGGTTAGCATCAAAAATAAGTATTAATGATGATTTATGCAACCTAACTGAGTAACAATGACTATAGCAAAATTCATCTTCATTTCCCATCCTTTTTCCCCAAAGCTCTTCAAAATCACCCTTCCCTGAAGTTTAAAAAGAAATGCTTATACTTTTGTTTCTGAGTTGCAGATATTATGCAGACTCTCTTTTCTGCACCAATGGACCATCCAAATCATCTGTTCCTTAGTGATTAGAGGCTGGAAGCCGCATCTGCTCCCATCCCATCTTCCTGAGCCACCTCCAGCAATCGTCTGACACAGAGCTCAGCGCCCTGCCTTTCACAGACACTAAGGTTCTTGGTCTTGAGTTTATTTTTCTCTCTCTTTTTGAACTTTCTCAAACCACTGGCAAAAAAGAAACTCTCTACTATGTCTCCTACTCCATCCTCTTAAATCCCCAGTCGTTTTCCCAAACTCTGGCTTTCCTTTTTCTAATTTTTGCCCACACAAGTGAATGGCACAAGAACTTATACTGAGACTGAAGAAACCTCCTCCAGATGGAATTTTAGCTAGGGGAGACCCGAGTCTGGGCTGAGGGCTGACTGTACCTCCTCACCTTCACTGTTTCCTCTGTGACATTTTTGTCAACTTTTGATGCTGCCCACTGGTTCATTCGGTGTAAGAATGCCTGCATGGAACAAGAAAAGATATTATACAGGTTACATTAAGTTAATAAAATAACTGTGTTGATCCAACTTAAATTAAAGTTTTTATAAGAAACCAAAGTTTAAAAATCCAATAATTGTTGAATATAATAGTTTTATTGTAAATGGGGGATTCCTTATGCATTGCTGCTCCTACCTGGGAATCATATTTCCATTACAGTTTTGGGCCAGGGCCACAAGGGATCATGTACATGAATTAAATTTACCCACTGGAGACTCGAAGTTCTGGGGCAAACATTTGGAATCAGCTGTTTCCTAAACTTCTAAGTCTTAGGAAGCACAAAAGACCAAACAAAGTCTAATAAAAAAAAGTGGAATTTCTAATAAAAAACAAAAGGGCCAGAAATTCTGAATTATCCCCTTTTGAACTGAGAGATCCTGAGAGAGGGAGGCAGGGGAAGAGAAAGTGACTTCTCAAAAAGAGATGGAAAGATATCCCTTCCCTTTGTATCTCGACTCCCCGACATTTTAGGGAGCCAGAATTTACATTTCTGGAATCAGCTCTGACCTATGGTAGACCAATAAGTTCATCAGCATTTCAAAGATCTGGACTTGTCTGGATGATCATTGAGCTTTGACCTATTGCTAAATAAGCTATTATTTCTGAAAAGGAAAAAAAAAGTGGAATGAGTTATTTATATTGGGCCTTAAAAGAGAACATTTAGACAGGAAAGGAGAAGAGACTTTCCATCCAGCAAAGTTAATCTGTGACTTCAAAATATTGTCTATTGACTAGTGCCCAAGTGAGTCCACTCTTTCCCTTGTCTGTCTGAAGGACTCTCCCCACTGCCTGCCAAGTCAGAGTATAACTGAGCAGAACACAACTCCCCAGGGCACACAGAAGCTCCAAAGAACTTCTGGATACTGTATCCAACAAAGTAATGCACCCATTTCTGGCATAATAAGCATTTAGCAGATTAACAAAACCCAGGACTGGTCATAATGTTCCAAAATTACCACCCTCAAGAAATTGCCAGTAAGAGTATAAAATGGTGCATTTCTGAGAACAACCTGACAACATATCTCAAGTTTTTAAATGGGCATTCCCTTTAACTCAGCAAATTTAATTCTCTAGAAATTTATCCTAAGAAAACAGTCAGACAAGGGGTTCCAGTGTATTCATTACACTGAAGTAGAAACATCAGAAATAACATAAATGGATACCAGTAAGGGAGTCATTTGATTTCTTTCATACATTTAGATTTTAGAACACATTGAAAAAGTATAATAATAAATGGAATGCTATAAAATTACATATACATATGTGTGTATGAAACAGTTGCCTCCAAGGTTTGGTGAAAAAAATTTACAAAGTGGCATACTTGATATGCATGTACATATATGTACACACATACATATATACACATACATACCAGTATATGTACTTATATACAGATGTGTAATGTCCGTATGCACGCATCCTGAGAAAAACACGCAAGCAGGGGTTACCTCCAGGTAGTCGGAAAGTGACCTTTGTGTACTTCCTCATTTTTAGACTATTGGACTGTGAGCATGTGATAACTTTTGTAAAAAGAAAACCAAGACTACTTGAAAGAAACAAATAAGCCACACACAAGTCCTGACTCCTAACTTTAGCTTCAGCACCATTTTTATTCCCTATTCAACCAATTCATGTTTCATATTCTGTAACAGCAAAGCTATATCAGTACTAACGGCTTCAATAGAATAAAATAACTCAGCTGAAGTAGATAAAATGAGTAAGAACATATTGGATGTTACCTTAAATTTTTATTTAAAAAACCTGATACAATTTCTTGAACTATTTTTGAAAATTACAGTTAATTAGCAATGGAAACATAAGTTTTGGATTTTCTGACTTTAAGAGCCATTTTAATTATTATTAGTGTGTTTAATTTTAGTTTTGTCTTTCTTAAATATTTTTCACATACTCGTACCAAAAATGCTCTTTAGCCCTTTCCATTTAGTCTTAAATAACATGGGTCATTTGGTTGCCTGGTTTACATTTCAGTACTGACCACACAGTAAACAGGTAACCTCTCATGCAAGCAAAGCTTCAACTTCCAGTCTAGATTTATAAACCTTTTCTTCATAAACTGAATTCAGTCACATCCTGAAACCAATAATTTAAAGTAAGGAGGTAGTAAAAGTGAATCAAATATGAGTTAGAAGGGGAAATATAAACTAAGAAAGTAAACTACATCTTTATCTGACTTTATCTTCTTATCCTCTGACAATGTGGAACTTTTTGCTTAACTGGAAATGAAAGAAAACCTGGAACTTACTAGCATTTCTGACCAACTGTCTATGTTTCCCAAAAGCCTCATTTTATACAACAATCAAGACAGATTTGGGATAGTCTGATGAGAGTGCCAACTTATAAAAACTGGCTGACATTTTTTACAAAATGTGTAAGTCTTCCTTGATAAATAACATTTTGAGAACCCTCCTTTACCAGCCAGTATCTGAGGAGCCCATTCAGACTCTGGAGATTAGGGCCTCAGTCTGTCTCACAGCAGGCAAGCAGGCATCCATACCATGGTCACGAAGCCATGGGAGGGGTTACCATACTGTTTGTGCCTGCATTCAGTCATCCTTGCCACTCCGGAATTTCATCAGAATCAGATCACCTTCATTTTACTACAACTATATGGAAAATAAGCACTGGAAAATAGCTTTTAATGCTAGTGGTTCTCAAACTTTTTATTGTGTATAAGATTTGGGAAGTTTCTTCTAAATGCAGATTCCCCGGCCTAGCCCCAGAAGGTCTGATTCAGCTGACTGGTTTAGGACCCAGAAATCTGCATTTTAAGCAAGTTCCCTTGAATGCAAATCGGCATTCTGATGCAGTTGGCCTACAGACCACATTTTTATGACCATTTCTTTATTCTTCCAAAGTCTGAAAAAACAGACTTTGAGAAACAAATGAGTCCAAATGCAAAAAGTGAGTCTATTATTTCACCTTGACTTTCAACTCTGTCAAATTCTATGTACAGCATCCTCTCACTCAGCCACTTGAGATTGCTAATGCCCCACCAGACGACCCTGCCCTCCCCCAATAATGAAAAACAGTCTGGGAGTAGACAGGTCTTAATAATCTCTGAAGACTGCGGAGGTGCAGAGACAGGTGAGTCAGTTAAGAGAGACTAAGTCATGTATGGAAGAGTGGGGCTTGCAGGTGCCCCTCCAGGTGCCTTTCAGCTGTCAGGCATGTCAGCACGCACTCCCGTGCCAGCATTCCCCTAACATGATTCTGTCCAATGTATTCCAGAGATCACTGTAGTCACAGCAGCCCTTTTCCTGCTCAGAGAGCAGAACTCTTCAATTTGCTCTATGTATCGTTTTCCTCCTCTCAAGTGTTTGATAAAATACGCCAAATGCTGAATATTAATTAAAGTTTAAGAAAGCAAAAAAAAGTCAAATTTGCTACCAAGGAATAAAAAAAAGGAAGAAAACTCATTGAGGTACAAGGAGATGACAGCAGTCCCCTCCCCCTTGTCTGTCCACTTGCGTCACTGACAGCTCGGGATACACCTGCTAATTTCCCCATTTCAGTGTGCTCAGTGATCCCTCTCAACTCATTTTTGTCCTCTGCACTTTTTTCATTTGTCAAGCACACAGAGTAGATCTCTCTGAAGTCCCACAGATGTTAACCGTCTATACTTTATTTCTAGGAATCTGATGCCAATCTGAATTTCACAATATTGTACAGTCAGTAACGTTATTACCCCTACAAATATTCTACATTCAGAAAATTAAAATAATCATCTTAAAATGTGGCTACTTATTATAGATAGAGATGGGTAAATTTTACATATAAAGGTTGAAAAAGGAAAAAATTTAAGAGGGGTCACACTATTGTGGAAATTGTATACTCATTTCATGAAAATAAATGGAAAAAATAAGGGTAAATATTTTCCTTTTAACTCTTGAATTTAAAATAGTATTAACACATCAAAACTCTTTAGAATGTCATTTCATTGTGGCTTCCTGAAAGAAAAACAAAGTCCTAATAAATGAAAAAGACTTGTCATCTGGGTTTGTCTTGAACAACTGGTTGGTAATGCTACCATTTTTGGAGGGGTATGAGAAGCAAAATGTGCTCTGGCAATGTTGAGTCTGAGATGACTATCAGACACCAATGTAGAGATCTCAAATAGGGAGTTAACTGTACCAATCTAAGGTCCTGAAGAGAGAGCAGAGCTAACGGTAGAGGTGAGGATCACTGGCACAAAGGCATAACACAGGGAAAGTATACATAAAGAGGGGAGACAACTGGCCCCAGGCCACTGGAGAGAAAATACAGACGGAGAAGACAAAGGCCCCAGGACAGAACATCGGGGCACTCCACCATTTTTAGGTCCAGCAGAAGAAGAGAAACCAAAGGAGGCAAGGTAGGAGTAAACCCAGAATGTGGTATCATAAAAGCCAATAGTAGAGAGGGTTTCCGAAAAGAGGGAGCGGTCGACCGCTTCAACAGTGCTGAGAAATCAAGTAACTTATAAATACACACATGACTTGACAATACAGAGGTCAGTCACTGGTGACTTTGACCAGAACAGTTCCCAAGGGAATGGGTAGAGAGCAAACAGAGGACGTGAAAATGGAGCCATTGCCACAGAACAGCTTTTTTAACTTAAATACTACTATCCCAAGTCATCCCTCACATCACATATTATGTTCCTTTAATACAGCTTCAGTAAGTAAAGCTCTTCTAACCTCTCCAGTCTTCTGGAATTCAGCCTTCCCCAAACATCTATTGATACCCATTTTTTCAGTAGGAATGTTTCCCTTAACATGAAAAAAATTAAGAGACACACATATCGTGGTGCTGATATTAATCTGTCGACTTAACTACGTATTAACAACAAACTATTGGAAAAAAATTCAGCAATATTTATACTATGAGCCAGGCACTATTCTTGGCAGTGGTTCTTAAATGTCTCAGGATTGCTTTATGCTTTTAAAAATTATGGAGAACCAC